TAGTTAAAGATAATATAGATAAGTTAGATAGCTTATCTAGATTTATTTTAAGTAGCTTAGAGTTAGAGTAATCTAAATAAGATAGTAGTATTTAGTAGAGGCTTAGTATTTTTAGAGTATTTATTTATATAGAGTATTTATTTATATAGAGTATTTATTTATATAGAGTATTTATTTATAAAGTATATTACTATAAGTTTTATAGATTATTATAAAGATATAATAGTACTAACTAGAAGTAAACTAGATTTTTCTTAAAAGTTACCTAAATACGTATAGCTTTTTAATTACGTAATATATCTTAGTATAACTTTAGTATAAGGTATAATATACTATAAGAAATATATATATAAATTTTTATAGAAAAATATTAAGGTTTTACTTAGTTATTTAAGAAAAATAGATTAATTTTTATTAATTTTCTTACTAAGAAAAAGGTAGTTAGCTTACTTATATAGGTAGTTTGCTTATAAAGTATGTTATAAATTTTTATAGAAAAATATTAAGGTTTTACTTAGTTATTTAAGAAAAGCTTGTTAATTTTCGTTAATTTTTCTTGCTAAGAAACTCTAGGGGGTTTATTTATAAAGTACGTTATTTAAGAAATACTTATTAATTTTCTTTCTTAGTATTTTTAGAGCGTTTGTTTGTGTGAGACTTTTGTTTGTAAAGTACGTTAGGCGTTTGTGGAGGGCTTTATGATAGAGATAGTGGCATTTAGTAGGGGCTTGGCATTTTTGGGGTGTTCGATGGTGTGGGGCTTTCGATGGTAGAGTACGTTATCGCGTATTAGCTAGAAGAAATTAAGACCTGCTAAGCAAGGGTAGTAGAATAAATTAAGCTCTACGGAGCTTTCAAGGATGGGTGCACGAGCTCTCGACTGTGCCGCACTACACCTGCCAACCTTATCCTCCTTCCGACGCCTTGCGGCCCGACCCAAACCTCACGTATCCAAACATGAAGCAGATTGCAGAGAAGCACAAGGCCCTCATCGGAGGCATGTCGAAGATCTACGACATCCTGATCGCGATGCGCTATCTCTCTGCTGGCGACGTGATCCGGCCTCCGATCGACAAACAATCTCTGGCCTTCTCTCAACTTCAATCATTGGGCTACGAGTCCGAAGTCCTGGATCTGGTGCAGCAGTTACCTGCGCTTCGCAGTGAAGTCACCTGGGGCTTTCAGGAGTGGGGCGTGGAGCTGCTCCCGCGCTCGAAAGCTGTGACTTACTTTCCGAATCCTAGCAACCCAGACTTCCTGGACGACCTGCGATGGGGCGATTTCTACAAGACCGATGACCCAAATGAGATTAAGTGGTTGTATCCGTGGATGTTGAAGCTGACGGATTGTGGACAAAGTGGCTATGGCACGAGTTTGATCTACAATACCCGAGACCGTACGGCACCTTTAGTGACCTGAAAGGCCTCGCATGCTGATTACACCCAGAGTCAATCATAGAATGGACCCAGATTGGCGGAAAATATTGGGACGAGATACCCAGTCGTCCTGCAGAGGAGGTCCTATCAGAGATAGCGAAAAACCTGGAAAACCTGGAATGGGTGCCATACTACGACCCGGACGACAGAGAAGAAGAGCTTCTCTTCCAGCGAAAACTTGTCGAAAACCCCATAGTCTTCCAGAACATCTGGCCTGGAGGCATCCGCGTCCCGGAGGAGATTGCCGCTGCGATCGAGTACCTGCAGAGCGAACATGAAGGTGCCGATGGGCTTCGACGGCAGATCAATCGCTGGCGAGCATTGCAGATGCACTATGTTGATAGCAGATGGGGCACAGATGCCTGGGATGCGGACGCCTTTTGGGATAGAAGGGTTGCGTGGATTAGGGCATCGGACGCTTTAATGCGTGAGCGGCCGAGTGAAGCGTGGTCGCATGATCGTCAAGAGCACCTCGAGCATCCCATGCTGCCAGACTGGGAGAACAGATACTTCGATTTCTTCAAGCAAAGCGCGGGACACAGGGCCGTCTAGAGAACAATAATATTGCGCGAACGGATAAGCTACCAACTCCGCGATTACCAACAGTCCCTTCTGACGGTTTTCCCTATGCCTTTACGCAATAGGCGTAGTCCGGCCACATGTTACTACAATTCGCATCCAGCGCTATATTCCACGCTCCCAATCGGTCGAACGTAATCCCGAACTTGGTGTACACAAGGTAACAGTAGTCCCCAGCGACCGCCGTGTACCATTGATAACACGCCTTGGATGCTCCAGACTGCGTTGGCGCCGGCGGTGCGGCTGTCGCCTTGGCTGTCGCAGTGGAGGACATCTTGACCGACGAAGACGGCTTAACACACGATGATAGCTTAATGGACGAGGACGGCGGAGGCTTGGTCGGACTCGCCGAGGGGACCGCTATCGACGATAATGTTATCTGTGTCGGCGAATAATGTCAGATACCAGTCGCAGCTTTGGCCAAGCACACTTACCGGAGTCAAAGTCGAGCCACGGACGGTAGCTACGCAGTAGGACGCATTGGCCCACAGATTTAAGCAATCAGCGTCCAACTGTGGGTTCATGTCGCGTAGTATATCGAACGTGATGGAGTTCATCGCTATCATCTGGCAGTAATCTCCGGAAACGACGTCGTAGTAGTGCCCTCAGGTTTTTATCGTCCCGGGTGGGGTTTCCTTCGCAGGAAGCGTTGTCGTTGTGTACACCGGCTTGCCTCCCGTGGCCCCTTGGACTAGTTCTGCGATGTAATTCATGAGGTTGGGCAGTGGCTAACCCCCCAAAAGTTCTTCTCCCACGTTCCTTCCTGCCGAGGGTAGACTTTGCATATGGGAATCCAGTCCAAAGTCCTTTCCCCAAGCCATTCCTATGGGTCACCTGTCGCTCGCTGATTTTTTCCATCAACAATATGCTCATTTATACCCCCTTTCTCTACTCTTTGCCTCGTTGCTTCTGAATACCGAGTTTTTCGCTACCGCCCAAGATGACTCAACTTGCACTCCGGCTCGCAATGCAAGGTCGGATGTTGCGGAAAGTCTGGTTGGTGCGGATTTGGACCAGATTACTGCGGAAAAGGTAAGTGTTTTCGTATAGTCGTGCGTCGAGTGATAGCCTACGAAAGACTCCTCTAGAGGATCGTGAGTTGGCAACATGCCTGTTCGCCAGCTGCTTGTCTTCGACCCGAAAGCGGAATATATGGATGATGACGCGATGAGTCATTACTTTGGATTGGAACTGACCTCGCCTCAGGTAACTGCACAAGTACGTGCGATGCAAAAGCAGAATGTGGACCTTACGACCCAGCTGGCCAAGAGAAATGACCTTTGAACGTCTGTTGCTCCAAGAATGGCTTCTGTGGCACAACATCTCTGTTCTGCGGTGATGGCTGTATCGATGGCTGCACCAAAGTCAAGCAGCCATCGGGCAAAAGCACAAGCGCCCGCGCAAAGACTATTGGTTACTACGAAAGCTGGTATGTGCGACCTAGGAAGTTTCCCTTAGCGGCGACTATGGTTACGTCATTGCACCGATGTGTAATTTTCACGCGTCTGTGACAGTTTCTGACCTGAATCAGGTCATATGCACGGTCTTGCGATTCCGTTGCGCCGGAGGACATTAACCCAACCATGTGGACGCACATCAATTATGCCTTCGCACTCATCAACCCGAGCAATTTCAAGATTGCGAATATGAACCAATACGACGATCTCCTTTACCCCAAAGTCATCGGCCTCAAACTACAAGCCCCTGGCCTCAAGGTTTTCATCGTTGTGGGAGGTTGGGATGCTGGAGGGAAGGTCTTCTCCGACATGGTCTCCACCACATCGAACCGCAAAGCCTTTATCGACTCAACAATACAGTTCTGTAAGACACATGGATTTAATGGTATTGACATAGACAGGGAATATCCAGTTGCGTCGGATCGCGGAGCTTCCAAGTCTGACTTCTCCAACTTTGCCACACTCATGAAGGAGCTCAAGTCCGCGGCGGGCAAACTGGGCGTTTCCCCAAGGCTTCCAAGCAGTTATTGGTATCTGAAAGGCTTTGACATAGTCAACCTTGAACCGAATGTTCACTGGTCCAATTTCATGAGTTACGGCATCTATGGAACTTGGGATGGTAACAATCCGTACGCGCCCCCTCTACACATCTTTGTGTACTGACTGATGGGTCACTAGCTAGGTTCACCCAAGCTGTTGTCAATCCGCACACAAGTATCACTGAAATATCCGCTGGTCTGGATCTGCTGTGGCGTCGAAACAACATCCCAAGCGGCAAGGGTGTGCTTGGCCTAGGCTTATATGCTCTCTCATTTACGCTGAATGATCCATCTTGCAAGAAGCCAGCCTGCGCTTTTGCATCTGGCGCAAAGCCAGGTGAATGCACGTACACTTCCGGCGTGCTATCAAATGCCGAGATCCAACGAATCATCGATAAGAAGAAGCTCACTCTAGTCTTCGATCAGAAAGCGGGTGTCAAGTGGGTTGTCTGGGACAATGACCAGTGGGTGTCTTATGATGACGCAGATGCCTTCAAGATCAAGATGGACTGGACAAATAAGCTTAGCCTCGGTGGTGTTAGTGAGTTTTACCACGCTTTCATCGATGCAACATTAAATTACTTACATCAGGACAGTGGTATGGTCACTGGATCTGGACAATCAAGACTCTCAATCGGCGCAGTATCTCAACTCGGGGGGGGCGACATGGCCGACACCAACGGCTTCTCAAGACAGAAGATGGTGGCCGACTCGAAGCAAGCGTATACTGGGAAGCTGGCATACTGGACACCTTGCATGTCTGAGAAGCAGCGGAAAGACACAGGCTGCCCCCTGGATACCACGAGATTCTTGTCGGTCACGGGAAGACGTTTGATTCCGAAGCGTTTGAACAATCCACAGGTTGTCACGGCAAGGATAATAGACTGCTCTGCTTTAATAACGAACTAGTGGGGAAGAATTGCAACTGGAACTGAAACTCAGATGGGGTACGTCAGGGTATCATGTCAATCATAACCGCTAATCATATCCCGCAGAGCAAGATTTGCGACAAAGGCTGCCCTGATGGCACTATCTTCCTCACCCAAAACACACATCCAGCTGGTGACAAGACAGATTGTGCCCACGGTACATTCGTTGCCGCCTGTTGTGAGGACCTCTTGACTTTGGCCTCTGTGTGCAGGTCGCAATACTCCGCCGACCTCATCTTTTCTGGAGGCATATCGGGCGCCGGCAACAAGGATTTCAAGAGGAAGGCTGCAGGCAACGCAGAGAGGCTTGTGCTTCCCAGTAGCTCAGTTGCTGAAAGCTCAGATCCTCAGAAAGCAGATGAACACCCTGAGGCCATGCAAGGAGTGGCAATTGAGAAGCGCGCGCAGGACCCCGACCTTCCAAGCGAAGATTGCCCTAGGCCGAGGATCCGACGGACATACTTGGGGTGTCGCCACACCTAGCAAGGTCACGGTAACTTCAACACTGCAGCCGGCCTCACAGACGGAGTACTACGTCCACAACACAAAACCCTGCCCATTTGATGGGTATCCTCAGCTATGTGCGAACTGGCGCCCAGTTGCGATATTTTACGGTCAAAGAACAGTCGCTTGCCCAACTGATATCGTTACGTTTAATGAAGTCAGAGAGGCCGTCGCCAAATGGTCAGCTGGACATCATTCACTGTAGAAGATTTGGATCCAGAAGTCCGTCTGGGCGCCGTATGCCAATGACTACAGAGCAGCTTCTTTCCAGGTTGACGAATGGCCGCCGTACGACCTTTACGGCTCGAGATATCGTGGAGCGCGCTATATTGGAGTAAGGTATCTTCCTGGTGGGCAGAATGGCGGTTAGGGTTAGGGTTAAGATTCGTTGAAGATTGTGAGTATTCAATGCCCTGAATTCGAGGGATCCAACACGAGACTAAGACAGCTAGGCGGTCCCGTGCCCATCCGAAGGACTACCAACACGCTCCAGGAGCTATACCAACCTGGTTACTGGACGGACACCATCTGGATTCGATCGCATCTTGCATCCACGCGAACATCAGTAAGTTAGAGAATCTACATGCTACGCTTCTCGCTTACCATGCTACTATTAGATCGTGCTCGACTGGTCTGGAGAAGTATCAGCAAATGCGAATGACCCCTACAGAATCGCCGAAAATGCGTGTTATCCCACTATGCTTTATCCCAACGCAGACGGTAGGTTCGCTTTAAACGCTGATGATCCCTACTACATGAATAATCGTTTGGTGCAATATCCAGGCGCTTACGTTTACCCACCAGCACAGGCTGTCACTGGTAAGTCATTCCGAATGCTAATAATAAGACTTGGAGACTAATACCAGATGTAGCTGGTTTAACGCCGCCAACAAGGAAGAGAAGTGTCGAGTTACTGGTCTATCCGGATGATTGTAAGTTTTCCGATACTTCAACGAGTCTCTATGCGCGTAACACGTTGTAGCCGTTGCATATGTTGTCGATGCCAGCAACAGCGCCAGACCGGCTACCCCATCCGAGATCGCTGAAGGCCTTGGCGTCGATGCATGTCTCGATGCGGAATGCACTCAGGAAAAGGCAGTTGGGGGAGAATGGGGAACAGGTTGATTCCATGTTGCCGGCCGGTATCGATGTGCTCACTGTGAGCGAGTTTAGTAGGCCGACGGCAACAATGGTCTTGACAAGTACTGTACCCTCATCGGTAGCGACGGACAGGTATCGCAGTGACTGGCAAGACCTTGTCTCGGCCTACGCTAATAGCGGTGCGGCCCTCGATAACGTCGCTACCGTTGTATGAGTATTCTAAGTAGATATGCAGCGCGCGTTAGCTCGCCGGATGACCTGTTCCTTGTACGTGTAGTCTGGGAATACCATGCGTTGGTACAAGATGAACATTTCGAGTTTGTCGCAAGGATGCAACAATCCTATCTTATCGAAAACTACTTCTCGCACGAGATTGTGGCGCTTGCACCTAGCACAGATGCGCATGTAGCTTCCACAACCGGTGAGAGTGATCGCTCAGCCACCACCACCCCGCGTTGGCAATAAGAGGGCCAGCCTTCCCCATTCAGCTCCAGCTTCCGATTCCTTCGTCGCCCGCGCATGTCGCACTTACACAAGGCAACCTTAAACACTTCGCATCCTATAAGCACTTGCACCAACTCCCATGCTTCGATGTAGGCTTCTCCAACCATGAACCATCTACCAAGAACGAAGAGAGATGGGGCATGTGGTCATCGTTTCAACATTTCGCGACCAATGTGTGGTGGACTCGAGTTTGGACGGTGCCAGAATTGGTCATACCACAGAACGTTACGTTCTATTGCGGTCCATCGAGCATGTCACTACAGAGCATTGTCCAGAGTAGAGGTGCCTTAAATCAAACTCTCGACCGCTGCTGTCGAGAGGCATTTCAAAGTCTCCCACAGCGGAACCGACAGTGGCTCGAAGAGTTCGTGGTCAAGGTGGATCTAATCAGCAAACAAACGCCTCTTCACAGCTGACCTGAATATCTTACTTCGAGCGTTCAGTGACAAACGTTGCCACGACCCTAGGGACAAAATCTTTGGCTTTTTGGGACTCAAGGAGACACACGACAGGCTTATCATCTCGCCCAACTATGCTCTCAGCACGGCACAAATATTTGTCGAGACGATGTTGTCTATTATACAAGGTCCTGGCCAAACTGAAACTTTCGATACCCGGCCTTCTCTTTGTAGGTGGCATTGGCTAGATCTTTGAAAACCGAAACTTCTCACGAATATATGCTAGTCAAAAGATTAAAACTACAAATAAGTAGTGGGACAAAAATCTGTTGGAAAGCTTAAATCGCCCCAACCACCTCCCTGCCATATCAATTTATTTCCTGTTCGCTCAAGCCCACATTTTGTCTATACTCTCTCTAAATACAGAATCTCAGCTGGTGCTCTTACCACTCTGACTCTCGCTCCTTCTCGGTCTTGCCATTGTGAAGCTCCTCCTGATTCTTCCTATGCCCCTGCTTTCATTGCCCAAGTCATCCTCCTTCGCCGAAATTGGGTTGAGTGGGCTCTTCTTCTCCGGCGACCAGCTTCCCCTCCGCAGCATCTTCATGACCGACGGCATGGTCTTCGATCTCACTTCTGGCTGATTTTTATCTTTGCTATCTTTATCGTACAAGAGCGGCGGGGGTTCTAGCGGCGGTAATATCCTTGAAACCCCGAAGCTGTTTGCATGCGCCGAGGGCGGCTTTGAGATCCGTCTGTTCTCATGGTGAGGTGCTTGTTGACTGTAAGATTGCGTCTTGTTGGCGTGTTTCTTCACCGGTTTCTCTCGCTTCTCCGGGAGGCCATATGTATCAAGAACAATCGGAGCCTCGACCCGGACTCTCGCCGGACTGGGCGGTGTTTGAGGCCATGTCCTGCTGTACCGCGCTTGAAGGAGCTCTTCAAAGTCGATTGGGCTGTCGGGAGATGCAGGTGGGGTGATGTGATGAGTTCTCTGCGGAGCGTATGCTGGTGGCTTCGACTCAACTTGTATCGGTGCTGGGGACGGTGAAGGCGGGGTCCTTATACGGTCTTGTTGGCCGCGTAGTAGTGGATGTTCCGACTCGACATCCGGCTGTGGCAGAGACGGTAAAGGTCTGGTCTTTTCGGGCCTTTCGTCGTCGCTCTGGTTGCGCTGTGTAGCTTGATGAAGCTGCTGTATGGCCTGTCGGACATGATGCGTGTCTGCTTTTTCATGTCCTGATGACTGCGATGTGGGTTTGATTGGTGCTGCTGGGGCTAGGGGCGGTGGCGAAGATAGCGACGGAAGTGGAGGGTTTGGAGGAGTCACCGGCGCTGGCTTCTTTTGGGACGTCCCCTTTGTTGATATGGGGGGCGCCACAGAGGCTGCCTTCGCCGACGCCGGTGCACCGGCTGTGTTTCCATTCGTTTGTGAGGCTGGACGCTCAGCACCAAGAGGTTTGGGAGGCTCGAGAATCACCTCCTTACCATCCGGAGTAAGCGTTTTGCCCCGATTGATAGTCTGATCAGCGTTCCTTGCAGCAGGGTCCTTCTTGAACCGTTTCTCCGCTCTCGTCAGTTCGATCTCCAACACCCTCGTGTTCCTCCCAATCAAACCACCGTCCATTAGCGCCTTAAGGCCGTCATCATGAGCATCGAAGAAACAACCCCAGACAGCGGGCTCTACTTCAACGGCGCAGAAGCCTTCCCAGCCAAGGAGTGTTAGCCGACGCTCTTGTCGTGTGCAGTCAAAGGGCCCCGTAAGGTGGGGCTGGGCGTCTTTCCGGACGCCGTAGCGAAGTTGATGTGTTTGGGAGTGCATATACACCCAATTCATAATAGGCGCAACATCAGTGATTGTGGTGACGAGCCCCTCGTGCTTGCTGTCCGGATAAGGAAGGAAGTAACCGCCGAGCTGATGATCTGGTTTGGCGTCGCCTGAGGTGCATGTGTCTATGTACACCTGTAAATTGTCAATTTTTGGTCCAAAAAGCGGCAATTGCTAGTCCGATACGCACTGCTCCATTGCGAAGAACCAAAGGTCTTCCGTCGAGTTCGCGAGACCATTGCGAGGATTTTATACACCTGACAATCAGATTACATCGTCGCGCTCGGTGTTCCTCTCGTCGTTCCTTCTGCTGTCCTTGTCTAATGGCTTCTTGAGTGCCTAACATGCCTGGGACTGCTGCGAGAGCAAGAAGGAGTGACATGTGCTGGATGATGCCGCATGGAGAAGCGAAACAAAGTGAGGATAAATAACAACGGCTTACAATAACAGCCTCGAAACAAAAACACTGGCGAATGCAATGTTCCAGGAAGCGAGTCAGTCGTCGGGAGAGTCCGGACCGGGCGGCAGGGAAGATCCTGCTGCAAACCTTGGAAGTCAGCACCAACACCCGAAACTTACTCACAATTGAATAGCCTACAACACATATGGTCTTCCCCGCTCCGCAAAAATGAAACAACCGCACACCTTACATAGCCGCCGAGTAGTGCTGGCTACCGACCGCATCGCGCGACGCCCCCGATAGTTCGTCTAGGCTCTCGAAAGCGGGGAAATCGCACATATCGGATCTGCATCACAGGCGCCACAATCTCAGAATGAACTGATTTTACGCCTACGTGGCAGCGGCAAGTATGTTTCGTAGCACGCGCTTCGTATGCCTGCGTCGGGTCTTGGTCGGAAATGCCGAAAGGGGCCTAAAGTCCTTGCCGGTAAATGATTCCGGCTTTGGTTTCCTCTATCATGGGACGTGTGGCTGTAGCTAGGTAAGCAGGCGCTGGCGAGGTGGAGAAATTTAACCGCTGTGCCTGGATCTTCCTTGCGGGACGGTCCGCGAACCCGCATTGTCGGAACCCCAGCCCCCATAACGAAAAGTAGAAACCCATTATGTGTAACGAGCGGAACGGCACGAGTGGCACAGTGCCTCGAGAGTAGTACATGATTCGGCCGAACATGCGATACATCACGCCACGAACATTCGATCACGACTCGGAGGCACAAGGCTCCGTCCACATTGTGGCGTTCTGTGGGCCGGCGGGGATGCCCTGGGCGTAGTTCCCGTTTGACAGACAGCCCAGACAACCACATCTGTACGACACGGGCCATCAATTGGTGGGCGGAGTCCAGCTGCATGAGGGCGTTTAGGCGAGCTCCTGCGGGCACACCGTTAGTGTAGTCGCCTCGGCGGGCTGACAGCATCGTTGGCGCAATGATGCCAAAGCCGCGGGGCCTCGTGCAGGAAGGAGGTGGGGATGTCAAGGGATATAGAATGTGGAAGGGAAAGGAGAGGTGTGTTCCGGTAAGCCGAGGACCTAGACAGAGATGGGCAGAAAGAGCGAGGAAAGGTATATATATGAGGGTGGTCTCCTGCAATTGAGAGGACCATCGCCAACTCGCAGCACACACAGAGAGCCATCGCCTACCCGCAGCACACACAGCGAAGTCACCATTTCCTCCTCTTCCGAGACACCCAAGAAAAAGAGTAAGCTGCGCAGAGGACTGTCGAAGCTCCTACCCAACCAGAAGAAACCAAAGACCGAGACTTCCGACCTTCAGAATTCGAGTCCAGCTCTTTCTCCCGTCCTACCAGCCACACCCAAGGTCGCTCTCGTACCTCCACCATCATCTCCATCCATCCCCACTGCCCCGAAGGTCGATCCGGAACTTCGAGCTCCATCGCCCATCGTCAGCCCAGAAAATATCGTAACCGAACCCGACATCCTTCCGCTGAAACTAAGCCCTTCCCCATCGAAGATGTCTTCGTGAGTCTCATCATCCCAACCTCTCAGCCGTTGAAATAACGATCTCCCAGCAGCCCCGCTGCCGTCCGCTACGACGAGGCCCAGGCTCAAGGTGGACGTCGTTCCTCCGGGGCCGCTCCGGGTCCCAACTCGGTCCTCCACAAAGAGGCCGGGCAGCTGATCAAGGGTGCCGTCAATGAGAATGGCGAGCTCAAGGATGCGGCGCTGCTTTTGGGCATCAAGCTCGATCTCGAGGCCGAGATCCACTTGACTGCTAGGGTTAGGGGTGACATTACTATTGGGCTGTACTAGGTTAAGACGCTGGCTACCCTAGTTCTGTGTGTGCACATGGGGGCTTCGGTATAAAAGGATAATTAGATAATAGAGAGACAATATCTTTAAGGTCTAGCTAGATTCTCTATCCCAGTAACCGACAGGAAAGGCCTATCACTCCCCTCACATGAAGGAACTTGGAAATCCGTATGAAGATATGCTCTATAGCGTTTGGGCCCCGCATAATGGAGTTCGGTCAGGCGAAGATGCTCTCAACAGCCGGCGCGCGGCAGTTCGGATGATCCCAACAGTAACAGGCTTTGACGTAGCCTCGTCCGACGTTCGGTCTCCTGGTTACTGGCGCTCGAATCTGGAATCACAGGTTCAATTTGAAACGGCTGTAATGACTGTGCTCCTCGATGGCTCTCGCCACCCAGTAGAAATCGGGCCGCATTTCACTCTCCAACTTCCTATTCAAGAAACAGCACATAGTTTGGGCTTATCGCCCGATAACTACGTGTACCAGTCACCCTTAGTTCCCAACCGAGATTCCGTCGACAGTATACTTTGATTTTGTGGTGCGCTTTTCCAACAAGGCCATGACGACATCCACTATGGGAGGACCTCTCCTCACCTCAATAGCCATGGCTCTCCATCACCGCAGGTACTCCATGACTTGCCGACATACTCATGGGACTATAGCGATGTCACAAGAGTTCGAGAGCCCCGCACCGTGCGCGAGTTCCGAAATCGCAAGTATTCCAGACACGATCTGCTGGGCTCGCAAATCCCAATGCAGCTAGCCAGTTCCGCATCTTAGCAGCCTTGGGTCAATCCTTGGAATCGGAAGTGCTTATGGATGGCCAACGATTTGACGTCGTAATCCTTCACTATGTACGCACTTGAACCTCTGATTTCTAGCTCCGGATCACTTCGGATCGTACGAACGCGTACCACATTGGGCGGTGTGGAAGATGGAAGATGATGAATACTTCTCTGTGAAGTAGCAACCAACTGATATATTCCACTTAGAGCTGAGGGTGTCTTAGGTTGCCTGTACAATCCCCGTCGTCTACTCAACTGCAATATATGCTCTCGAATACAAAACCACTCTTCGACCTAATGAAACTATCCTCATCCAATCTGCCGCAGGCAGGCTTGGTATTGCAGCTATCCAAGTCGCGCAGCGTATTGGCGCCGAGGTACGTGGCTGCTAGCCATAAACTAGGAATGTAGTTCATCAAGACTGGAACTGATTTACTGTACCGTCGGAAACGATGCAAAGAAAGACTTAATTCCTAGTGGAGAATTTTGGAATACCAGGGCATCATATCTTCCGCTCCAGGAACCCGTCATTCCTCGAAGACTTGCTTGTGAAGACGTCCAGCAGGGGCGTCGATGTCGTGTTGAATTCGCTAACAGGCGAGCTCCCGCATGCAAGCTTAAGGGCATGCACTGAATTCAGCCGTTTCGTGGAAGTTAGAAAAAGAGATATCATCGACCACGGCAACATAGACATGAAGGTCTCCCAGCGCAAGAGATATCGTTCATGGCATTTGACTTGGCCGACATACCCCACTCCAAGCAACCCTCGCACCACAGCCTTTGGAACCAACTGCGAAAGAAGAGTCTGGAGTTCGCCCGAAGTCGTGGAAAGCCTGCGATGCCGATCAAAGACTTTCAAGTCTCAGAAGTCTCTCAAGCTATCAAACACTTCACGCTTGGTACTCGTATTAGAAAGGTCGTCTCGATGGAGGATCTGAGCGGTGCGATAAAACTCGTTCACGAACGATATGACACGATTCTACCCCATGAAACCCTATCTCATGATCCCTCTTCGACACTGTAAATAATATGGTGACAAAGAAGATATCGAACCTGATTCTGGTGTCTACGGAGAAGCTCCCCGCAGAAAGGAGCCTTGGGGACTTAGGACTGGACTCGATGTTGGCAGCGGAGTTCAGAACTTTCATAGACCTGCTCGACAAGGAAACGACCGTGAAGAGCCTTGCGTTGCTTATTTCGAAAGAGATAGAAGCGAAAGTGCAGATGCAGAACGCCAGTTAGCGGGAAGGACGGCTGTCGTCTTCCGGTTCTTGATCTACGGCTACGTCCTCAAACGTATACTTGTTGGTTTTACGCGCGTTTTCAATTAAAAGAAATTTATTTCTTCATCTTTTCGTTATGGTTGGCCACTGACATCCCCGCTTCCCTTGCGTTCAACGATCCTTCCCGCTTCACCATAACTCCATCTCATTCCATGCCAACGCAACAAAAGCCATTTTTGGCGCCACTTACTCCGCCCTATCGAGAATTGCCCAGCGGTTGCGGCACAAGATCTGCTTCTAATGGTGCGAGGAATGCTGTTCCTTAGGCTCCGAGGCGTTCCCAATAGATGGGTTATGACTCTGACGGATCAGCCGGCCTCGGTTGTTTGCACTGTGAACAGGTTTCCGCAGATGACTGTGTCGGGGCTTTACCCGTCGCTCCGGCTTTCATCGCCTCTAGCGCCTCCTCGGCCGATCCCGGCTCCTGCTTCCCTGTCGAGGCCTACTCCTCCGGCTCTTTCGTGGTGCGATTTCCACTGCAGTTGCTCCGCTCATTTGGCTGAGGCTCCTTGTGCGCCTTTCCCGAAGTTCTATCTCCCGCAGCTTGCGCCGCAACATCTGGACGTGCCTGCGCAGTGTATGCTACATCTGGCACAGCAGATCCTCCCGTCCATGCAGCTGACGCCGCTTGATGAGAGGTGGCCGCGGTTGCGGCCTTCTGATTTTCCAAGTTATCCAATCTGTGCCACTCCGCACTAGGATGCTGGTATTCCTCCACCAGTGCCGGGTCTAACTTGACCGAAGATTGCGGCAACTGCACACTACCTCACCACTAGCCTCGCGATACGGCGTCCCAGAGGCTTCCAGAGCGTTCTCACTGGTGAGTTAAAAGTATCGCCGGCTCTTGCTAACCTATACGCAGAGGGACACGGCGGCATGAAGCGTACACGCACCAGCGACACCACGTCATCACACGACGCGACCGGCAGTGAGTCTAAGAGCCCTTTTAGTTAGGGGGCAACAGTGGTGCGGGGCCCGCGCAAGCCACCTAGGAAGAAGAATAGTTCCAAGGTAGTAATACCGATAGGGACCGGGATTCAACGGGCGGATGAGGCAGAGGGCTCGCCTTCAGACTCTCTAAGTTCAAGCCCACATGGGACTGACCGCAGGGGAGATGCGTCTCCACAGCAGTCTGTCAAGGGCAGCCAGAGTTGGGATGATTCTGAAGAAGAGGAGATGCCTGAGGAGACCATTCCTGTGTTCCGGATGCAGGAGAATGCCGCGACGAAGAGGACATCCAAAAAGTCCAGGCGAGTTGGTGATCTTCCTATTGAGCCCGACTGGAGGGGCATGGCGGAGAAGTTCTCAGAAACTGGCTATCTGCCAATTACTAATGCCGCACTGGACTATACGTGTGATACAGATCATCGTTTCGCTCATGACCTCCGCACAGCGCGAGTGACGAATCGTGACCGCACCTGGAGAGACATGTCAGCAAACACTCTCATCACGATGCCGAAAGAGCTGGTGAAGGAGTTGATCACCGGTAACATCGCCAACAGATACTGGCTTCGCAGCAGGCAGGATCTGGCTCGACAGAAGTGCGTTTCGCCGAAGAGGTAGATGCGTTCAACGAGCGCGGAAGGGAGCAGGCATGCATATACGCGCGGATCCTGGTGGACAAAGACGGTTATCCCCCTTACATTGAAGACGTTCGCGTGCTCTTGAAGGAGCTCGAGGCCTACGTGCTGCATGCTCGTACAGCCGATGACCGTCACTACAAGATTGATACGATGTTTGATGATGATTGGTCGCAGGACCAGAGTCGGGCCGGAGACCGGAGATACTTTTCGGAATCGGGCTCGTTCAGGAGAAAGGTGGTCAAGGTGTTCTGCCTCGCGTTAGAGCAAGAACTGAGGGCTAAAGATAGGAGAGGCGCCAAGGACAAGGTATGTGTCTTTACTCGACAAAGGCCTCAGGAGTTCCGTTCCGCAGCTGACAAACCCGCAGGATTTCTTCGTGCCGTCTTTTCACTACATCGGCTACGCCCTTAATTCCGCGGTACGCGAAGAACAGCATTCGTGGACTGGAAGTGCTTCGACGAACTGGCTTGGGTCCTTAGTTCTAGCCATTATGCGATATCACTTCCCCGAAGAGGAATACGAACTCGAGTTCTTCGTCATCTGCCTTCTCGGATTCGAAGAGCAGGCTGCGATTGCAGAAGTGCTCCTTGCAATCATTGGCCACGGGTATTTCTGGACTGGGCTCGGCTTCAATATCGCCTTTTGCGGTCAGTCTGTTAACAGCATCCAGATGACCGCGCTCTCACAGGCGGAGAGGAATGAGAAGTGGGACGACTGGGCACAGTATATTCACGACCACACCCCGTTTGCAGAGAACGGCAAGAGGGATGATCGCCTGACCGACGCGCTTCTGAAGAAGGAGAGGCGCGTAGTCTACGACGCGGCGCGACAGGAAGTCATGGATCTCAGAAGCAAGCAGGATGATGTCAAGGCCAAATTCATGGCGATCGACTGGGAGGATGAGGACTTCGATGATGAGGAGATCGTGGAATTGAAGGAGAAGATCGAGCAAAAGCTCAAAGTGCTCGAGGATTTTGATGTCAAGCACGGCAGCAAGCTCCATAGGGCATCTCTAGAGCCTTAGATTGTGTTTTAGAGTACAATACCATTAGTTCCCGCCTCTTCACCGAGTGTGCATGCAGTAGCTTGAGGGCTTGCAAGCCGTAACCAGACACCACAAGCTGCCCGACTGTTGACCGCGTTACTCCGCCTCGCCTTCTTCATCTTCGCGACGCGCTTTGGAGTGGGCAGTAACCCTAGGAAAGTCAATCGCGGCTGCGGCGACGAGAGGAGAAAATGGCCGAGGACCGCAACTAGACCACAAGGCTACAAGCATGTAAAAAGGAGCTGACACTGTATATATCACGCCTTGGATACGAACCATGAGACGATTTCCAACGCCGTCGGATAGGCAGTGTGAGGATCCACGAGACTTGCGGGCTGTGAGCAGCTTACCGACGACGGCATCGAACGCACCAATTCGAAATCATACGAGGGCCACAAAGCGCTTTCCAGAAAGTCGTCGATCGGCTTTCTCGGACTCAACGTTTTAGAACCCGGATTGCAGAAGGGCGAACGGGCGGGTCCGCGAGGATCTCCAGGAGAAGTGGACCGGGCTGGATGCGTGTCGACCTACGTTGCCGCCCCTATCTGCTCAGCTTCCAAGGTATATAGACTTGCTTCTCGTCTTTAAATGACAAAGTTTGCCTTGTCTTCCGCTTATTTTCACACTTGCCACAGGCGTCTAATTATATGATGCCATGGCGAGAGCTATGCACAAGGTGGCGTTCCTGAGCCGTTCAGGTCGGTAGGACGAAGCGTTCCCTTGCTTGCGGAGCCGGAGAAGCAGATCTTGGAAAGCTGACTTCGTAACAATCTGACGTACATGGTTGACCGCAGTCCGACCACCACAGGCCGGACTGAACCGTTTTGTTTCAGAAACGCATCGCTTATCCAAAGGTTATTCAGCTCACTATGCATGGTCCTCTATGCGCTGTCAGGATGTAGCATAGGCAGAATTGAGAAGTCATCAGAGTAATTATCCATGTACAATTAAAAGAGTGAATATTTTTCAGAGGAAGTGGAAAGTATTGAGACATACGTTGATTGATTGAGAACCGGAGAAATATGGCTATATATATATGGCCCAGGTCACGTGACGCAGTAACCATATCCAGTAACACTATTCTATCCCTGTACGTGCAGCCTAATAGACCTACTCAGCCTTCCTTACCGGAATCTCACCACGTCTTCTTACACGGCCCCATGTTCCTTAATCCTCTCACTCTAATCCGAAATCCTGGCCTAGCGTTAGTTTCTATCGTTAAAAGTGACGTTGCCTTCGTGCCTAAAGTCGAACCTTCATCTCACACAAGGCTGCATTAGCCTAACGAGGAGGCAACATTCAATCCCGCAATGAAGCCTTCAGCATCTATCTACGAGCCACTCGATGACGTCTTCAAATCCGTTCGATTAATCGAAGTCCTTCCACCGTCATCCGATCGTCAAATCTGCATTCGCATGCGACAAGCCCAAGCCCCAGTTCAGTACCGATGCCTATCGTATACGTGGGGAGACGCATCTCAAGAAAGCGAAATCCTCGTGAACGATCAATCCGTTCGCGTGCGCTATAATCTATACACATTCCTGCAGACAGCGCAGCGCCGGTACACAGAGCAGTTACTATGGATCGACGCACTATGCATCAATCAGAATGACAACATAGAGAAGAATCATCAGGTGCAACGTATGGGGGAGATTTTTAGCGGTGCGGAGGCGGTGCTTATTTGGCTCGGTGTTGAGCCGGGACTGAATTCCCTTTTTGAGTCCGCAAACGTGGGGACCGTAGTTCACTCGTCGGACACTACTGCGCTAGCCGTTTGCAGGCGGAACAACTCCCTGGATAATTGTTTTCACGATCTGGCTTCGAATCCATACTGGAGTCGGACTTGGATAGCCCAAGAGATTCTGTTAGCGCGGCAACTTGTATTCGCCATTGAGGCAGAGGAGATGAAATGGGAAAATCTGGTTTTGCTCATGGACGCGATCTACCAATACTTCAAATGCACATATCCCTCACATCCTTCATATCCTTGGGATTTTTTTCGAGAATCTCATTTCGGAAAATTCGAAAAGAGCCGGAGCTCTAGAGAAATCTCAAGGAATAAAAGCGAAATCTGGGATCTTCTGATGTGGCGGGGCGAATCCAAGTGTGGGGATCAGCGCGATCGTATCTACGGATTGTTATCGCTGGTTCAAGGGGGTGAATCATTCCCGGTTAATTATGAAGAGGGCATACTCTCGCTTTTCTGAAGGGCTGGTGAGCACTTCGCGGCGTGGATAGATTAAAAAGCCGTGTGTTGTCTTTGTCAGACATTGGGATTGACGGCCAGGGAACTGCAACAGACGTTGGACTCTGACAGCTCATGCGTACCACACAGCTTGACTCTCGTCGTCGAAAATGTCTATCTGCCAAGCGACGGTCGCCCAAACCCAACCCTGGGCATACATTATATCAATCGCCTTCCGCAAGCCACTCTAGAGGATTGGTTCTACTGCCGCGCTTGTTACATGCAAGTCGGCGCTTTAACGACCGGTGGTTTTCTGGTATGTCTAGGACCGGGGAAAAGCCGAACTCATGCTCTCCTGTCGCCGAGCAAGAACGGCTTTTCTGTAGTCTTGTTTCCCCTTCAATATACCTACGATCCAAATCATTTGGAGCTTGGAGAATGGGTGCCTAGGGATCCTTTCGAAGGCGAAGAAGGGGAAAAGAGTCTGATAAAAGCCGGAGACAAGTTACAGATACCGGCAGAATATGTTCTAGCCAGCTTGCGCCGTGCCGATCTGAATCCGTACATACCTAAGCTACGTAGCGGCTAAACCTGGAATTTCGAGTAGCGGAATGACACTATAGTAAAGATTCCTCAATCAATGAATAATTCAAATAATAGTTGTAATTGTTTAACACTGAGCAGGTTTGAGTTTTCCTCTCAGAAGAGGATATTCTAAGCGTTAGGATTTGTTTGGCCTTCTCCTTGCTAACCTTCTAATTCATTTGGCGTATCCTTCGGCCCTTCATGCCCTCTAAATCATCAACGTAGATTTCATAACCCCTCCCTGTCCCCGCACCCTTCAAGGCGAAGCCGCTTAAGCGAAACAACCTCGAGGCTAACTGCCCGCCTTCCCTGGTCAACCCCGTAGCAAAGTCCTTCAAAATCTCCAATTTATTCTTAGGGAATCGTTTCTGGCACAGGTAAAGGGGCAGAAACTAATCACAGCTGAGATCGCGTACCTATCCCCAATCAACAACCTTACACGGCGAAGTGCGTGTGGTCCGTCTAATAACGAAGGTATCGTCTAACAGACTCATCAACATTTCGCAGATACGAATTACTTACGCCCAGTGCGGGAGGTGAAGACGTTGGTCGCGGGCTTCCCGCAAGTCAGTTTCTACGAGATATTTGGAATGAATGTATCAGCCACCGCTGCGGAAATAGGCTTCCTCACCATTCCAACGCCAAAGCCGCATCAGTCCTTCGATATGCGCCATACCGCAAGCGTTGCTGGCAAAGCTCCACCTCCACGATTCCAATGAACTTGAACTATGGCAATAGGCTCAACAAGCCATCGTCCGGATATCGGATCATAAGTGCGCTGGTTATATCTGACCCAATACCAGGTCTGTCATAATGGTGGCTTCCATTAACTGGGGAGCGAGGACGAGGTATGTATCGAACCAAAGGAAATGAGCTATGCTTTCTGCCATTCTAAGACTGATTCAGGCCTTATCCCCAGAAGCCCTTCCCACTAGTGCATCAAGCCTCCCCAGCATAAAATCCGAAAATGTTTCTCAAAGGTGTACCAATTCCGACGCTGCGATCCCATGCTATTCTCATCACCTAGCGCTTTTCCCCGTCTTCCAACGCCCATTCCCTAAGTATGAGATGCACAAGCCGGATTTCCCAAGCGGTCACATTCGTCAAAACCAAAGTCTTCAATGAATCGTGTCAATCGTACTGATAGAGCGTCTTGGGATATCTAAGAAATGGCGGCGGAGTACTGGCGCGGAAGACAGGAGGAATATCTGGCTCAGTATTCGGTATGTTGGAGGGCGGGATCGTTTGCAAGGGAGCATATGAGGTCTTTTCGGAGGCTACTATCTGACCCAGGCACGTCGGTTAGCGACCATTCGGCAAGCAGCAACACAAGCCGGTATGTAGCGGCCATGCAGCGCACATTCCCACGAGGAGGGTTTTCCTAGCTTTCATGAGCTTTCTACACGTGATAGTTGCTTTACTACTTACCACCAGATAGCGATACAGTTGAGTTCTAAACGATCGATAGTGCTAGACAGTGAAAGTGCCAGGCCAGCGATAGTACCTTCTAGTCATGATACCGAACCACTTGGACACGTTGACGACCTCTAGGAGCGGCTTCCCGCAGACTACTTCACTCTGAAGAAGACTCCCCTGTTTAAGAAAACTTCTTCTCTACTGCAGCCATAAACGCATCGTATTCTGGTTTGTACGACCAGTCGATACGCGAAAAGTCATACTGGACTTCCAGGTTGTAAAATGAACCCAAGCCATGGTGCCAGATATCCAGTCCCAAGAACGTCTCAGGGTCTTTAGTGAGTGCAGCAAATTCCGGTAAGTGATTCCGATCGACCAGCCATTGAACAGCAGTCTTGAGATCCATGAGAAGATCTGGGTGATTAGAGAAGTAGTCATCGCACTCTGTCATGTCGGATGCTTGCCATTCTTTAGAATAGGGTGATGGTATTTCCTTACTCGGAGGAAGGAAGAAGTAGTGGTGATCGTATCCCTCCCCAAAGCATTCAACCCTCCCGAAAAGAAGGACCTTTGCAGGGCGACTACTTCCTACGTCGAAGAGATTCCTGAGACGTTGTTTTTGCTCCGTCGTCCCGTTCCATTCGTCTACCGCCTCCAGGAGTAGGAGTTGTGCCTGAGCATCGTAGCACAGGTGACTTGCGCTCATTTCCATAAAGGCGAAATACCAGCGTTCGGTCCGATGCGGCATTCTCAGCGTGCTCCCGAGGGAATGATGTATAAATCGAGCGTTGAGGTCTGCTCCATGCTCGAGAAACTGGCAGGTTAAACTGAGCATGCTGGCCATGTCGGCGGTATGGTCGCCTCCATCAACTAGAGCTTCTAGGAACGTAATGAAAGGTGACTGATATATAGCTGGCTGAATCGCTGAAGGTTGAATGGGTGCAGGTAGATCGTTTGGGTCTGCGCCCAGACGGAGTAGCCAAGACATCAAAGGGACCTTTTCTGGCAAATAGAACAAGTCGACATCATAGTTAGAGCGCCATAATGGGCCTATAGCGCATCGGAGAAGTTGATTTTTCCATCTTTGAGTGCGTGGATTGGTGTACGATGCCAAAGACTGGACGAATCTTTGCAGATACTGGATCGATCCCATTGCAGCAGCGTACTCGACGAATGAGAGACCCATACTCAGAGAAGTGGGATTCCGATCCAGGTGTGAAGCCATCAGATCCAGGAATGGCAGTTCTAGGTCCGGATCCTGTGTGATATACTTGTCGACGACTAGCACATATCGGAGCCTATGTAAGAGATCTCCTAGAGCTGCCCCATTGGTATCACTGCAGAAGAACTCAAATGGCAATAGCAAGGACGGCACCTCAGAATAGCCCCGCTCCGCCGCTGTTCGTGGGTCGTAACTGAGAATCCTTTGTCCATGCGTTGTGTCCTTGAAAAAGTCGCTCGCGCTTCGGTGAACAAAAGAGACCCTCCTGTTGATCCATTCATATATGCTTCCTTTCTTAAGCTGCCTTTTCGACGAGGAGGACACCTCAAGGAACCCACCACACCTAGCAATGAGCTGATGATGGAAATTCATCAATTCATTGACCACATACTGCTCCGTAATCTCCCTGCCGCCAGATAGAAACGCACGTAGCACGGCAGGTTTCGATCTCAAGAGCATCGAGAACAATAATTGTCCACGGAATTTCAAAGCCAGCTTGAAGTAGACTGCGGCTTCGTTGCGATATATCTGTTGATCCTCTTCATTGAGGCGATTCCACATCTCCTTATATAGGGCGGAGAGTGCCGATGGCAGAAGATTAACGCGGCGAAATAGCTTGTCCCAGTCGTCAAATTGGATCAAACCATTCCGAATGCTCTGGGTGACAAGGTGAACCCAGAGAAACACGCCAGCAGCTTTTTCGATAATGAGATCAGCCAATCTGGACAATTCTTCGTGCGTCGCGACGGTGCTTGCACTAAGAGTCTGGTGCACGTATTTGGACATATCCGACTGTGTCAAATCCTGCAGTCGTAGTCGTGGATATTCCTTTAGTCTGAGAAGGAAGACGGATTCTTCCCGGCTTCCGAGGCAGATTTTGACGTTTGGAATAGATGGGAAGCTGTCAATCAGATCCAGAAGGCCGTGCTTTCCATCATACTCGGCCGGATCTATCTCATCCAAGCCATCAATGAAGAAGCATACGGGACTGTTTTCGAACTGTAACGCCAGTTTGAGAGCGTGGAGCAATTCTCCTCTTGACCAGTCCGAAATATAACGTTTGCTGTGAGTTGCTGGCCTAACCTCCAGTAACTGCCACGTCGCTTGGTGGCTAACGGACAACAACTGATGAAGCAAGGTCGCCAGTAAGCCAACTTGGCTTCTTTGCAAGGCTGAACCTGCATTCCAGATGAAAGCAGTGAGAATCTTGGCATCTAGTCTCCACTGATCCAAGAAAGCCGATGCCCGCTCGTCGGTAATAAGAATCCGGATCAGGCTGCTCTTGCCTGAGCCAGGTTTGCCTGAAATCCAGTACACGGGGTCGCCCGACTGAAGCCAATCACTGAAGCTACTCCATTTACGCTGACGCCCCTCATTGCACCCAATCTCGTCGTCGAATATCCAGTGATATGTGCCTTTGTGGGTATTGTTGATAGCAGGAGCGTTCCGACGCGCGTTCATCTCGGGGTACTCAAGGCTGCGTAGAAAAGCTTCTAGCTGAGCTTCACGAGCTTGCATAGACCGATGATCATCGAACGTCGAATCCACGTGATGTCTCGTCCTGACCGACTCGTTTACTACCACATCTCCAATGGCTTTAGTATGCCCATGGAGACTGGATCTGACTTTTTCGCCTTCTTGTGTCACCAGCGTTCGGACCTGTCCCGATTCAAGGCCTATCAGCACACTCATCTGAGTGTTTCCTGCTTCGAGCTGTTGGAGAAAAGCTTGCGTTTTCCGGTCGAGGGCATCCAGGTTCCGATGGACTGTGACATGGTTGTGCTCCAATCTCGCCCTGCCTCGGTTAGCTTGGGGTTCGGAGCATTCAAGGCAAGTCTTACTTCAGGCCGACGAGTATATTAAGCTCCATAATCTCCTGGAAATCTTTCAGGGATCGAGAGAGCTTCTCCACCTCTTTCTTCCTCCGAACAATGTATGTGAAAGCAGTCTTAACCTTGCGCCACCCAGAGACGGTAGCGCTTTTCTTGCATTTTTCCAGCTCTTTCTTCAAGTCGTCCGCAACATTCAACAGTTTTACGACCACCGATCGTAGCTCATGATCACCGGGGTCGCCCGCGTTCGCCGGGAGGGAGGGTAGCGACTGCTGGAGCTCCTGTGCAGCCTTCTCCAATGCCACTCTGTGGTCGTCAACCTCTGGAGCCGGTGACTTTCCCTCCCACAATCTCTTGCAAACAGAGGCGGCTTCGAGGCCGAAATGAATCGTCTGCATGACATTGCAGGCAACTCCGAACGCTGCAAGGCCCACGAGTGCCTCCATCGCGGCAAGGCTGAACACCTTCAGCACGAGGGTTCGGGGGGCAAGGAATGGGAGTAACAGGGCCACTAATGCTGACCCAGCGCAATAGCTAGTTCAGGGAGCGTAAATGTCCATGAAAACAAATGCGTTATCGAGTGTTGGGGTGTAGGAGAGAGGGAAGCTCAGCCTGCTTAGGTATCACAAGTGCGACCGCAGCAGCACATGATGGCTGTCACTCCAACCAATCGGGACCGCCCAGGCCTGCATGTCGCTGCAGCCTACGCAACGGTCAATCGAAGGATGCCACAGCCTCGTTGAGATTTGAGGCCTACTTTTGCGAAGGACTTTTTAACAGCAGAAGGCAAATGCGGCAGTCAATCGGGAAGAAGAATGAAGGGGTATCTTATCGCATCTAAACCGGACGCCTCCCCCGTGGATATCCCTCAGACGAGAGAATGGATGTCCAAAACCACCCTCACACCACAACAGCCTCGACCAGCCTCTCAATCCCAGCCTCCCAGTCCTTCCACCTCATCCACGCCCCCTTCGGACCATCAAACCCTGCGCCTCCCTTCCCGACCTCCTTCTTCAACCCCCCTCCCACACCCTCACCCTGCTGCTCCCACCACTCCCTCTCCGCCCTCTCCCTTGCCCGCTTTACAACAGCATCCTCATCCTCCACGCGATACAAATCGCACTTATCACACTCCCTACACGCCTCACCCGGTCGCTCCCTGAAATGTTGACAGAAGTGCTTGTAGCCCTGTTCCGCCAGACCTTCCCGACAGACGTAGCACATGGAGTACCCGCAGAGGCAGACGAGCTTGTTGCAGCCTTCAGCCTTGACGAAGCCGAGATTGCATTGTGGGCAGGTGCGTTTGACGGCGTCGGTGGTTGCGCGTTCGAGCGTCAGGCGGAGCGAGGTGAGTTGGCTGGAGTAGCAAGTATGCGGATCGTGCCAGGGCGCAGAACAGGAGAGGCAGGATGTGCGGCTGCAGGTTGGCGAGAGGCATTGGAAGCGGAGACCGCGGCGCTTGAGGTGGATGCGGCGGAGGGCGGATTGGAAGGGAGCGAATAGCGGAAGTGGTTTTGGGAGCGCGCAGTTGATGAGGACTGCGAAGGAGAGGAAGAGTAAAAGGAACGATAGGACCACACGAGCGGCCTGGAAGCAGAGCAGCTCGAGGACGGGTACGGATGCTAGGATGAGGGGTCGCCTTTTCACCCGCAGCGTCGCAAGCAGATCCGTATCCGGCAGCGCTAGATCGTCGACTTCGGCGTACGGGCAGAAAGGGCATCGGATGAGTGGGAGCTGTGATTTCATGAGGGTTTCGCCGGAAAGGCGTTCATTGAGCTTATTGAACGCGTCCCCGCCGTCCTTTTCTTCTAGCAGAGCGCGCTTGATGAATGGCCGCGGTACGCAGCCTGGGCAGTCCTCGATGCCGTCCGTCACAGGTGCAATACACTTGAGCGTGCAAAAGTCGGTGTTGATGTTGCGCGCCCAGCCCTGGTCGTATAGCGCCGCATTGATGGCGTGCTGTATACAGCGGAAACAAATATAGTGGCCCTCGACGTCGCATGTTGACATTTGCTGGAGCGTATTCGGAATAAAGCAGCATTCGCAATCGTACATCTCGCCTTCCTTTTCCGCCTCCTCTTCGTTCCACTTCAAAGCCAGCTCAAGATCTTGCTGAACCTGCTCTCGCCGCTGCCTCTCAAGCTCCGGCACGATCAAGGTATCGTACAGCTCTCGGTCTAGCTCCCGACTCTTCGTCTTCACTAGCAGCGGCTTCCTCCCACGGCCGGTCTTCGGGTCCGCAGCCAGCCACATGACGAGCGGGTGATCCTTTGGGTTCGGCGGCTTCCTCCTCATGAAGAAGTTGGTGATGCTCGATCGCCAGCTCTTGCTCGACAGCACCAGCAGCGTAGGCCTCGCCTGTGTATAGCTCCAATTGTACTCGGCCAGCACCGCCTTGATCGTAGAATGACTCAAGCCCTTGAATTCATGATACAGCGCCTCCTTGGCCGCTTCCTTATAGCTGCGCGACCTGAATTTGTCCTCCAGAGCGAGCGGTGCACCCCGTGTATCCTCCTGGGCATCTGCCTTCCGGTACTTGTATTCGTGCGCCACCGCCCGCTGCTCTTCCACCTCCGCGGGCATCCTGTACCGCCCGCGCACCCATTTCGCGCCGTGTTTCAGCAGCGCCTCAGTGACAACCTGTAGCCTGCTCTCCTCGCTGAAAGAGTTGAGCATCTCGCGGAAGACTTCCGGCTGGACGTCGGGGAAGATGTCGGTCAGGCCTTGGAGCGCGGCGTTCAGCTCGCGCAGGTTGGGGTCTTCGATATCATCGGAGGCGGGGCATGAAGAGGTGAGGCTTTCGGAGGCAGTCTGGCTTGCTGAGCCAGGCCGCGACTTGGGCGGCCGCACGAGGGAGGAGAAGACGGAGGTCATGGCGGTCGCTGGGCTGTTCGGGGACGTTGCCAGCCGTGGACGTGAGAGCTCATTCGGGGGTCCTCAAGGAATCTACAGCAGGATGGGGTAGGTTGAGAGGGCTGTCATAATGGCGGGGTAGGTGAGCGCATTTCAAAAGCCGGTTCGATAGGTTGCGAGCGAGGCGTGTTGAGAGATGTTAGAAGGTTGAAAGTTGCCGCTGGATGACGCGTTCCTTGGCCATCATCGCATGTTCACGTGACCCCACTGTCACCTAGATGTGGGAACTTGAGGATAAAACGCGTATATTTTCAGAAGGTTAGAACAAGAGGAATATATATAGCTCGGCTGAATTTTGTGTATCACGTGACCGAGTAATATCCGGTATCCCCGATCGGATCATGGGTAAGTCTGGACAACTAGGGGTTTTGAATCATATGGTGTACCTTGTTCATGAAAGCATACGTACTGAAGAAACTCAGAGTTTATACAATGAATTCAATCGCAACATATTACACACTTTCAAGGTCTCTCCTAGCCCAACCAACCAGACACATCCAGTGCCCTCAACACCAAGGCACCACGACTTAAACATTACCAGTACACAAGAAACACAGAGAGAAAAAGAAGAGACACAAAGAGCACAAAAACCAAGCCCAAAACCAAACTCTACAACCAAACCGCCTAAGGAACCCCCGTAGGCGCGCCCTCCAACCACTCCCACGTCGCACTAATCCTCCCGGGCGGATCAGCGGCCCAATAATTTGCAAAAACGCCCGGTTGCACATCCAAATGGGTGACATTACACGCGGTACAGCGATCCCGCACCACAAACCGCTGCTCGACCCTGCCCTCGCCCTCGCCCATCCAAATCCTCATGCCGCGATTGCAAAACACGCTCTTGCCGTCCGTAATAAGCCCGTTACTAACAGTGCCCTCGAACCCGCTTTGCAAAACCGAGCCCCCGATTTCTTTCCCCATGTCGAAGATCACCCAGGAGATTGCGACGGCGAGCTCGTTCGGCGCCATGTCGGGCAGGCCGCAGGCCCCCGTGCCCGGGTTGAAGTATGTGAGATGGCCGACTTGCGGGGCTTTGGGGACGATGTTGGGCGCGACGTAGCCGGGCGGGATGGGGAAGGGGTAGTTGTCTGGCCAGTCTCTTAAGAGGTGGGCGCCTGTCCATGCGGGAGGATGCGGGTTTGCGCTCGTCGGGACGGTACGGGGGGTGTATGCGGCTGAGTTCGCTTGCGTGGTGTATGTGAGCATTGGGATGGTCCAGTGCGCGGGAGGTGTGAGTTTGGGGTGGGGTGGGAGCACGCCGAGTTGGGACCCGGGTGAGGGGTCTGCTCGAGGTGTCATATAGCGCTTTGTAGCCCAGGCCCGTGTGATCTTAGGCGCGGCGACGTTCATGCTGGCTCTGCTGATCGGATGTTCCACGACATTGCTATCGTCCAAGGTCGTTGTTGTCAGAGTAGGCCGGGCTGGGATCGCTGTCGACGTGATGCTCAGCTCGAGCGCCCCTTCATCAGCGTCGCTACTGCGTAACTTATACACCCATCTCTTCCAGCCGTCCCAGGACAGCAGCACAGGGTATATTCTTTGAGCAGCATTTTGCTGCATCTGCCTGCGCACCGGCGGCGTCCCCGTCTCTGCGACCCCCATCTCCTCAGTCTCCGTCGCCATCGCAGTGAGCTCTCGCGCTCCCGGACCAGGCGCCACAGTCTTGACCTTCCCCACATCCCCTATACTTTCCGTCGTGGTAGTCGTCGCCCTCCACGCCTGGCCCAGCCTATCCCCATTCCCATCCTCTCTCTTCCACCCCGCAATCTCCGGCTTGCCGGGAACCTTCTCCAGCACGTCATGAATCTGACTAATAGCTGGCTCGACTTGAGTTTTCACATAGTTGATTGCCGCGTCTTTGACGTCGCTGATCTTGCCCTCGAACTTCAGAATCTTGCTGGTGGTCAAAACAGCGAAGACAACGAGGGCGAGGGAGACTAGAGAAAGGATGGCGAGCCCCATGAGGATCCACGTCGTTTGGCTCTTCCAGAAGCCTTTGAACAAGGACTTGGAGATGAATTTCATGCCGCGGAGAAACCAGTTCTCCGATTGCGGGGCACCAGCGCTCGTGGCTGCGGTGTCTTTCTTCGCCAGGGAAAGAATGGAGACTTCCGGGACGTTCGAGGTCTTCGTCGGCGTCGGACCAGCACTCGATCCTTCCGCAACCGTCCTGCTCACCACAATCGTCTCCGGCCACGGCTCTACCCTCCTTCTCCAATTCAAAGGATTAAGGTTCTCAACCACATCCTCAACCGTATTCTGAGCCTCGCCCAGATCGGGCTTAATCTTCTCCACCAGCTCCTTCACCTCGCCCAACCCCTCCTTCATCTCCTTCTCCACCTTATCCGTCGCATTGTCGACCCACTCCATCGTCTCTTTTGACACGGTGCCCGTAATCTTGTCGAAGACTTCCTTGGCCTCGCCCATGGTGTCGTTGAAGAAGTTTTTGATCTCCGCCTTGGTGGCGCCCAGGGGGTCCTTCAGCCAGCCCCAGAATTCGTGAAGTTTGTGGAAGGCGTAAATAGCGAGGCCAAAACAGAGAAGGATGAATAATAGTGTGTAGAGGAGGTTGATGTGCATCCAGACTTGGCTTATTCGCAGGTACCAGCGGCCAATAGTGCAGCATACCCGCCAGATGCTGGAGCAGCTTCGAGTAGCTCTCGAATTGCGCACGTCGGCAAATCTCGAATTGCCGGGACTTACGGCTTCAACTTGCGGTATGGCGGGCAGCAGCGTGACAACGGAGGCGAGCAATGCCGTGGTGGAACTCGACATGGCTGTGTGGCTAGGAGAAGCGGTCATCGTAGGGGTGTATATGTCGGTAGTAAGAGCAAGAGACTCAGTATTGGGATAGTTTCTGGGAGCAACCACCTCGATAGTATACGGATCCGTATCCTCTCCTTCCGCGTCAGATATATCAATGATCGTCTCGGGTGGAGTAGTAGACAAAGCGCCTGGAAGGGATAGTGTTCCGGTAAAGCCTGCTGAGGGTTTTGCGAAATGTGGGTAATTGGAATTTGCAGAAGTCGGTGGTCCAGTTCTTTCACTTCTATCCAAGCTACGAGTCACAGCGGTCTCCGTCATCGTCAGAGGAGTCCCAGTCATCGTTGCTGAGGCATGCATCCCAGTCATCGAAGACGTGGTCATCTGGACAGGGCTAAGTGTCGAATCCGCCGTAATGTTCGAAGGTATCGCTAAGTCGAATTTAGCATCGAGGTTCAGCACCTTCTTGAAGGTAAGAGATGATATGACCACCAAGCCAAGCAGGACTACGACGAGGCAGACCTTGCATGCACAGATGATTTTGCGACTCGTACTGCTCGGCATCGAGTTGCTTCTGGTGCTGGGGTCGCCTTGCCAAGTGCTGATGGGATTCCGATAGTTGTGCCGAGCGTATATTGATGACGCGGTATGCTTGTAATGTCCCTGGGCAGGCGTCCGAGATTCCCTAAGGTTCGGTGCGGTATATTCTTTTGCGAAAAAGTCCTCGACAAGGGATGGGTTTGAAATTTCGCGTGAGCAATACTTCGGCCAGTCTTCGCCGTTCCGAGAGCCTTCTGTTTCCAAAGGGATGTCCTCGTAGTATCCTGAAATCGGGTACGGAGGGGCAGTTCTCGTAGTATGTACAGGCGGAGGAAGAGTAGGTGTCTCGAATGGCCTGTTCGAACCAGAAGGCTGTGAAGATGGTGGGGACGAAGGATTCGAGCGAAGTGCGTTATCCGGACCGACAGAGCAGCGTTTAGTGTCGAGGGATGGTGTTCTATTAAGTTCGCCCCGCTGTTGCAATGGCCGTAATGAGGGTGATGCTTTCGCAAAGAATGGTGATATTTCCGCAAGAGAAGTGATAGCTGCACCAGTTTTGCCGCCACTCTGTATGCTGTATCTGTAGGGGTCGCGGCTTCTTGTGGAGCCTCCAGTGGCCGAGCGACCGATTTGCAACGGTTGTGGGAGGAAATCCTTATCCTCTAGTGGAGAAGCGTTTGAGGGTTGCGAAACGGGTGTTGCTTCGGCAGCGGATGGATCTCTGATCGGCTGTGGATTTCCTATGGGTAAGTTCCTCACGCTCGGCGGTTCTTGGGTTGTTTTGCTTCGGAAGAAGGACATGAACAGTGCATAGATAAACTTCTTGGTATAAGTTTCGACTTCGTAATCCTGCAGCGTAGAAAACTTGCAGGCGTAGCCCAAAGCAAGGAAAGATAGCGAGATAGCGTCAAGGCAAGAGACGTAGGAGAGGCGTAGGAATAAGGGCATGCCAACGGACACCAAGATGACAATTCATGATAGCATACTCATAGGGGATGCGTCACGGAACGACTGGTGCGAATGACTGCGCGAATAAGGACGGGAATGATTGTATTGCTCATAGCCAGGCCCATGTCACAGGCACTCTGCCTAGGTCGGGATCTGCCATCTTTCTGAACATAGCTGGACTCACATCGATGTCTCGAGGTTCGCAGCCGGTACCTGAAATGAATTAGCATCCGTAGCTGCGGATGGGGAATCGAATTGGGCCAAGAATAGAAGACTCACAGCGATCTACAACAGTCACATCAATGCTGACCTGCTTTCCGGCATTAACCCTATTCGCCCTAATCTTCCTTCCACAGAGCGGATTCGAATTCGGATCGGTCCCCTGCTGCACCGCATCGAAAGTATAGTGCGAAACCGCGACCACGGCATCATTATCCGTCGAAGCTATTCCACATGCACCGAGGGCGGGATTGTAGTATGTCAGGTCGCCGGAGAAGGTCTGCGCACCACCGGGGAGGGGGAGGAAGCGATCCCTGGGCATATGTTAGCCGGCGCCGGGTGTGCGTGGTGAATGTACGGACTTCTTCTTGGTCAGTCCAACCGCCAGGCCGATGATCAGTGCGAGGAGGCAGAGAAAGACGATAGCAGCCGCTATGAGTAAGGTCCGGCGACTGCGCCCAAAGTAGCGCCTGTGCGGGGGAAGCATGCGGTCGAAGCGATCAGTAATAGCCCAGCGCGTCGCGCTCGATCCAATGCCAATATGTGGATGCCTCCTTTTTGCGGTGCCTTCTTCTGGTATCTCCCAGCCCGGTGCATTATTCCCGTTCGTATGGGCAACTGTAGGAGCTTTTACCTCCTTGGAAGGAGGGGCTGGGGCGCTCATGGCGGTTTATGTACCGCGCAAACGGCGCGTCGACGTGAACTATGCAGGAGAAAACGGATTATATGGGGGTATCACAGAATTACAATCGACAACATGACCAAACGAGCGGACGCCTCAGGAGGTGAGCCTGGGCAGGGCGTGGACGGCTACGAGCGCGGTGGAGTGAGTCGATCGTTCAGTGAATGTTGTGGGCTAATCTGGGGAAAGAGGTCGTGCGCGCTAGCGGCGATTCTTCGGCAGAACGTCATCCATTCGCCGACCACCGAACCTCCGCCGTCTTCCTCTCCGGCCTTCACTACTCCTGCAAGCCTGCACAATCAGACCCGGCCGCCACGATCATACAAACCCGGAGCTCCAGCACTTACCCGCTACCACTACTCCCCGGCGAGCGTCCACCACTCCCCGAGTGCCACATCGCAACCGCCACTCCCCCTCGGAACTTCGCGCAAGACCCCCTACGAGCGCATATTTCACCGTCCACAATGACGGAGCAGACGCTCAACATACCGCAACTCATCGTCTTCATAATCATCACATTCCTCGCCGCGCGATGGTACTTCAGCAAGCCCACGGGCAGCGGCACACGGCCGGCGGGGCAGAACCGCGCCGCACCGAGAGTAAACCCCGCCCAGATCGATCAGGTTGCGCAGATGTTCCCGCAGCTGGATCGACGGACAATAGCATGGGATCTGCAGAGAAATGGCGGGAATGTTACTGCGACCACGGAAAAGGTGCTCAGCGGACGGGCACTTGAAAATGTGAGTGGCCCTTGGGCAGGCCTAAAGCAGCCCCAGTACCCGCCATATCACGGACCGCACTGCTGACTCATTTTAAGCCTCCCGCGTCTTTCAATCCTCCGCTACCGCGCTCCAACACCCCATCACGGACCGCGACACCATCCGCGAAGCCCTCACAACCCGATCTGATAACGCGCTACAACCTGTCGTCGAAAGTCGGAAAGTCCACTGAGCCCGCATCAGAAGAGCCGCCGAAGCCGAAGGCGTGGTCACAAGACAGGAACGAGAGGCAGGCAAATCTACAAAGGAGGAGGGAAGAGATGATCCTAGCGGCACGCAGGAAGTTGGAAGAGAAGGAACGGGCGAAAGCTTCGAAGGCGGTATCATGAGGGGATCCAGCCTATTTTGACAGGTAAACTGCCTTGCGTTGTGAAGAGGGCGCGGGTTTGACATGGTAAGAGGTCTGATAACGTTCGAAACTAAAAACCTATAGTGTCGAAATAGATACATGTCACTTCAGGGTCGGTTTTCTACGACTTGGGGGCTCTCGCGGTCGCGTATCGTTACTCGTCTTCTTGTTTTCCTTCCCTTACGACCAAAATTGCTGAGGAGTGCGTCACAGCCGAGCCCATGGCCGTATGGCTTTTATAGTATGGCCGGGACGTGACTATTCGCTGTCCACCATCCACAGAAGTTCGTACGTCCTCTGGGCGGCGGTCAGGGGAATGTGCTCAAGTTCCGCGCCTCTCGTGTGCTTTTTTGCATGGGCTCAGTCCGGTACGACTTAAGTTCGCTCGTTCCTCACGCAGCGCCTGCCATAAGACACCCACATCCCTACGGTAAACATGACGCCGTCCGAACCAGACAATTGCCTCACCGCTCCTCCTCCTAGCCATCGCCCCCGGTGGTGCCACCAAGCCGACCCACTCTTGATCTACAGCGGCTCTCTCGCCATCATAGTGGGTAGCGTCTGGCTTGCTGATTCGTTTCGTGTCAGAGACCCAACCGAAGGACGCTCCAACATTTTTTCGCTTCTTATCGTTCGGCATTGCCTCCGCTACTGCCTGCACATGTACCACTCGAGCCACAATCCGCGTCGCATGCGCTGCTTTGCTTCACGCTCTATCCGACAACGGGCATTCTATGTCGTTGACTTTCAGTACGAAGGAAGCCCTAATCGTAGGCATGGGTATCAAATGCTCTCATGCATTAATGGGACCCAATTGTGCGAAACGCGACTTCTTTGGTTCTACTCGCAGCGGCATATTTCTGTCAGCGTTTCGTGATTCGGGGAGCAGTCGATCGGTATATGCCCTTTGGGGTGACGGCATTGAGTGGCGCATCTACCGGAAGAATCGGTGAAGATCGCGAGCGATACATTGTGAACGCTAGTTGATTGCAGACAGGACAACGCTGTGCGCAAGATTGGCTTGGAGGAAGTGCGGATCAAGTTGCGAGGTATGCCTGCTGTCAAAGCATAACTGGGGAGGTTGCACCTTCGAGTGACAAACGGATGGAGGGAATATTGGACGACAAAAAGACGGGCCGTGCCGGCTAATGCATTTGGTGGCTCTACCGTCTAATTACCTCGGCGAACCTACGAGCACCGCGGAGAGAGACCCAACGATACGTTTTTCACCAAGATAAGTCAAATCACTCAAAGCAGCAGCTTACCTATCTGGAGAGCTCATCGGGTTCGATGCTGCTAGGATGCGCGGCCTGCAGGCCCCAAATTCGACGCCGCTCCAACTGCTCCCCTTGTCCATTCTCTCTTGAGCTTGATAGAACGGATAACGCGGTGTAGGTTGCTCAGGATAAAACACGATCGCACAACTCCGCTTCATGCGCTCTTCTCCTTCACGTTCGGTTAAAAATCCCGCGAGGCGATTTCCTCGCGACGATTCAGTCGAAGCGGTCAGCGTTGTCGACGTCGAAAATCCCTTCGAAAATCCCTTGATACTTCCATACACATATGCGGATTCCTGAGCACGACCCGGCTCGGTTGCCGGATACCTTATTCCCGTGGAGTATTCCGCAAGTTGTGGGGATAGTGCGCATGTCAGTTGGAGAAGGAAAGGTGGAGAGGGAGGTACGAGGCCGGTCCGCCGATCACTTCGTCATGAGGATTAGGCGGGACGAGAGTGCGGGAGTACTTGAATGCTAGTCCACCCATCTTACAGCTAGTCTGCTGAGCGGTCACCAAGGAAGAATAATACTTGTTTGTCGAAGAAGTTTTCTATCCAAGAGCTGGGAATCAGGATGGGTTTCTTCCCACAGTTACGAGGGCGGACCCTCTACCGCCTCATGAAAATAGTATGCGGCACCTCATTTATGATGTACGGCGTATGTATCCCACTCATCTCCTCGACTTCATGGCTTCTAACATTCTTCAGTACGATGCCGGCGTCTTGGGCGGGGTCCTCCTGCATCCTCCATTCCTCAACGCCATCGGCAACCCCACCAATGTCTGGACCATCCCCATGATCACGGCATCATACGATCTGGCAGCCTGCGTAACCGCCGTCGGGATAGCATTCTTCACGTTCAACATCGGACGGCGCGGAACAATCATCATGGGTAACATTGCCGCAGTCATCGGCTCCGTCATCCAAGCCAGCAGTTACTCGGTTGGGCAGCTGATAACGGGAAGACTGTGCACTGGGTTTGCGATCGGATGCATCAGCTCCGCGGTGCCGACATATCTGAGCGAGACGGGCATCGAGATCGGAGATCGCGGGCCGGCGAATGCGTTCAACGCGATTCTCCTTATTAGCGGTGTGCCGCTGGCGTATTGGATCGATTATGGGTTTACCAAGATGGATAACCAGGCGAGTTGGAGGGTGCCGATTATCTTCCAGTGCTTGTTCGCGTTCTTCTCCGGGGGCACGATGTGGTTCCTTCCTGGTATGCTCATGCAGCTTCCCGGGGTCCTGCATCCTGCGATGGCTGACGAACGAGTAGATACTCCGAGATGGTACTATGCCCGGAACCGATGGGAAGAGGGCAATGATGTGCTCGCTCAGCTTAACGATGCACCCGTTGAATCTGAAAACGTGCAGAGAACGAGACGCGAGATTCTGGCTGCTATTGAGGCTGAGTTGGAGGCTAATTCGAGTCTGCACTGGAAACAATTCTTGACTATGGGTATTACGGACAGCACTCGGATGAAGATCATTCGGAGGTTGTGCATGTGCTTTTGGCTGCCGATGATTAGAGAGTGGATGGGCTCTAGCTTAATCGCCTACTACAGTGAGTCCCTCGTTCCCTCTACGGACTTACCATTGCAGTCACTAACTTACTTGAGGCTCCATCATTCTCTCCAGTGTCACCGAACCACGCCTCGTCTCCCTCATCGCCGGCGTCCTAAACACCTTCTTCGCCCTCGGCTGCGTCCCGCTCTACTCCACCATCGAGCGCGTCGGGCGGCGCTCCGTCCTCCTCTATGGCGCCATCACCATGACGCTCCTAATCACCATCTTCACCGTACTCGTCGCAATCCCGCAGACGCAAGCCACACGCTGGGCGGCCGTTGGCATCATCTTCGCCTTCCTCTTCGTCTTCGGCTACGCCTGGCAGGGCTGCGTGTGGCTCTACTGCGCCGAGATCGCGCCGCTCGAGTACCGGCACATTGGCGGCGCGGCGACGGCCTTCGGCGAGTGGCTTATGACGTTCATCACCGTGTTTGCGGGGCCGATTGGGTTTGACAATGTGGGGTGGTATTTCTGGCTGTGGGTGATTAGCGGGAATGTGGTGGCGGTGTTGTTTGTGTTTTTGCTGTGTCCAGAGACTGGGGGGAAGACGCTGGAACAGGTGGATTTCCTGTTCGTTGATAAGGGGTTTGCAGGGTTGAGGAGGGATTTTGATGTTGGGGTAGAGGAGTTGGGGGCGTGGAAGGAGAAGAAAGGGGTGGTAGAGACGAGGGAGGATGTTGGCGAGACGCAGTAGAGGTGTCAACTGCACAGCTAGGCCAAGATGGGCCGATCGAAGCGTTGGTACGTATCTGGTTCCTGGGATGTCTTAAACTCTAACCGTAATCCAGGCACGTCGGACGTTAACCAACAATGAGCGGGTGCCCTTCTCTCGACGAGGCCTCCCATCGATGTCAGCATATGCAGACCGATGCTGCATCCTTGGTTCAGCGTCCAGGCCCACGTGCGAGCATTCCAACGCCTTTGATCGAGGTCGGTGTTCGGCATAGTCCCTCCTCGCAAGGAAGACCGGTTCTGGACGAGCAGGTGCCTGCATGTGCGCCATTCTTCCGTCTGATAGACTATCATAGGTCCTTACAGGTCCGGACGCACCTAGCGGCGATGCTCCTGTAGAGCGTGCAACCCGAGTGCGCGACGATCGTGTCATCTTGTAGAGGGCCAAGGCGCGCCAAGGAACGGTGTCGGCGTTGAAGCAGTGGCGAAAGGGGGCCAGAAAAGAGCAGACACGAGCACATCGGGGCTAGCTGCTGACACGGGGCAGCAACAATTCCCTCCGATTTGATACTATTGCTATGAAGTACGAACGTCAAGCAGTAATGATCGGACCAACGTCGAGAGCCTACTGCAGGCGTGGGGCGCAGCGCTTAAAAACCCGGCATGGGAGAATGAGGCTCTAGGAAGGATTAAGGTTAGATCTCATGCTTTATCTACGCCCGACGCCGGGGGAGTATAACCCTAAAGCTACCGGGCCCTGTTATATCGACCCACTCGGAGCTTTCGTAGACAGTAGGGCCGTTTCAGTTATTAACAGCGGTTCAGGCACACCTCTCATTGGCCCGCTCCGCACAGCTTTCCGACCCCACCTCAACACCATGCCTAGTCGAGTTTCGCGTCTCGCGCGAGAAACTTTGGACAACGCTCGCATCGCCCGCCGTTTTCGTCTCTTAACGAAAGGAACCGCCTTGGCAATGCTTGTCCAATATGGAACCCGCCCCTAAGGACGCCCCATCCAGAATCTCTCCGACGTGCTTTATAAAATGGAGACGAGGGGTACGCCCGACACTCTATCGCTCCTTCATCCTCTAAGGGCTGTGGAGTTCAATCTATTGCGCGCCGGTTCACATCTGCGTGTTCGCGCGAGATCTTCTTCTGTGGACATTCTCTCGTCACGATGAGTTCGTTGGGAATCGCAACGCAAAGCCAGGTCCACATTGGGACGTGGACGAACTGGTATGCCCTGTCCGCTTCATACGGGGCGCCTACTCACCTCGACCAGGTCACACGGGAAAGTGCTCGGTGCGACGCTGACGCTTACCGATCGCAATGGCAACTTCCTCATCGCTTTCATAGCGCTCTTCGTAGCCTTTGTCGGAGGGAGCTTCTTCCGTGTCGTCTGCTTCTTCACCCACCTGCTGCTCTCCTCAGGAAGGCCACACGACACAATACACCATCAGCGACAAGCCGTTTTGCGCAACTCGGAGTCCGGCCTCACAGCGATCTGGGCGTTTATGAAGCTCATCTGGAAATGGAGGAAGAATGGAGATCGGCCCGTCCTCCGCCTCCTTCCGTTGCTCGCCGCAATCACCATCACAACTATGGCCTTCCTAGTGGCCGGTGTGTACTCCAACGAGATGAATGCTTTGACCGGCGACGAGGTGCTGATGACAGGCTCGTCTTGCGGAGTGCAGAACTTCCCCGACAACGTGACGGTGGAGTCCTACTTACACACGTTCAACGGCTTCATTAGCCAGAGGCTTCAATCGTACCGCGAATATGCCCAGGACTGCTATACCGACGACGGCACCAACCAAGCCAACTGCAAGTCCCTTGCGCGGTCTCGCCTAGGACGATCAGTGGATACGAACGCAGCCTGCCCATTTGACCCAGCCATCTGCAAAACGAACGACAAGAATATTCGACTGGACACCGGACTCCTGGACAGCCACTACGACTTGGGAATTAATGCCCCTTCTGACGAGCGTATCCAGTTCCGCAGCGTCCTGCACTGCGCTCCGCTCGTCACGCAGAACTACTCAGACTCATTCAACTTCTCCACACACGGAGCGACGGATCCGTACAAGAGGTATTACTACGGGCCCTTTGGCACGCACCTAAGACAGGAAAACTATACATTTATGCAAATCGACAACGCACGCCATCGGTGGACAGCCGAAGCATTTGCTACTACGAGGGCGTCGTACGATCTAGGGTTCGTGAGCCCCCAAACGGCACGGCAACTGATCTAACAGTCTACAGTCAAATCTACTATTCTCCCGGAATCGAAGGCATGGAGAACTTCGCTCCAATTCCCGCCTTAGCGCGTAACGACACCGATCTCATGCTGCTTTTCCTTGCAGCAAACGGCGTCCTGTTCACCAACGAGGTCAACGACCCGTGGTACTCCGCGCACACTTACGTAGGCAACCTGTCCCTCGGAAACATAGGCGGGATAGTCGAGGCCTACATGGCGGACGAGCCCGCCTCGCCGCTCGGTTGCACCATGCAGTATCAGAACTGCGTGCGCACGGCCGGCGGACAGAAATGCTCGGAGCTAGGACAGCTTGCCCAGTCGATTACGATACCTGACCTCAACGACGCGCAGACGAAAATGCTCCAGTTTATCGACGAGGCGGCGCTCAGCATATACCCCATGCAGCTCACGCTGGGGAACTTGGGGGGCAAGGGTCTCGTTTCGGCGTACACGCTCCAGGACGGCATCCAGGCGCCGCTCGCGGATAACCAGTGGCAGCTGGATGTGCAGCGCTGGTTCGACATCAGTCTGTCAGCGATCCAGGGCGCGGCTGTGGAGACGGCGGGCGGGCCCACCACGCAGGACATGAGGCAGTTTATTCAAGCGCCGACGACCGAGCAGGGCAAGTACTTTTGCCGCAATCAGGTAAGCCTCTTATGACCCCCATTCTATGCTATGCCATATAGCCTTCTAACCCTTACGCGCAGAAAATTCGCTCCGCCGCACACTCCAACTTCTCCGTGCTCGGGCTCTCCGTCATGTTCTCCCTCGGCGTCGTCATCGTCCTGATCCACTGGTCTCTCGACACGCTCTTCAACAAGTGGCTGTGGCGGTACTGCCGCTCCGCGCACTACGCGTCGGTGGACTGGCACTGCAACGGCGTGCTGCAGCTGCAGCGGCTGGCGCACGAGGAGGTGGGCAGCGGACAGTGGCGGGACTGCGGGGTGGGCGAGAGTGTGCCACTAGCGGCGAGGGATGTCAAGCTCGCGGGCTGGGACGTGGAGGACTTGGTGCATCCGCGATTGCGGGAGGGGCTGAAGACGGGGTATGCGAGGGGCGCCGTGGAGCAGGTGAAGGTGGAGAAGGTGGGAAAGGGGCAGGATGAACCGGTTACGGTTGGGATTCGCGCGTCGTGGACGGGGGATACGGCTGCCAGTGGGAAATAGGCCATGCTGCGGGATAGCTGGATCGAGTCATTTGTTTTGCAGCTGTGATGAAATAGCGAGTTTTATGTATCGCGGGCTTTATGGCTAATATATGGGTGCACATGCATACGCTACTATGAAGGAGTTGATGGAAATGTACTAGAGATAGGCTGCGGCGTGGTAAGTTTTGCCACCACGCATCCATGGGACGAGACAAGTCTACCCGGGACAGTACCATCCCGACCAGCGCCCAACGACGAAGTAACGCAAAGGATCCAGCACGCCCTCGGCTCACCTTGCCTATAATACCATCACACTCGTGGCAAGAAAACAGACTATCGCTATCAACCTCGGAAAACCATAGTCTAGTGCGCTTCAGGGAACAATACTCACTCAAGCTCAGAAAGAGCACGCAAGGCAGCCATCGCCATTCCTCAACACACCATAGAAAATCGTAGGCCCAACGCGCACATCCAGATTTCTAATAGTACCGCGTATCAAAACGACGATTTCCTTCTCGTTCAACGCAACCTTAACCCTTCCCGACCGCTACCGAAGCCCGATCCCCTGTCTCCCATCCCAACGAGATACGTCAAACCAAATATGTTGAGCAATCCTTCCCTTCTTCGCACACATCAACCACAGTACACTTCTTACCTCGAGTATATAAACCCACCCTGCCCCTTCCATCCACTGTATCTCTCCCATCCCGTCCTATCCCATTCCACTTGCCTCCAGTCACCTCCCAAGTCTTCCCAACCCAACTCACCCACCCACCCAAAAGAAAAGAAACTCCCTACAAACCAACCCCTTCTACCACACCATGAAGCTCACCAACCCTCTCATCACCACCTTCGCCCTCAGCACCTGCAGCCTGGTCGCCGCTCTCCCCATGCAGCAGCCCGGCGTTTCCGCACCTTCGAATCCGCCGAACAAAACCGCGCTTTTACTCTCCCTCGCGGACCTTGTAAGTAAAGTAAAACCCAATCCAGTCCAGCCCAGCCTAGCGTGCCTGGTGTCCCTCGATGTCGTAAAACGCGCTAATCTGCTTATGTATGCAGTACGGTATCCCCAGCACCGACGTGAACGTTAACGCCGCTTGGCTCGAGGAGCGGGGCGGGGGCGTGCAGCGCGGCCGAGAAGTTGTCGGGAAGCAGTTTCGCGAGGTCGGGAAGAACACCACCAACGCCGCTGATGCTGCCGAGTTTGTGGGTAGCGGGGTGGCGCAAGGTCAAGTGCGGGATGGCACTGATGTCTCGGCGTCTGCTGGCGGCGAAGTCGAGGTTGAGGGGAAGAAGGAGAGGGGCTGGGTTACGTGCTTGTTGATGGGGTTGTATGAGGGGTGTTAGGTTCATAGAGGGTGGGAGGACGGGCCCCTGTTTGGGTCTGCTTTTCGTGATTTTCGGGGGTCTCGCGGGCTTCGTTATTTCGGATTTGTGCGAAGGGTGAGGAAGGATTATTTTAGGGCGGAAGCACAAGGCTTTAGGTGGTTCTACGTTAGCTTCGTACCTAAGTTGTGTAGTTCAGATTCCAGTTCCGTATATGGGTTTTCTACGTAGATCAAAAGCAGAGCTGAAAGCCGCAAGTATCCGTTGTTGTGAATGTCCGCGAGCCGTGGTCATTAGGTGCATCAGCCCTCTGGCAGAATGCCCGGCCGTAAAAATATACATAGGCAACGAAGAACAGTCCATCTAATCAAGCCTCCTAGAAGGAAAAAGCGTCAAAATCCGTTCAACTAGGAATAATCCGCCTTCAAACCCCAAATTCAGAAGTCGTCGCAATCCGCATACTTATGCATGAGGCCGTTCATTACATCCATCGCGTCGTCCTTGTATCCTCCCCGGAATATCAGGTAGTGATTGAGATATTGATACCTACAACGCCGTCAGTACGCTCTATTTAATGCTTGAATCGAGACACTTACAGCTGGTAAAGCTTTATGCGATCCTCGTACTCCTCCTTGGGTTCCGTTTTCGGTACGATGCGGTGGTATTCGTGAAAGAAACCTGCAGAGAAGCCACCGAACATGCGCATAATACCAATCTCAAACTCCGAGTGCGCATAGCAGACACTAGGATCGAATGTTATTTCCTCTGGTCCGCTCCAAGAGGCGATTCTCCCTCTGACTCTGTTCCCTATCCAGAGATCTCCGTGGACGAGCACAGGTCTGATCCCTGGCCGCCCACCGAGATGCCCATTTCCTAGTAGCCGTGGGACGACCCTTTGCACGATGGCTTCGACTCCTGCGCGAAGCTCTTTGTCTGTACCATGTGCATCGTCGATCCGTTGAAGGCAAGCTAGCAGCCTGTTCTCCGAGTAGAATTTGCCCCAAGACGAGCAAAATGTGTTGATCTGCTGGGTCGATCCGCGATACGTGGGGGTCGGCCAATCAAACATGGGTATGGCCTTCGGGTATCGGAGCTGGCGTGATATGCCATTTTGCTAGCTTTTGCGGAAGGGACATGGCCTACTCTGAGGACAAAACGGCAGTCAGGTCCGTGAGGTACAAAGACAAAGGGCCAGATTCCGCGATCGAACTGGAGGCTGATCAGGTTGTCCTGGCGACGGGCCCTTGGACCCCTGATCTGCTACCCAACGCTCCAATTGCCGGCGCTAGAAGCCATAGCATTGTGCTTGAAGTTCCTACCAGCAAGACTACTCCGGAGGCGCTGTTCTTCAATCGACCGGATCCAGAGTCATGGTTTCCGAAACTGGAAGTCTATCCCCGCCCCGACAATACTACCTTCGTTTGTGGTCCAACGGACTGGCGAGTCCCACTGCCACCGTCAACTGACTTGGTCGATGTTGACCAGGAAAGCTGCCATCTACTCCGGCGAGCAGCCAAAAGCTTATCCGTTGAATTTGTCGAGCGAAAGATGTTGATCAGACAAGCATGTTACCGCCCAGTAGTGAGAGTACCCGGCCGAGCCCGCTCAGTTGGGCCATTGTTTGGCGAGACGAGTGTTTCGGGGTTGATCTTGGCAGCGGGTCACGATGAGTGGGGGATTCAGAATTCGGCTGCCACTGGGAAAATTATCAGCGAGTTGATACTGAATGGCATGGCCATCAGCGCAGACATATCGACCTTGGACCCTAAAAGAGTATTGTGATGAGCTTGAGTAGGAACCATTGGGGTCGAGACAGTATTTCCAGGTAGATTGCTCAATTCGAACATTGGGAGGTTTCTCCCATACAGGCAAATGCATGTCAACCAATTCACAACTCTACCTTTACGTATCATCCTACCTTCGAGGAAGTACCGTATTTGACAAGCAACATGTCCATAAGCTTCATAGCGGTCGTCTTATATCTGCCTCCGAAGAACTCAAACCTGAACGCATTCCCAAAGATGGAGTAATGATTGAGGTAGTGGTAACTGTTTCGCATCAGTTAGGGCAATCCTTTAAACTGCAAACATGACCGTCAACTAGAAAATAAACTTACATCTCATACAGCACAATTCTATCTTCATACTCGTCGACAGGCTCAGTTTTCGGGACATGCTTGTGATACTCAGTGAAGAAGCTGCTCCCAAATCCTCCGAACATCCTCATGATGCCGATCTCATACTCGCTGTGAGCATAACATGAAGAAGGGCCGTAGACGACTTCCTGCGGCTTCCCCCCAGCAAACACCCCCATGCAGGCATTACCGCTCCATAAGTCTCCATGGACTACGACAGGAGTTACTCGTTTCCCGTTGTTGAGGTGGTCATCACCAATCAAGCGAGGCACGACACGAGCAACGATGCCTTCCACGAGCCGACGAAGCTCACAATCCTCGCCATGTTTCTTTTCCACCCGCATCAGCATATGTTGTAGACGGTTTTCGACAAAGAACTGTGCCCATGAATCTTTGTAAGAGTTGTCTTGCGGCGTGTCACCGCAGCACGTCGTGATGGGGAAGCCAAACTGCGGCCGCGTATGTCCGTTGGGAACAGGGGCGGGGGTTGAATGTAACTTCCCAAGTTCTGTAGCCAGAGATGCGCGGCGGTAGAGCGTTTGCATGAAGGCGGACGGGAACGAAGGGGGTGACAACTGGATAAACTCCAGGACGAGGAAGGACGTACTCGGGGCTTCTCGTAGGGTGCCGAAGCCATACGACTGGGGACACAGATCTGGCACAGCCGAGTGTATCGCTTGCAGAGACGCATGTTCTCCTACCATGTATGAGATGCGGATGAACATTGGGGGCATCAGGAGCATACCGTGGACCAACAACGGGCCAAGCTCGCCAGTCAGCGTTTTCAGGAAGAAGGACTTTTCTGATCCATCGTCGAATCTTGCAGTGATTTTGGATGTCGACGCACTGCTAGACCCCTTGCCGGAGGGGACCACAGTAGTCCGACTAGGATCCAGCTTAAGTAGCGCTAGGATCGCTGGATCGAGTGCCATCGCTAGTGGACCGGGCCGGGATGGGCGTCCCCTTTCCCGGTTCGCGGGTGTTAACCCTAACCCTGTTCCCTTCTCTTAATTTTGGCGTCTTTTGAATCCTTTTGTGCGTAGGCGTAGTCAGCATAACCTCTATAGGTTGGTGACTTAAACGAGAGAAATCAATCAATCAATCAATCAATCGCTGCTCAAATTCTCAAAGTCGACAGTGGATCGTGAGGGCGTGCACACAACGACCGCAACTGCACAGTACATGTTTCAGGCAAGGATAACTCTTCACCTGAGAGAGCGGAAAAGATAAGGCAGAGGAAGGCCCCCTCCCAGGCTGGGTAGTACCTTGACCGGAGAGGTCTGCCGTGTAACGAGACAGCACGCAGCTGCCCCACCCAAACCCCTCTCCTCCAAGCCCAAGGTGAATCTTGATTCCTCTCCTATCAGCCCTCTGCAGGGTAATCACAATCGCGGGATGTGCTGGCTTCCGGCAGTACACCTTGTGCGTTGACTTGTTGACCGTCTGCTGCCGCCTCCAGCCCCCTCGATTGTCACAAATTCTCCCCATTGTCGACGAGCATCCAGCACGACTTCTAGCCTTGCTGGCGCAACGGATCCCACGACCGAAAACCGCATTCTGGGCGGCGGTGCCTCGCTCGGCGGCTTCTCGAATCGAAAGGCGGACGAAGCCTCGTCCCAGATCTCAGGAGGATGCGTTGCCGATATCGTCAACGTAGGCGACAACAGGCGAAGATAGATGCCGCCGGCCCTCGAATGATCGAAATGCTCCATTATTGTCTTCTGGCGGATGAAAGGTCTCGCCCATGAAGCTGCGTTATCCCTCGTCGAAGGTTCCTGAGGAAGTGCGAGCTGATCCAGCTGCACACGGGCATACTGATTGGCACCGACTTGCTGCATATAGATCCCAATACAGACTTTTGGGTGGAGTTCACGGCTGAGGACTCCGAACAAGGGCGCGATAAATTCGTTGGCCCGAACCTCACGGGGGAGCAACTGCAAGTCGAGGTGGATCCCCATGTTGGTGATGTTGTAGGGCTTATGCGCCGTTCGGCTCCAAATGACGTCTTTGCATTGCGCAAAATTCGAGGGATGTTTCGCCAATACGCCTCTGTAAGCGGAGAAAGGCGCGGTGGGATCGCACCAGGCGAAGATGGATCTGTCGTCCGAGGTCCTTATGATCTCCTCTTGAAGCCGCAGAAATGCCTTCTCGCCCTCGCCGTACAGCATTGCCATGTTAACGTCGAATATGCCCATTAGGCAATAAGCCACGTCTTCGACCCGTGATGTAGATCGGTTTGCAGCCCAACTCATCCGTTGGGCGATTGATGAGGAACTAGTTTCGCCACTTAAGAGAACATCCGCGGGGACACCAGTCAAAGATTCGAGGAGGCCCGACATGTCTGCTTTCGTTCCTATTCGAGCCCAGTTCGAAGAGAAGAAGGTAAGATTCCGAGGAGCGATTAGCTCTTGCAGAGTCCACCCTCGCGTGAACCATCTTGAATCTTTGAATCTTCCTCCCCACGCATCCTGCTGCGCCCAAGAATCTTCTTCTGGTCTCTCTGGCACATCCGATAAGAAGGCGTAACAAATAATTGCATTGCGATACCACCGAAACATCGAGTTGATAGCTTCTGAGAGCTCAGCGCTGCTGTTCTTGTTGATGCAGCAACTGTCGACCCAGCAGTAATGTATTCCATCTCTTAAGGCTTGTTCTGCACAGCGCGTAATCTTACCATAACCTTGCTTCTCTTCCGCCTGAGCCCTTCGCTTCTGCATATCCTTAAACGTGACCTCATCTTTGCCCCACGTATGTGACAGTATGGCATATACTGGGGTCTCATCCTCGCGTAAGATGTCTTCGAATTCCAGTGTTTTGGCTTTAAGAAGCCTCATGAGTGCGGTCCAGGAACAGGGGGTGAGAAATCAGCCTTAGGCAAAGGTAAGCGATAGCTTCATACTTGTAAGGATATCTGAATCACTGGAGAAAACTGAAGGCTAGTGGACGAGGGGCATTTGGCTGGAGGCTAGGCGAGAAACCCCCCAACATCAACGCAACAGTCCTGCAAGAACTCTAACGGCTCTCTATCAACGCCGCCTCTATTTAATTTTGGAACCACTACTAACGAGTAGAAGTAGCTCGACAGACGAGAGAAAGGAGGCAGTGTTTATGCCTCTCATCCTTTGCACTGAGCAGCCACTTTCCGAAATATCTACCAGAAGAAAGTGCGGAAGAAGCTCCACCTACGCTGCTGCTATGTCCGGAAAGTCCTGCCTCGCGAAATTCACCTCCGTGCATCCTCATGTGTAGTCCAAACCGCAACCGAACAAACGCAGTCCATGCCCTCTCCTCCCCGCTAGGTTTTAGACCCCGAGGCCCTACCATGAATATGGTGTCATCATGAGCTTTTTAGCGCCTCAGAGAGACTGAGGAAGTTTTCGAGTGGGAAGTGGTTGCAGAATAGGGAAGAGAGGGAGGAATTTACACTCCGCATAGCCCAAGCATGTCGACCAAAACGAGTCTGTTCATAGCAAAGTAAGCCAAGACCAGGACTGAATGAGGAGATATTTGAGGACGGGATGAGAATGAAGAGTGTGGAGCCGAAAGATTAAACGATGACACTATACATTTCAATGCCCGAAAAGACGGGCGGTAAATATACGAGGTATATGAAATCGCCTACTGAGATGCAGTAGCGCCACCGCCGCTGCGGTTTAGGGGGTATCCCACAGGCCATACTGGAAACGCACCTGTCGTAGCGCCTCATAAAGCACCACGATGAAAATCACTCGACATGCGCCATGACCATGCTCCATCTGGATTGCGAACTCTTTCGTCACAATCTTCAGAATCTTCCGCTCTCTCTCCCTGGAAGTCTCAACCCACCATAACCTCTACCCACCCTCTCGACAGCTCCTGAAGGCTTCTCGCTCCCCGTAGGCCCACCCGGCATACTCATCCTCTTCAGCGGACTGGCCGCCCTCCTCGCCGGGGTTCCATGCCTTCTCTCACCCTGCCCGCCCAAGCTCTCACGGCCCCTGTCATCCCTTATAAAGTTGGTCGAAGCGGATTTGCGCAACGGAGAAGCAGCGTGCGAGTAGACGCCCAAGCTGCCACCATCGCCGGTGCCCGTGGGACGGAACTGCGCGGGTTGCTGACGGAAAGGGTTCGGAGTGTTCGAGGGACGGATGGGAGAGGAGAAGTCCGCTCCTGTGGCGGTCGAAGTGGAGCTGTAGTTAGAGCTGTACGCGGGGCGGAGGGACGGCGTTTGGGCATTCGAACGCGCCACGGCGAGGTTGTCGGGGTCGTATTGTGAGGCATAGTTCGGATTCGGGTTTGTGCGGAAAGTACGGCTTATAATAGTCGTTGGGGTGTACGTGGTAATGTCCGAGGCGAGATGCTCGCTGCTGCCGCGGACACCGACACTCGAATCTCTCGTCTTCTTCTTCGAAATGGTCTGTATGCCGACGTCCCGGCACACCTTCTGCAATGTAGGGTGTACGAACTTGCTGTCGTACTCGTGGAGGACCTCGCGCTGTATGACGGCGGAGTCCAGGATCTGCTGAGAGAATGAAGACCGCAGATACCAAAGTTGTAAGGAAAGGACCGCGCCGATGGCGACTGTTGTGACCACCTTGACGCTAGGTTGCGGATCCAGAGGGGCGACCGGAAGAGTGAGGCAGTAAAGAACGACGTGAAGTGGGCTGAAGAGACAGAAGATGTCCAGACAAAGCGGGTTGGGGTCCCAGACGGCAATCTCCCAGACATCTCTGCCCTCGTCGGGATGCGCGCGGGACTCGGCCGAGCTCGAGCTGATGATGTTTTGCAGGAAGCGCAGAGGAGAGGCACCCACGGGCGACGAATCCACCCGCACACGCCGAGCGGACGGCGTCGACGGGCCCGTCTCAATGGGCTGCTCGAACAGGCGGTAGTGCCTCTTGCGCCAGAAGGTGAAGAAGGCATTTAGGAACGCCAATGTCGACAGCCCCATGACAATGAGCCTGCAGAACCATCGGAGCCAGCCGCTACCGCCCGTTCCCACCAACACATCGTCGCCATCCGAGCTGCCCGACGCATTCGCCTGCGCGATGATGAAGACGACGTTCATGCCGAAGCCGAGCATGACGGCATAGTCCTTCGCGAACTCCTCCCAGTCATTTGTGTTCAGCTCTTCCGAAGCCCACATCAGCCAGTCCCAGGGGTCGATGTAGGCCTTGATGCGCTCGGCGAGCGGCGCGTGGCGGACGAGGCGGGGCATCTTGTCGGGTTGTGTCGCGGAGAGCAGATGTGGAGGCAAAGAAATGGTGCGTGCAGGAGAAAGAGCGGAAGTTGCGTTTAAAGCTGTGGGATGGAGCAATCACGGCATGGCGCGCCGCGGATGGCTGAAGAAAGAAAGAAGGGAAGGTGAAAGGCAGCCGTTGGATAAACAATAGCGGAGAATAGTTTCGCCGAGAGGGAGCTACGACCCGCCATGACGACGGCAGCTCCGCCATCCTTGCACGCACCACGACACAGCTGCCTACACACGATCGAACAGCCATGGCAGCTCCGGCGTCGCAGTACAAGGACCGCCAATTCCTCGCGGTTATAGGCGACGAGGTATGACATGCCGTACCGAAGGTCGCAGCTCCGCTCACAGCTCCCCAGGATACCGTAACGGGACTGCTCCTCGCAGGAGTCGGCGTAAGCTCCGCACTCGATCACGACGTGGAATACCGTGTTGATAGAGATTGCAGCATGTGACGCAGCCGCCGGACTCGCAGAAGAACTTCCTAGTCGTGGACCAGAAGACGGAGAACTCGGCCATCGAGGCTGCCTTCGATCGCTACACCTCCGAGCGCAAGGACATCGCGATCCTGCTCATAAATCAACATGTACGATTGCCACGATCTAATCCAAGCCTTGACTTCAAAGATCATGGGGGTCGCAGAAGTGGGAGCAGCACAACTAATGGCGCGTAGATCGCCGAGCGAATAAGGCACCGAGTCGAGACATACACTCAAGCATTCCCCTCCCTCCTCGAGATACCGTCGAAAGACCATCCGTATGACCCAGAGAAGGACAGCGTGCTGAAGCGGGTTAGGAGGTTGTTTGGAGAGTAACGATGTCTATAGCTCAGGCAGGCATACCACAGGGTCTTGTGTATGGGAGGGACCTCGCGATTGGCGATAAGATATCCGATTCATCAAAGCATGAACTGAACAATGTGCTATGAAAGGATGTGCCTTGTCATCATGACTGCATTGCCACATCCATAATAAATCCCAGAAACCCAATGCCGAACTCGAGAATAACAGCCGCTGAGGTATCGAGCTCACCACATCCCCTCAAAGTGAAAGCCAGAATCCAAAGAGTACACCTCCACAATTTGCCCTATGCATGCCTATATCAAAGCTCATTCCGCAGCCGGTTTTGAACGATATTTACACCCGGCCCCGACAGTTGAAACTTCCGCTTCCCGAATTGCACAGATCTATTGCTCGCTCAGATACCGCCTGCGCATCGCCCGCCCTGGCCGCCGTGGAGGGTTTACCGGTGGAAGGTGATCTTGGAGGTCAAGCAGGTGATCTTGTCGCCGTCTTTCGTGTAGACGTCGGCGAGCACGGTATATGTCCCCTGGGCAATCATTAGCATTCATCCTTCAGACCCTCAACATCGGCTGCAGCTTATCGGGAATGCGTACCGGAGGAACCTCTTTGGGGATATCAACGTCCTTGGTCAGCGACATCTCGCCCTTCTCCAGCGGGCACTTGAGGTCCGCCTTCTCAATCGTCTCGCACAGGTCCGCGTCCTGGTTGATGAGCGTGATCAGGCCGTACTTGACCTGGAGGTGCATCTTTGAGCCTTCCTCGACGGTCTCTTTGAAGTCACCGGTGGCTTTGATCGTGAGAGCCTTCCCGCTGCATAATTTATTAGTACAGACCCGCCACGCTGTAGAGCAGCAGGCAGAAGCTGGCGCTGTCGCTGGTATACCGAGCGCTCAGCCATGCCGCTAGACGGGACAAACATACGGCTCTGGAGGATTCGGGCTCAGATCCACCTTCTCAATCTTCAGGATATCATCGGCGGGGTCGGCACAGAAGTACAGAGGGTTATCGCCAGGGACCTTGTACTCTTCCTGGATCTTGACCTGGCTGGGCATCCATGACGGCTCAGCCGAGACGGACGCCACGCTAATGGCGGCGAGGAGAAGCGTCGCGAGCTTCATGGCGGGCGAGTTTGGCGGGAAACGGGCGGCAATGCGAGGAGAGACGGGTTATCGGGAGCGAGTGGAGAGAAGGGCGGTGGTGAGGTTGCCGCAGCGATAGCGCTTCGTGAGCGCGAGGCTGGGGCGAGAACGATGGCTGAGGCCGGTGCACGGACACTATTGGCGTCATCGGGTCATGCGCACTGCGAGGCTAGCCGCTTCGGACTTGCATCGCCTGTCACCCTCATCGTCCTGTCGTGCATCGACAATCCATCCGATCCTATACCAGACAACAAGCTGCCCAAGTTCAGATGACGATAACTAGTATGGATACTGTTTTGATGTTGCAGACCTCCCAGCTTCACCAGCTTCTTGGATGCAAGGGCCACTGTGCCACGAAAGACATGCTGCACTGCACACACATCTCACACGAACAAGACATTCGGCGCTTCCGCAACAATCCCCATTCTTCCTAATTCCAGACACAGATACCGCTCTCCCGGCTCAGATCCTTCGCCGTTTTGAATCACGAGCTTCTCCTCCAGCTTCGGGACACGCTTCACCCACTCCGGCACCTCCTCGAATAGCTTGGACCTTCTTTCCATCTCTGCAAGCATCTCGTTGTCCATGATAGGCGGCGCGTCTCGATGTAACGACTTCTCAATGTTACGATTGAACGCTTCACAGAGCCAGTAAGGGATCGCAGAGAGGACAGCATATCTGCGTTGGATCAGCTTCGCACGCCGATCTGCTGATTGCAACATACCGTTCCGCGTCAGGATCTTCCGGGTCTGGGATATCTTTCACTAGCCATGTCGGGTGGTAGAAGTAATCTTTTACGACTGCTCTAAGTGTGTCGAGATCGCCTCGGACGAAGAGGTGGTACATGATGTAGAGCCTTCGGAGCGGTGACTGGAATTCGTCCCAATGTGGTTGGACTGCTGGCCCGCGGATGATTTGTTGGACAGTAGGTGTCGTCAGAGAAGGATGCGGTAGTGGATTCAGGCGACGTTTCGTCCTTCTGATGCGTGTGTAGATGTTACGCTTTATGTCGAAGTAAAGGAGCTTCACATACCAAAATACGTCAAGCACCCCTCGAAGCATTGCTGACACTAGCCCGAAGACCTTCGATGGGAGCTTACTACGTGGAGATTGATATATGGTATATTCTACGATCCGATTACGACCACCGTGTTCGATTGCCGTAAATGTTTGGTTGCGTTGCTGCCTGCTGGTGCTGACTTGGTAAACCACGGAAAGGGGTCCCGTCTACCCTTACATCCCCAGGCCTACTGTAGGTGGCCCTATGTCGACAACGGTGTCCAAGGTTGGTCGATCGTCCAATGTTTTCATTCCATCTCCATAACTCGAACCCTTCGCACTGGACAGACTACGGTGCAGCTTGAGGAAGCCAGCTACGCCTCAACTTCACATGCGTCGAAGGAAATGCGGAGAAGAGGAAATGCCGAGAAGAGGAAACGTCTTCACCAGAGATGACAGCTAGAAGAAAGTCGGACTGCACGCCTTATCATTCAAGGTACCTGCTCGGATTAGTCAGCAGTGTCCACCTTGAACGTTTCTTCACCGAACCCGGGACTCTGAACAACTCCAGCGGCCCCACAGATTATGATAGGCCTTTGGATATCGATGGAAAGATCAAAAGTAATGAATGCGCGCTTTCAAGCTACCGTTGATCATGGAATCTCCGACGTCGCTTTTCTCGCTTCTGCGCCACAAGCCAAGATGGCGGCGCTGAACATCACCAACTGACCCAATCATCAACCCTTCCACGTCGAATCATAGGCGAGATGAGTATTACTACGAAAGAGTCTATTCCCTTTCTGGGAGAGGAGTTCTCAAATGGTCGTAACGGTAGGGCTTCATTACGTGGACGGTTGAGGCTCAAGCCCCGTGAGGCTCTCATTTTGGCGTCATGGTCAACTTGCCTATACGGCAGGTCTCCTCCTCTCGCTCAATGTTTGGACTATTTAAACCGGCCTACTGGCTCGTTGATTCCTGCCATCCAACTCTTTCTGAAATACCACCTGAAGCGTTTCAATATGAGACTCCAACGGTCTTTGTTTGTGCTATCGTTCACTGCGCTAAGAATCTCGGCATATTCAGGATGCTCGCCTGATGGGCCGCTTCTCCCGCGTCCTCAAAAGCTCGCGCAGTCTACCGCCATTCAGAATGCAACTAGCCAGCTACAAAGCTCACTCGACAAAGCGCTCTCTGGAAACTCCAGGGCGGGGTGGTCTGTCGAGAATACATCATTTTCCATCGGATTCATCTCAGCGGACTCTGAAGTACCCATCTGGGAGTATCACCATCGCGGTGCAGCAAATATCAACGGCACGTACCATACCGATGGCGACACGCAGTACCTTGTCGGATCCATCTCGAAGCTCATAACGGACATGCTCGTTCTTCGCACTGGGATCGATCTGGACGTTCCAGTCACGCAGTACCTACCTCAGCTGTCCAACGAGTCTTCGATTATCAGTTGGGAGAACATTACGCTTGCCTCCCTCGCCGATCACTTGTCGGGCATCCCACCAAACTACGGCTTCTCGGAGTGGTACTTCCTCCAGCCTCTCCTCGAGCAGCTTGGTTTCCCACCGCTTTCGGTTGATGCTTACGAGGAGTGCGGCATCGCAGGACTGAATGGAGCATGTTCGGAAGAGCGTAAGTTGGGCCCGGATATCTCCACTGAATGAAAACTCACCTCAATTATTAGAGCTCCTAAAAGGGATGACAACCGTTCACCCCATCACCGTCCCATATCACCGGCCAGTGTACTCTACGCTCTCCTTTACCCTCCTCAGCTACGCACTCAGCGCAAAGTACAACAAGAGCTACACCAACTTATTAGAAGACTTCGTAATCCGGCCGCTAGGCCTCACAAACACCGGAGCATCTCCTGGAAACGCCTCCAGAGCCGCAATCCCACCCATCGAAAACAACTGGGGCAGTGACTACGGAGACAACGCGCCTGGAGGCGGTCTCTACTCTAGCCTAAACGACCTCAGCCGAATCATCCAAACGATCCTGAACCGCACCGCACTGAATACCGAGACAGAAGTGCGCGAATGGCTCAAGCCACATTCCTCAACGTCTTCGCCGTACACGCTCGTCGGACGTCCTTGGGAGATATTCCGCTCGACGAGCCTGACGCCCGCGCATCCGCACACCATCGACATATACGCCAAGACTGGCGGCGCGTACGGATACACGGCGCAGATGGCGATCATCGACCAGTATGGAATCGGACTCACTATCCTCACTGCCGGGCCGCCGGAGGCATACCGCATCCTCTACGACACGATGCTATCCACACTCTTACCAGCCCTCGAAGAGGAGACACGCCTGCAGGCGCAGAAGTATGTCGGAAACTTCTCCTCCTCCGACGCCATGGTGAACTTAAGCACTAGTATGGGCGATGGTCCCGGCATCCGACTCGACCAGCTCACGCGCAACGGCTCAGACATCCTCGCCGCCATCTCGCAGTTCTACACGCAAGCCCTTCCACAGTTCGGCACACTGTCGCCTGATTTCCGCATCTTCCCCGCTGCGTTCTCGCAGCGCGCTGTCGAGAACATAGATGGCAGGGAAAAAGACGTAGTGAGGCAGGACTGGCGCATCAACCTCGACTTTCTGCCGAACACGGCCGAGAGCTCGGGCTCTGAGCTCCCGGGGCAGGGCGCGGTAAGAGAGGCTTGCATTGCGTGGCAGACGGCGGACTGGTTTTACTATGGTGGGGAGGCGGTTGATCGCGTTGTGTTTGTTGAGGAAGGGGGGACGGGGAGGCTGCTTGGGGTGGAGGTGCCGTTTTTGAGAACAGGGTTGATGTGTGCGGTAGAGATGTACAGTTGAATGTTAACACCTGGATACTGGTGTCTGTGTGTGGTTGTTTCTGTAGCTGGATAGATTGGTTTGCGGGTTTTGCATGTTTGTGGAATCTTAACGGTCTGCATGCTTTTTGGTTCGGATTAACGTGGCGCCTGTGATCGCAGCGCTAATTTAGTGTGGATAGCGTGCTGGTTACTACGGTCTGTCTGCGATTAGCTCGCGTCAGGGCGCCCGGATAACGGGAAGTTCGAAGGAATGAGAGGGGGGGAGGCCTTGACGGAGGATAATCCAAAAATAAAGATAGTACTTCAATCAGATAAAACCACCCCCGCCCTCTCAATACAGCACCAGCTATCATCCCCCATCTCCAAGCTCCCAACCTACCGCTCCCCAACCCCCACCACCCTCCCCCTCAAATCCCGCAACGCCTCAATCCCCCCCTCCCCCATCCTAACCTCCACCCTCCTCCCATCCCTCAACACGCCCCTATACCACTCCTCTTCCTTCCTCGCCCTGCCCTTCCCCTTCAAAAACCTCACCACCCTCCCCGCATACCCCTCCCTCCTGCGCAAAAGCCGCGCCACCTGCGGCCACCGCTCGAACACCATGACAGGCACCTCCAGCGCATCCAGTTCGTCGGCGTCGAGGTGTGAATACTTCTCCTTAAACGCGTTCCGCGCTTCTTTCTCGAAGTTACTATCTAGCACATCGAGTTCGTACAGCGGCGCCCAGTGCGCGGCATGCGGCTGCGATGCGGCGCTGAGACCCAGCGGGGGCAGCTCGACGGCGTCGGTCCACGACGGCCCGCGGTTGTCCAGCTGTGTGCGTTTCGCGCCGTGGGCCTGGAGGAGCTTGAGGACAGCCGGGAAGGCCCAATATGCTTCGCGGGCACGCGCCGCAGACGGCCCGCCGTAGGTGCCGCGCACGGCGGCGTTGGTGGTGTAGAGGCGGTTGTTGCGGTCGGCGGCTGCGAGCTCGTCGGGGGTGAGGAGCTCGGCGGCGTAGCGCAGGTAGGTCAGGCGCGCGGCGTCGGCGGCGAAGAAGGTTTCGTCGAGCGCGGTGGTGCGGGTGCCGCGGATGGTTAGGGGGGCGTTTATGTGGGCGGCGAAGCCGAGGGTGAGGAGGGAGGTGGTTGTCTTTAGGCGGCCGGTTGAGCAGGCGGTTGCGAGGGCGGAGGGGGCGGTGGCTGCGATGAAGAGGGGTGTTGTTTCGGGCGTGAAGGAGGCGTGGTTGAAGAGCAGGTGGAGCATGTTTGCGCAGTCGTCGTCCATCAGGGTGTAGTTGTCGACGAGGCTGTGGATGAAGGTCTCGTGGTAGTCGTTCATGGTGTCTGGACGCGCGCCGTGGTCGAGCAGGCATTGGATTCTGTAGCGCATGCCTTCGCGCCATGCTTTGCACGTTTTAATGAGAGGCGTGTCGCCGTCGCGGTCTCGGGCATTGATATCTGCGCAGTGCGATGGGTTGGCGACGAGCAGCTTGATGTAGTCTAGTAGCTCGTTCGTGGGGATGTTCCGGGTGACCAGCTTGTGCAAGGCCGTTTCTTCCTGCGGACCACCGCGCAAATCGAGATCCTTCGTTCTGCGAACAATATCATGGAGGACCTCGCTATATGCGTGCGGATACTGCAAAACCACTGGATCCATGTCGCACCATTCATGGAGCGCGTTCAGGTCCTCGCTCGCATTCACAACCGTCGTATCAGCGCCGGCCTCAAGAAGAGCGACAACGACATATTCTTTCCTGAAGGTCGTTGCCGCAGCCGCGAGCAGAGGCGTGTACTTTCCGTATGTTGTCGCCTTGCCCTCAATGCTTACTCCAGCGCGAATCAGCAACTGAACAACATCTTTCGCGGCTTGGACTCGCTTCACCCAGCTTCCATGCCGCACCCAACTGTCAAATTTGCCCCCAGCCAGCGTGTTCTCGTTTCCAGCTCCCACGCTCATGGTGTGCAGGAGGTTCTCGCCTGCCTTGTTCGTAACCGAAACATCAGCGCCCTTTTCCAGCAGATACGCGACCATAGGTGCATCGCCGGTGTAAACAGCTTTGGCAAGCGGCGTCGTGGCATGATGTCCATTATCGTATGTCGCGTTAACGTCCGCTCCGAGCTCGAGTAAGGCTTCCATAGCGATCCTATTCCTCGCAAATGCCGCCCAATGGAAAGGGGTCCCGTGCGGCCACTCGAAGGGGAAATGCTTCATTTGGTAGCGCTGTGCTCGACCGTACTTCCTTTGTGGCTTGATCATTGCATTAATGTCGTTGCCTGCCTTCACTAGACTCTCCGCAATGCCACCGATATCGCCTTGCGGAAACAGGAAAAGCCAGTGCAATGGAGAGACTCCGGTCTGGCTAGACGGCGTTGGTGGATGGCCGTTCCGGAGCAAGAGGCGAACAACGTCCGAATGGCCTGACTGGCATGCTATGTACAGCGGGTTTTCGCCCTTCTCGTTGACCGGGACTACTCCTGCATGCTGTAAGAGGAGCTCGAGAGAATCAACACTGCCGGTAGCTGCACAGACATGCATCATGGAGTTCCCAGCGGAGTCCACGATAGTGTCAAATATGTTTGACGCAAGCCATGTCTTCAGCCGAGCCGGGTCCCTAGCGATGGCGACGATATTCTTCTGCGCCATGAATGGATCATCGTTGAAACCTCCATTCGCTCGAAACACCGCTCTTTCTTTTTCATAGACATCCTCCTCCACAAACGGGTGGTGGTCGAACATGAATCCATCCAATACAGCCTCCCTTTCCCACTCCTTGAGTATCGTTTCGCCAACTTCGAGACGTGCGTTCAGCGCTTCATATATCCTGGCGCAAATGGCTCTTGCTGGCACATGTCCCTTGTTCGCTGCCGCAAGGACATATTTTAGCACTTTCGCGTGTCGCTCTTCAATAGGCTGCTGCGCGCGCGCTTCCGCCATTCCAAAAAGCGTTTCGCCAGTGAATGAGCTCCCCCGTTCTTGCTCTTGCTGCGAGTACTGCTGGTCGAGTGATTTGAGAACGTTCATATCCAGGGAAAACCAGTACGAATGCCCTCTCTTCGTAACGTTTGTATCGCTCTGAGCTCCTGTAGTGCTTACGCGAAGCCATTCTTGACAAGCGGGCAACTCTGTCTGCAGCATAACAGAGGATGGGAGAGGGCGATCCTGAGGTTTCTCTGCAAGCAACTTCTTCACTGCTTCCTTCAGCTTCTTGATCATCTCGTCCGGACACCCCGTGGCCTTCTCCAACACCTTTTCGATTTCCATGAATAGCCCGAATGCTCTGCCAGATCCTGGTTGTTTTGTAATCCTCGGAGGCTCGCCGTAAGTGGCGAAGATCGAGAGGAGTAGGAGCCCGAGGCTATACGAGTCAAAGTGTTTCAACAACCCCGGTTCAAATGCTCCGTGAACTCTTTCCTTCCACTGCCCAGGACCTACCTCACTACCCGTCCAAGCCTCGGTCCCAAGGTATGTCTCAGGCGTGATACTTCGCCCGGGTGCTCTCATATCGACGCAGACGCCGAAATCGCTCAGCTTGCCCACATACGGCACTTGCGGGTCATCCTGCCGGAATACCAGGACATTGTCTGGCTTCACATCTCCATGGATGATGTTGAACCCATGAATCGCTTCGAGACCAACGGCGACATCGAGCGCGAGCTGATACTTGACGTCCCACTTCCTGTTCCCCAATCCGACCAGCACGCCCTCGCCCTCCTTCTCCGCCTGCAGGAAGTCGGTCAACGGCGCGAGAGCAGCTTCCATGAAGAGCACCGGGATCGGGGTATACCGGTCTTCGTAGTCGTATCCCCAGCCAGTTAACCGCACAATATTCCGATGCTTGATAAGGCCTAGGCTCAAGACCTCCAGCTCGAGATGCCGCAGTGTCTGCAGATACTGCTCGTTCTCACCTAGATCTGTCTGCGCGCTCAGCGCCGCTTTGGAGATGCGTACGCGCTTCACCACGACGCCTTTGCCTTCGACGACCTTCCCAGAGCCATCGTCTGCTTCTGCCGAGAATTGGTCGCGGAACACGACGAATTGGGTGCCCTGTCCTATCTTAAAGGCGCGGTCTTTTAGGTTGGAGACAAGCAGGTGTTCGGGCCCGCGGATGTCGAGATTGGAGAGGATCGTGATGAAGGTTGAGAGCGAGGTGCCTAGCTTGTTGGTCCGCGTGGCCGTCTTCCACCCCTCGAAAAGGGATTCGGCTGAGGTCGCCGGTTTGTCTGGAGATTCTGGAATAGGATCCCGGGACGGGGCATCCGTCTCAAAGCCCCATTTCTTGAGGAGGTTGTCGGTGTCGTTCGAAGGTTCAGCTGCGGCGCTCTCTGTCGGAAAACCCCACTCGTCTTCCTTCACGGTTGCTTTGTTCGGTGGAGCTGCATCTTCTTGGGGACGAGATGCCCCAAATTCCCATTCGTCTTCCTCTTGGGGTGGCGAATTTATTTTGGTGCCGTCGTCTCGTGGCGATTCATGGGTCGCTGTTGGAAATCCCCAGTCATCTTCCTCGCTCGGTGTTGATTTAGACTCCTGGACAGCAACACTGTCGCCGGCGATCGGGAAACCCCACTCATCTTCATCCGCCATGATGCATGCTCTTCATGAATAGATAAAGGCCATGGTCGAGGTCGAGGTCCTTAGGCAGTCGAAGGATTGGGGCTGAAACGCCCCTAGTGGCTCCAAAAGGGAAAGCAAGTTTCAGCCTGAGGCCGTTCCATCCGTCAACTTCTACTTCTCCACAACCATACATAATCCTCCCTCATCCCCCACAACACCACAACAGCAATGGATCTCTTCAGCACCTCCCTCGAGATCATCCACCTCGTCTACACAACCACCATCTTCATCCGCGACGTAACGCAAGAAGTAAAAGGCTACGGCGATGCCAAGCGCGACATCTCCGAGCGTCTCGAGCATGAACTCGTCTTCGTCGAGACCTTCTCGGACGTATGTTTCGGCGAGGAGCGCGGCTTCCTGCGTGACACACGCGTCCGAGACAGCGTGAAGCGCGACGTAAAGCACTGCCTAGACGCGCTGAACAAAGCGCTCGCCGCGTATCGCGCAGAGGCGTGGAAGTATGCCGGCGCGGTGCCGGATCTGGTTGATCAGAGCGCGGAGGACTTGACTAAGCTTGAGCTGAAAGACGAGGGGAAGAAGAAGTGGAGAGATGGCATGAAGGCGCGGTGCCAGGTTTGGAGGAAGAAAGCCGCGCCGTTGGAGTGGGCGCTTTTTGGCAAGGAAGAGATGGAAGCGCTGCTGGTTGCGTATAGCGAGTGGACGGATCGGCTGCGGCAGACCCTTTCAATTATCTTGCTGCTTGTGGGCACGCCGACGCTGGAGTTTGCGGCGAGTGCGCAGGCGGCGAATTTAGGCGTGAAGGAGGTTTCGGAGAGGCAGGCGAGGGTGGTGAGTAAGCCGCCGGAAGAGTATGATGCGCTCCAGGGAGAGATGAAGAATCCTGTGGTGGCAAAGCCGGGGAATGGGCTTATAAGAGGTGTGTATGAGGATGAGTCCGGATTCGACTCTGTGGATGTTGTGGTAGAGATTCGGCCGTATGAGGAAGCTTTATCGCTCGCCGTGAGCGAGCGCAACTACGACGAAGCTAGGGAGCTGAAGGAGCCGCTGAGACAGCTTACATGGCTACTGCAGAGCCCTATGGATTCGAATGTCTCCACGCAGGATGCGGCGGAGGGCTACCGCATGCACACGCTCAGCTGCATGGGCTTCCTCGATGAGCCGTCAAAGAATCGCAGCCTGATTCTGTATCGTGCACCTCAAACGCTTCCCGCAGCGCAGGACGTGCCCACGTTGCACACATACGTCCAAAAAGGCGCGAAGCCGGCACTTGGCAGCCGCTTCCTTACTGCACGAGCACTGGCTGCTACGCTGCTCACCATCCACACCTCCGACTGGGTTCACAAGAACATCTGCTCCCGGAGTGTGCTCATCCTGCCCATTTCAGAGCATGCCACCGAGACGCTCCCTTACCTGGTGGGATGGGACGTTGCGCGCCCACTAGAAGCCGGGACCTCGCTCCACGCGCTTTTCGACCTCGAACCCAACCTCTACCGTCACCAGCAGCGCTTCGGCAAGCCAAGCCAGAAGTTCGCAAACGAGCACGACATCTATTCGCTGGGTGTCGTACTGCTTGAGATCGGGCTGTGGAAGGCCATGTCTACCATCTTTGCGCGACCTCTAGAGAAGAACCCGCGGATTGAGACGACGCAGCAGCACGCGCTGTTCAAGAGGGTGAACGGCATGATTGTGGACATGGCGCAGGGGATTGAGCTGAAGAGGGAGATGGGGGAGCGGTATGCGGCGGTGGTTCAGAAGTGCTTGAAGTGGGAGCCGAGTCAGGGCCAAGAAGAGGTTGTTGAGAGCTCTATCCGGTTCAGGACCGAGGTTGTCGATGCCCTGGTTGCGGGGTGTAAGCTTTAGGTTCTGCGCACTCGCAATGAAACTATATTTCGCGATTAACAAGTGAGGGCAAGTGGAATTGGGAGGGCTTCAGCGTTATTACCTTGTTGAAGCATATACATTCCTAGCGCGACGCGGGTATAATCGAAATGCTCGGTTCAAAGATTAGTCGACCTAGAGCGTAGATTTGCTTCAGGGCTGGAACATCTTCGCATGTGACCCTGCAGCCCGACTAAGAAATCCTCCGATGCCCGCTATTTGCGGGGTTATACTAGGCCGCATACTGTTTGAAGCCTCAGAGTAGAGCTGCCAGGGTCGGGTCTCCCCACATTATATGGGAGATCGCTCGGAAGGTAAAAGTGCGTATTAGCCGATGTCATCCACCAATCACTATTGCTGTCTCATTGGCTGCACATTGAATTGGAGACAAATAGGGAACCCACTCACAGGGATCCCCCACATCGTACCCCTGTCCCTGAAGTTCTCATATGGAGGCAAGGCACGAAAGGGAAACCGGGTACCCGAGGAATGAAAAACCCCATCAATCAACATCGGGAGCGGGGGATGAGGCATCATAGGGTCGCTATAAGGTCCTGGGCGACCTTTTATCGTATATTAACGGTCATGGGCGAGGCGGAAGACGGAGCATTGAAATAAGGTACCTCATCCTCTCTTGCAGCAAGACGGTTTCTCTGCGCCTCGTCAAGATGCGTCTCCTCTCGTCATTCCTGTGCGTTGCCGCACTGCCATCCCTTCTCTTTGCTTTAAATGCGCCATTCCATGCCTCGAGCAGTTGGATCATCGACTCCACGGGCGCCAATTTCACCTATGCCGGGGTGAACTGGCCCGGCGCAGGCGAGGTGATGATTCCGGAAGGGCTGCAGTACCAATCTATCGCATCGATTGTGTCGAAGATCAAGAGCATAAACATGAACGTCGTGCGATTGACGTTTGCGATCGAGATGATTGATGATATCAAGGATAATGGCGGGGATGTGTCGATCCAAAAGGCGTTTACGAAGGCGCTCGGTAGCACGAATGGGGAGAAGGTGTTCCAGCAGGTTATTAAGAACAATCCGCAATTTAGTACTTCGACGACGAGGCTCCAGGTAGGTAGCGAGCTGGTAGGAGCGAAGTCCGCGGCTTACCGGTGCTTACGCAGGTTTTCGATGCTATCGCGGCCGAGCTCGGGAAGCAAGGCATCTACGTCCATTTGGACAACCACATGTCCAAAGGCGCGTGGTGCTGCTCGACCAACGACGGGAATGCATGGTTCGGGGATACTTACTTCAACGTTGATAAGTGGAAGCGCGGCCTGCAGTTCATGGCCGACCACGTAGGTACCCCGCCGCCTTCCACACGATTCTGCTGATGGTCAATGCCAGGGCAAAGCATGGTCGAACCTCGTCTCCATCGGTCTGCGCAATGAATTCCGCAAGCCCGACAACACTGGCTCCTCGCTCGCTTACGACTGGGCTACCTGGTATGCGCAGGTTATGCCCGCCGCCGAGATTGTCAACAAAGCGAACCCGAACATTCTTATCTTCCTCTCCGGCCTTGACTTCGACACAAAGCTAACCCCCATTCCCACGGCCGACGATTTGGGCAATGGCAAGAAATTCCGGCTCACGGACTACACATACGCGAACAAGCTCGTCCTTGAGCTGCACAACTACCAGACCTCCGCGACCAACTGCGGCGACATCGAGGGCGGGCTGTGGAACAACGGTTTTCGAGCCACGGGCCAGACGCCTGTAAACAAAATGCCGGTTGTGCTGACGGAGTTTGGGTTTACGCAGGCGGATAATTCGTACACGAAGACGTATGCGACGTGCCTGAAGAAGCTGATGCCGCAGTGGAAGACGGGCTGGACAGTCTGGGTCATCTCCGGGAGCTATTATATCCGATCGGGCACTCAGGACTATGAGGAGAGCTGGGGATTGCTGAACCATCAGTGGTCGGATTGGAGGAATGCCAATGCGATCACTGCCCTGAAGGGTATGGTTGACGCGACGTTGGCGGCGACGGCAAGCTAGGCTCTTGAGTGTCGGGAGCCTAGTAGGGAAATAGCAGAGAAAATACGAGCATCCATGGCCGACACAGTGGGAAGAGCCGACGTGTCCTATGTGTCCTTGAGGTGTGAAGGTTCTCGCGCTCACGGTTGACAGGAATTAGTCATATATGCCAAGACGTCAGCGAATGAGCTAGCCTATCTTTGGTCTAGTGCTTTTCTCTCTGACTTCAGTTTTTTCAACCATCGCCAGCGCACGCAGGATCGCATCACCTTTCAACATTCTACTCATCAGGTGCTCCTCGCAATTCCACACTTGAAAACGAGAGAGCCACAGTGCCGACCCCAAGTACGCTCAAAGACGCAACCCTCACCTGGCGACGCCACATTCCCGTGCTCCTCACCTCCTTTATATATACCTTCCGAATGCTGTCCTCGCAAGACACAGCTATGCTTCCGGCACCGGATAACAGCTCTCGTCGACGCGTCCCATAGTCCTCTTGTAGCATCCGACGCCGGAAATTTGCAAACACGGCGGTCGCTATTTGCCTTCGCCGACATCGCCTGATGCAGCAGCACTCAAATCACCTTATGCGACCCGATGATGATGATATCCATTTCCCAACTGTACTCTGCCTCTTGCAGGACAGGCCACATGCAGCCAAGGTAATACCATGCCGCCTCGAAAATAGCGTTCCACAGAACCGGTCATGATGTAATCGACCCGGCCAAGACCTTAACCTCTCACGAAGGTGTCCGCGTCGGAACCAGGGCGACTGCAAAACGCCCCGAGATCAACACCTTGGTCGGAATCCTTTGGGGAACCGAAAGCTAGGCCGTCAGGAGTGTTTGCGCCCGGTAGTGGGATTGCGGCGTAGATCGCCTAGTGGTGCTGAAGTGCTGCTGGGATTCTCCGATGTCCTGGGGATAAGTTCGTGAAGTGAAGCTCAAAGCATCTGCTGTCATTCCATTTCTCTCGACCTTCGATCAATCGAAGCACCTTGTCACTTCTTTTCTATTCAGCGTACTCTCATCAATAATCCGCAAAACAACAAACATGTCCGACAACATCATCGTCAAGTCCGTCGCAGGAACCTGCATCTCCTTCTCCTTTATCCTCGCAGGTAACTCAACTTCCTCCCCATCCCCCCCTCCCCACAGCTCTCACTCAACAATCCCCAGGAAACGCAATAACGCAATCCTTCATGACTGTCCCCGCGCTGCTCGTCGACTTCCCGCCCCCAGGATCCTCGGACCACACCGCACGCGCGCGCCTCCTGGGCCGCCAATGGCCGCTCTGCTGGACGGTGGGCAACCGCTTCTTCCGGCCCATCAGCACGCTCGGCTTCCTGGGCTACGTGTACGCGGGCTACGCCGTGTACAGCGAGGGCGGGCTCGCGCGCAGCGACTGGACCATGTTTGCGGTGGCGGCGGCTATGCATTTGACGACTATTGTGCACTCTGCGGTCAATATGCAGCCGCTGAATGATCGGCTAGAGGCGCTGGCGACGCGCACGGAAGAGAAGGAGTTGGGGGAGGCGGAGGGCGTGGCGAGGCAGTGGGCGAGTTGGAATAGGTTGAGGGTTGTTACACCGGTTATGGCCGGGGGTTTGGCGCTTTGGCAGCTGTGTAGGTTGTAGATTAGTTGGAGGGGTGGGAGTGTTTGAACGGTGCGATGTAGTCGGTGGATGAGTCTAATACGTATCACATTGCATCCTAGTTGAGACGACAATGGTTCTTCTCTTGCATTGGGAAACTTATAGAGGACACAGTAGACACCATGAATCTTTAGCGATATTTCCGCGCTTTAACCTTGATAACGCAAGTATCATGCAACACATCTATTATTACGAGAAATAAACTACAACGTTCCGAACCCCCAAAATCGAGTAGACTTATCCCATGAGCAAGGACAATCCCCCCTTCCTCCACCCACTCCTCTCCTTCAGCCACCTCTCAAACCCACAAAGCTCCCTCTCCATCCCCCTCAACCTCTCCACATCCACCCCATACCCATCCGTCCGAAACCAATTCAACATAACCCCAACCTCGCCAACCGCCCACTTCAGCGCCGTGCCCAAAACCCAATACGTCGCCGGCGCCGGCGCCCCCGTCACGCGCTCAAAACATCCACTCATCTCCTCGAACGTCAGCTCGTCGCCCGCAATCCCCTCAGCGCGCGCATTCCACTCCCCCGGATCGCGAAACGCGCGCGCGGCGAACAGCCCAATGTCCTCGACCGACACCCACTGCATGGGCTTGTCCTGCAGCGTGTCGCGCAGCGCGGCGAGGAAGACCTTGGACTGGAACCCGGGCTCGATGTTGTCCATGAAGGCGACGGGGCGCAGGATGGTCCAGCCCATGGTCTCGCCGCTGGCGCCGGCGCGCGCGCGCAGGTGCTGCTCGATGCGGTGCTTGGACTGGAAGTGCGGGATGGGCGTTGGGTTCTCCGGGCTCTTCTCGTTGCCGCCGCGGTCGACGGACGAGTAGACGAAGTGGCGCACGCCGTGGGCGAGGGCTTCGTCGATTAGCGCGTTGCCTTGCGCGATTTCGGACTCGAGGGTTACGTCGGGACCCATGGAGACCTGCATGGAGTAGACGCCCCAGATTTGCGGCGGCTTGTTAGCTTGCTCGAGCGCGGCAAGGGCGGATTTGAAGAGCGCGGGGACGTCGTTGAGGTCGCCTTGCACGAGGAGAGCGGAGGGATGACGTCCTTTGAGGCGCTGGGCGGCGGGCGAGTTGGTGTTGCGGGTTACAGCCAGGAGGGTGAATTGCGGGCTGGAGGGGTGGGTGGCGAGTTGTTTGAGGACGGAGCCGCCTTGTTTGCCGGTGGCGCCGGTTATGAGGATGGCTTTTGCGGAGGACATGGTGGGGATTGTGGAGAGATTTTTGAGGTTGTGGTTGTTAGTGTTGTGGGGATAGTTTGCTGGGTTGCAGGATGGTGTTTCTGGCTACGTCACTGTGAAGTGGAAGGAGACACCAGTGCGAGGCAGGCAGGTATGATAGTGGAAGGAAAGCTGGAAGTGTTTGTGTCGTCGAAGCAAGAGCCCAAGGTAGGCGTCTGATAAAGCTCCCTCCCACTCCGCGTTCCGTCCGCCAACCGTCCGCTTTGTCCCCTCGCTGCCCCGCCATGGCCAGCCATAGCTACGGAACGGATGCCATGACGTTCGCTAATGCATGCCACTATCTCTGGCTCGGGCCCAGCAGCTCCTATGGCTTGCGGTTAATTGCCCCGCCGTATATCGGGGCTGCGGAAACACCGACGTTGCGACTTCTCGCACCGCACGCATTATCACCATAGGTAGTTCGGAGTCCGTCGCTGCAGTGATACACTTACTGTGATCAACCGGTACCGCAGAGGCATCGAGCTGTAATTGAGATACGGACCGCATTAGAGTGGTTGCTCGGGACGTTTGGTGGCGGAGCAGGGGTCGTCCGTGTTTGGTGGAGCTAGTGGTGGTTTGCCGTTTTGGGATATGCACTAGCAGCTTGTAGTGGGACGAGATGTACGTCATGACCCAGCATGGCCTCTTCAACCGCAGTTCAGACGAGGAGACTGCGAGACAGACATGTGAAGCACCTTGTCTTCCACAACCTCTTGAAAGTATTCTATTACCACGCGACCAGTTCTCTGCGATGGGGAAGTCTCCAGGCTAGAAAGTGACTGCGCCCTGTGGGACGCACAACATACACGCGAGATAGATCCCAATCCCTCCACCTACCCCAACACCCCGCTCAACCTCCCCTTTAACTCCCCCGCCCTCCCACTATCCACAAACTCCCTAACCTCCACAACGCTCCCCCCATCCCCACTCATCCGCACAAAAAGCACACACTCCGTCCACCACTCCAGCACCCCGCCTTCCACTAACACCCTCCCCTTCTCGCTCGCCGTATCAACCCTCCCACCCATCCTACAATGCGCAACAACCGTGCCCGTATCCGCGCAAAAATGCACCGCGCGCGGCGAGCCCTCAGGCTGCGGCACCATGCTGAAGTCCGAAAACAGGGAGAATATCATCGCGGCGTGCTGCTGGAAGGGCTCGAGACCGCGCGAGGGGAGATTGAGCGAGGATGGGAGCACGGTGTGGGTGAAGTCGGCGGAGGCGTGGGCGGCGAGGGCTTGCGGGCGCAGGGTGGGGTAGGCGGCGATGAATTTGCGGAAGGTGCGCATGTGCGGTGTTGAGTCGCGCGGGGGTTTGTTGGAGCTGCGGAGGAGGTAGATGGTTGGGAGGAGAGCGGCGATGCAGGCGAGGGTTGCGGTTGCGAGGCGGATTTCGGAGGGGGAGAGGGAGAGGTTGGACATTTTGTGGATGGGGGCGGGTTTGTGAGGAAGATGGTGAGGAGAGAGTAGAATAGGAAGGAATGTTGAGTAAAGTTTGGAGGAACACTGGGGAGTATTGCGCGGAGGAGGCGGCTAGACTTGAGGGATCGCGCACTGTGCTCGCAATCACGTGGGGTTACGGCGTAGATATCGTGGCGTCTAAGCCTAAACGACCTCAGTTCCGAGGAATACTCGAAGATCAAATTCGGGAAGCCTAGTGTTCAAAACTGCCCCTCCAGACCAGCCCAGCGCACTTTCCTATACCTCCATTCCCATTTCACCCCCTTTCAGCGCCCAACCCAATCCCCACCATCACGCAAACAATGTCCCATCGCACCCATCCACACACACATCCCAAGCCCACATCACGCCGTTCCACCCGCCCTCTCGGCGCTGTCATCGATTCCCGTCCCTCTGCCTCGCTCCAGCATACGGTAAGTCTTCAAGACGCCCGCAGGCAAGTCTTCTCATCCGTCGTTCGTCGTTCTTGGTCCGTCCGCGGAGGACAGGGGACTAGGGTTGTTGGAGAGCCGTGCCGTGCTGCGGAGTAGAGTAGAGTGGGGTGGAGTGGATCCTACTGCACTGTCTAACGTTATCGTATCGTTAAGGTATTCGATACTCTTAGTGTGAAGACGGAGTCAGGGGTCGGGTCGGTCTAGCTGCAACAGCGTTTGACATAGTTATAGTAGCTCTTTCTGCTAGGCTAGGACTCAAGACCGCCGTTGCAGAAGACGAGATAAGGGAAGCGAAGCCTGTATCCCGCATAGATAAATAGATAGCAAGCGTACTACATCGCAGTGCGGCGACCAGTAGATGCAGATTCCCAACTCCATACCCACCTAGCCCGCCATCCCATGCCATACTACAACCCCCCCTTCTCTCCAGCCCCCAATCCACAATCCACACTCCCCATCCCCCGTCCCCCATTTCCAATCCACCGCAATCCAATCCAGCCCCCTCCCCGTCCAGGCTCCGCACCATCCTCTCCTCTCCTCCCTACCGCCGTGCCTCTGTCAGTCTCAATAAACAAACCTAACCTAACCCAACCCTAGCATCCGCATCCGCAGACTACCTACTATAGAAAGCGTCTAGTCCATCCGAGGTAGTACCAAGATACATTCAAGCATCGGCTTTTCCACGCGCAGCAATCGGAGGATTTCCCCGCCCGCGCCGCATCGATGACGGGTTGATTCGGGAGGGGAAAAATCAGCGAGAAAGGAGGGATAGCCCCAGCCCTGGAGGATCGATGCATGCTTGTTTACTAGAGCTTTGAAATATAGATTACTTACTCAGACATCTCCAAAAATCCCACCTCCACCCCTTCCCCTCCCCCCTTTCTCCCCACCACGCCTACTCCCACTCCCCGCTCCCCAGCTCAACCCTCCTCCCCGCCCTCCTATCCCTCATAATCTCCTCAATACTCCAGGGCTCATACCGATACCCCCTCGGATAATTCGGCTCAAAGCCCACCTCATCTCGCATATCCACACCCCTCTCCATACTCCGCACCGCCTTCCAGTAGTTCGCGTACGCATACGCCTCCGGATCGTGCGCCCACACCCACCTGGGCAGCTTGGGCGCGGCGCGGCGCGGGTCGAGCGCGACTTTGTCCCAGTCGGTGTCTTGCAGCAGCTCGGCGTTGGCGAAGCCGAGTTTTTGCGCGCAGGCGTTGCGGATGAAACTGCGGGGCGGGGGGTTAGTTGGTTAGTTGAGGGACGGGGAAGGGAGGGAGGAGGAGAGGGGAGTAGTTACCGGAAGCGGATGTGTGTGCGGACGGACTGGGGGATGTTTTGCTTGCCGCCGATTTGCAGGCAGGAGGCTATTGAGATGGCGTCTTCGATGGCCTGCGTGGCACCGTTCCCGGAGGCAGGGAGGTACGAGTGCGCGGCGTCGCCGATCTGGATGACGCGCGCGCCGGGGGAGGTCCAGCTGGGCTGGGGATCGCGCCAGAGGAGTTCGAAGTTGACGATGGTGTTGGGGGGCGTGACTTTGACGAGCTCTTTGAAGATGGGCGCCCATTTGTTGGTTTGCATGCCGGGCATCTCGTCCATGCCTTGTAGCACTTCGTCGGCGTCAATGGTGTTGTTCCAGCTCTCCTTCTCGGTGCCGGTTACCTGCGCGTGTGTTAATTGTGGGTAGGCTGTATCAATGCTTGCTGCGGACTCACGTCGTGGTTCATGATCCAGACCATTACATCTTCGCGGGTCAAGGTCAGCGCGTAGGTAGAAGGGCTATCGTGTTTTAGCCCGCCGTTCCAGAAAGGCCTCACCGGGGGCTGCTTACCCGAGCCATGTCCTCACAATGGGCTCCTTATTCGGCATCATCTTGAAGAATTCCTTCACCTCTGGATTCTTATCCAGATGCTCAATCGGGAACGCAGCACGCCACATCGCCCGCCCAGAAGGCATAGCGCGGACCTGCCCACCCACCAGCTTCTGGCTCTTCGAACCAACGCCATCAGCCGCAATAACGACATCAGCCTCGTACCGTTTGCCGTCCTCTGTCGTGCAGCCACCTTTGCCAGTCTCCTCGTCCTCAAAGTAGTCCATAACCTTGCGATTGAATTCGACGTTGACGCCGAGCTTTTCCACGGCGTTCACAAACATCTTGTACACGAGCGGGCGCATCTGGAACTCGCCAGGCGGGGTATCGGGATCCAGGCCCTGGGCACGCAGTCGGTCCGCGACCTTCTTTGGGGGAATCATGACTTCGCCGTTGTGCTTGAAAGTCTCGATCCAAGCGTTGTGCAGCGAGATCTGCTGGTATTCTTTCCGCAGTTCGGGCCAATGCTTGAAGAAGCGCGTCGCACTTAGGCCCATGAAGTACATGTCGCCTATCGGACTGTGAGCGCGAATTTGTAAAGTTAGAAGAGCTGGGAGGCTCACCGGCCGTGTTGATGCTGGCGTTCCGCTCCAGCACCCTCACATTGTGTCCTTTGCGCACGCATTCGAGTGCAGCTACCAGGCCTGCGAGGCCTGTTCCAATAATGAGCACGTCTATCCCAGTTGGCTCGTAAGAACCAACTGGTCTAGGTTCCATGGTGGAGTCGCGGGATGTTAGCGCGTGAGGCATGGTTCGGGTGACGATTGCTGTGTCTAAGGTGCGAAATTGAAGGGTGATGAAGCTCGTCTTACGCCGCGATTCTTCAGTTATAAGAACCGGGTGCGGACTGTGGCGTCTCGTTTTTGGGATGGGATGCCGAACCCAGAGCCGTGGAGGCCCGATGCCCGACAATTCCCATCTGTTGCGCGCTCTTTTGCGCGCCGTGAGCGGCCTCTTGCATGCTTAGTGTAACCGTCTCGAGATACATCTCTGACGCGGTGGAATGGTGATGTCAGTCATTGCTGTAGTAGATTGAATCTATGCGTGCAAAGTGTAGTCCAAGCCATGGTTCCCCACAACCTCCGGCGAGCCAAGACGCGGAACGGGTACGCTAAGCCTCTATTTGCAAGGGTACTGATACTGGTGTAATGTTTCACTTAGCGCGTCTTAGCAACGCTTATGAACCTCGGGACAAGGCTTGCCTGTCTAGATAACGCTGTTAGCCCAAAAGGGACCACCGCAAAGCGTGGATGAGAGAAGGGAATAAATCAGCGCAACGCAAGCAACTCCCGCCTGCCGTTGCATCAAGCCGTCGCGACAGTCGCAATTTGAATGCGGCTCCGATGAATAACTGTACCACGGAGAAGAAGTGGCTGCAGGCTTGCAAAGCTCGGAAAGGCGTGGCATGGCGAGGCTGGTTGCTAGAATTGGTCGAGCGGTATACCCTACAATGTCTCCTCCGGTAGGATGTCCGACCCTATCAGGGGTAGATCTCCCCAGGGAGAAACGACGATCGTGTTATCGTGTAGTGTATCAAGTGCGAGTGCCATGTGTAGACGGCTGCCGAGCCACTCATTGCTCCACGGAAAAGCAACGGTGTATCCATGGCGCATTTGTGAGCTTAGCTCTCTTGACTGCTGCTTGACACCTTTCAAGCCGGTGTGGTGTCTCCGGTTTGTACAAGAGCATCGCCCGCCCTAGAGTATGTGTAATTGCGGCGAAGGTGGCAAGGTCGATGACTAGCACCTCTACCAATGACAGCCAGACAGAGGAGCGTTTGTAACCTAGTCCCATACGGTGTTGGGGTTTTGGTTCGGCATGCTGTCAACCAAAGTGTCATCGTCATTTGTACCGTGGTGGCCCAATCCCAACCGCGCCCTGCTCCGACAAGGGTTAATGTTCACCACAGGGACAACCGCAGCTCTGACGACGACCCCCTGTCCATTCTCTACTCAGTTTCACTGGATGAAGTCTTTGACACTTCCAACATGTCATCATCGGCGCCGGTAGTCCCGACATTGAGCATCCCGATCCTTCGGATCGTGTATCTGCTGTGATCGACAAGGCCAAAATCGGTGCCACGGTGGTTGGTGTCCTGCCGCCTTGTCGTGGCGTGCCTGGTCCATGTGCGACAATTGGCATATCAGATCGACTTGCCTGCTGGAGCAACCGCTGGGGCGATCTTATGGTTGTATCGAGCAAAGTTCCGGATGACGGACGAGGTTGCCCTGGCTTCCGCGACGGGATGTCAACCACCGCCGTACCTGTAGCATAGACAAGTATAACATTGGGGAGCCGAATGCTAAGAGCAAGATCCATCTATTCTCTCCATATATTCAAAAAATCTTCGTGTTCATCGTCGCTGATTCTTCACTTCCTGGTTCTCTTCGCATCTCTTTCTGCAGTCATGCATACCATTACGTTGTACGCCGCTGCATTCATAGTGCTTGGCTGGGCCCTTTATGCCTTCGCCAATGCCATCTCAAGACGAAATGCCAAGTACAACCCCAGAGGGTTACCGGGGCCTGCGCTCGTGCCCTGGGTGGGTCGTATCCACGATCTTCCCATCCAGTACATGTGGCTCAAGTTCAAAGAATGGGCCGACACATATGGACCGATATATCGAACGAAGATGCTCGGGGCCAACTTCATCATCGTCTCGGACGAGTCGATAGCCGAAGAGATACTGGTGAAGAGGGCCAAGTTGTACTCGGACAGACCTCAGATCCGGTCGTTGTTTGACTCTAAGAGCACGTTTGGCTCAATGGAGTATCTGCCCTTGATGGGAAAGAATCGTGAGTTGCGAATTGCTCTCGTCGGTAGTCCTACTAACGTGCGCGTTAGAGTACTGGGCCCGCCAAAGGAAGTTCACACACTCTTACCTAACCGAAGCTACCAACGCCCGCTACCACGGTATCATGGAGTTCGAGGCGAAGCGATGGTTGAACAACCTAGTCAACGGTCCCGATAACTTCGGCTTCTCGCTCGAGGACATGGCTTCAAAGGTCATGTGTCAGCTGACCTGGGACGACCACACATTGAGCACATATCTCACTCCGAGTGCTTGGGGGCTGTTGACCCAGATGTCGCCGGCCGGCCCGATAACGAACGTCCTCACACCACTTTGGCACCTCCCACTCTACCTCAATCCGTGGAAAATGGCAGAGCGCAAGCGCCATGATGATCAGCAGGCATGGTGGATGGACAAGCTGCTCAACACGCGGCGCCTCATGGAGAAGGGCAAGCAGCGGCCATGCTTCACTCGCACCTACCTCGAGACGGCAGAAAAGACTAGTCTCTCCGGAGATTACGAGGCTTCGTCGGTGATAGGCATGATGGCTCTAGTTGGCATTTTCACCGTTGCTGGGCCATTGTACTACTTCCTCGTGTCGATGGTGCACCATCCGGAGTGGCAGACCAAGTGCCAGGATGAAGTGGACAGGGTGTGCGAAGGCCGAATGCCAACGCTCGCCGACATGCCGAATCTTCCAACCCTTCGTGCTTGCATCAAAGAGACGATGCGATGGAAGCCCAACGTTCCTACCGGTGAGTGTTCCGGGTTGAAACGGTTATGCAGAGTGCTGACTCGGTCGCAGGCGTCGCGCATGAGTGCGAAGCAGACGACTGGTACCGGGGCTACTTCATCCCGAAAGGCACCCGCATTCTCCCACTCGATTACGCATTCCTCCGCAACCCCACCAAGTACCCTGATCCGGAAACGTTCCGTCCGGAGCGATGGCTTGAGCCTGGATGGCCAACATACCAAGAACCCCTGACAAAGTACCCTACAGTAAAGGGCATGACATCGTTCGGATTCGGGCAGAGGCAATGCCTAGGCCAATCCATCACGCAGGATGAGTTGGTCGTCGCTTGCGGCGGCCTAATGTGGGCGTTCAACCTCAGACCAAAGGTGAATCCCGTCACTGGCCAAGACATCGAGGTACCTCTCGACAAGTCAAACTCGCTTCTCATCGTCAAGCCGGATCCCTTCCTGATGGCGTTCGAACCAAGGAGTGCTACTAGGAGGGCCGAGGTAGTTGAGCAGTGGAAAGAGGCTGAGACGGCAGACGCTGAGGAAAGAGCAGCATTTTTGAGGGAGGCTGAAGCGAAAGAAGTTGTTGGCTTAGAACTCATGTCCAGTGGGTAATGATTGGTTCGCTTCGCAGTGCTGCCTTATAGGGCAACTCCTTTGGTAGAATATTAAATTGGAGCTTTGGATTTGCTAAGCGTTTGTCAATACATTGAGCGATGTGTCTGCAATTGGCAGTTAGCGAAAATTAATTCCGATACTGAAAAGCGATGGATTCCCCACTGATGTGCAGTGCAATGGTATCTGGCAACAACTGCATTTGACCAACCCGTCGCGTATGACACGAGGCCGCTGTCCGCACAGCACTAGGGATGCTTGTTCACGGTCGATGCTTCTTCTGTAGTCGCCGGCGATACAAGCATCGTAAAAGCAAAGGTTGTGAGATTGTGTGGTGACGGTCACCCGATGTTGTCGTTGGCAGTTCAGACGAAAGCCCGGGGTTTCGCGAGCGCACCGACCCGAGAAGTCCGGGCCTAGTCCCGTTTCGGTTTCTCAACCAGAATCCTCCGTGCCCAACTTTCCACCCTTCATACCATCACTATATCGCAGCTCGAGCTGCCAAGCGTGGTAGTTGTTGTGCCAGCTAGCCACGTTGTGGGCGAGCCCAGCGGAGCCGCCGCAATCCATGTGCGCTCTCAGCCGGTGGCTGAAGCCTGCAGAGCTGTAGCACGGGCTGAAATGCGCCAGATCCGCCATACTCACCGTCTACCACCTTTATAAGCGTCGAGAGCCAGTATCTATTTCAGTCCCCAGCTCGCAAAGCTACGGTTCAGTGCGAGGGTTCCTACCGCAACCTACTGTCCTCCTACAGACAGGGAGTTCGAACATGCCACCAGTCCCGACGTCCACGAGTGTATCCGACAGCGTACCTGCACGTCTTCAGCCGGACTGTTCTTGAAGACTGTCGCCGGCCGATAGCACATCGGAAATGAGAGACATCGGCGGACACCGTTACCTTCCAGAAGCCGCGAGGGGCGTCCGCCCGAAAATTCTTCCCCGCGTGGCGCCCGTAAGTGTAATTGCTTTTGCGGCAAGGATTCTTCTCGCATCAGCGTTGCTCCGGGCACTTCCGCCGTGCCGTTTGCCAAGGCGGAATAACGCGGGGTAGGCCTGAAATGCATGATGGCGTCAACCTCGTGGGGTGCGATAAGGATTTCAAATAACAAAGGAACGGCGATATACAATAGGGTAGATGGACATAATCTCTCCGTGGAAAGTTCGAGTCCTCCGTGTTGGATTGGGCAGGGACGTGCGGATATTCGGTGGTGGCTTCCGGATGGGGGGAGCTCATGCCGAAGTGAGATGAGGGCCACGCATCAGTGAGGTGATCTTCGGCCATTGTGGGCATACAGTCGAGGCACGGTGGTCTGAAAGTCGTATTGAGGAGTGTGCGAAACAGGAACAGCTTCACGGAGTCGCCCAGTGGGATAGAGGTGCGCCACAGTTGGGTTGCGAGTTGGATCGTGGCGGACGCGCTGTTCCTGGGCAAGGATATGGGATGATCGCTGAAGCAATATTGACCGAGGATCTGGTTTGTGCGACGATCATTGCTGGAGGGAGTATGCATGGGCAGCGCGTGTGAGCGCGGGAGCGGCAATGTTTTGCATGTTGCAGGCGAAACCAGTTGAGGGGATGCCATGCCCTTGCCCTCGTCTTTCCATGCTTTTGGCAGCCCACCTGGGGATCGTCTGGAGTCCGAGTTCGGAGAAGCGTTCATTCGCTAGACCGTATTGAATGCCGGTAGGTTAGAAGTAGGCCGGCCCTTCCCCATATGGCAAACCAAGATAGTATGCGAATATTGAAATGGTGCTGGTGTACAGTGCCATGTCGGTGGTCTGCGCTTTCAATAAGGGAGCGAGAAGCTCAAGGTACGTGTCGCTTCCCGTGACGGTGCATGTAGGTAAGCGATTAGAAGTCATGGAGCTGACGAAGCCGTCACAGGTCAGTGCTAACTCTCGATGTTTGTGGGTAGTACCACTGAAACGCGCTCTTTCCCGGCTGAGGAGTATGAGGATTTCCAGCGACTGAAGTGTGCAAGAGTACTTGGTCCATGACACTCAGCCCGCCGCAACGTCTGCACGTCCTCTCGATGCCGTCTTCAATTGCCGATCCAGAGCAGAGCGAGTCGATTCCGTTCTCGCAGTGGGAAGACCAGAGGTCGGACTGAAAGACCGAGCGAGCATCTGCGCGGAAAAAAAAGAGTGTATGTGATAGTCCATCAATGGCTTTCCGTTCGAGTCTTGTGACCATGAAAGAGAGGCGCAGTGGCGGCTTGCATAAGCAGCGACAGGAGGTCTGCCAGGAGAGGGATAAAGCCGACGAAATCTACCAAATAAAAGAGTGGGAGACGCGGGGAATGCTCGAGAGCGCACCAGACCCTCCCCGGCGATTCGCATCTGGTGATGCCGCAACACCCATCGGATCATCTTCACATCGATCGGTAAGCAGAGGGCCCGGGGTGCACCACCCGTTATCGAGCTGTCCAGCTGCAAATTGGGGGGCGTTGAGAGCACAGCCTCGCAAATGGGGAAGGCGCGCTCTGTCGAGGCGAGGAGCGACCGACCGCAATGGGCAGTTTCATATTGACATCGAGTAACGAGGACTGCCGCTAGTGGTCGCGCGGGGTGGCTATACGCAGCTTTATCGTCGAAGCCCGTGTGGTCGGATTCGAGCAATCATCGTGAAGGGCGGTGGTGCCATCCATGCCGAGCCCGGTCTGTCAGCCAGCGATGCCCACTGGTGCCTAGAGCAAGTGTGTCCGTGTGCGGCATGCAGCGACAGCACCGCGGAGATGGGGACAGTGAATAGGGCGAGAGAGTGCCTCCACGCTGGAGCAGGGGTCAGTGAGGTGGATGAAGGGCGTCGAAATGAGAGAGAATGCATGAACGCGCTGGACGACGACGGTGGAAGCGGAAAGAACGGTGCCGCAAATGAAAGGAAAACGAGCAGAACGCGCTGTCGTTGCAGGACTCTGCGTCAGAGCTGTCGTGGTCGCAATGTGAAGACACACGTTCTCCTCTGTGATTGGTCCAGCGGCTGTATATGCGACTCCGCGAGAGGATGCCGCAAGCCGCCAGGCACGAAGGGCGAAGACTTGAGGCAGAAAGAAAAAAATGATGCTTGGTGGACTTTCTCCTCGCTGGAGGGCGTGGAATACGTGACAGTATACCTACGTATCGCAGGAAGATTGCTGGTCACGTGCCGCGTCACATGAACCTCCTGGGATGGATGCTGAGCGCTGAGGGCGTCAGATACGCAAAGAACAGCACTCTTCTGGTGGCATCGAAGCCATCCCAGACCAGCGCTCCTCGAGATGAGTCCATACCTTAGTGCTGGACCAATTCATCGTCCGCGAGGCTGTAGGTCGAGGGACGGATGAGGCGGCGTTCGCAGAGGCGCAGGCTTTCGACGGTTCCCGAAGGATTCGGAGCCATAGCTAGGCAATGTGACAGCTCCTGCATACAGTAGCAGGCACCGATGAGTTGTTCGCAGCCGCAGAGCAGACTCGCAGCAAAGCAAGGCGGCCAAGCCATTGCAACGTGCCGAACACGCTGGCGAAAGTACAAGGTGATACAGACGTAGCAAGTGCCGAGAGAGACCAGCACGGAGGATATTGACTGCAACATATGACGTAGAGTATGGGAGGTTGTGGAGAGGTTGCGAAGCGCATCTCGCTGCTCCGCGGTCTCTCCATCGTCAGCTGATGTTCGTCGGGAGCAGCGCTCGACCGAAGAGGGCGGCACGTGGGGATTGAGGATCAGCGCGGTAACGACGGACGCCATCAGGCCTCGTCCCGTGCTGGCGATCCTGGCGGTCCAACTGTCGTCTGGGAGTATCCCGGCTGCCTGGAGGAGAAGCCGTTATCGCTTCTGCTGCTGTTTGCGGCCCTGGAGGTCGATGAGCGAGCAGAGTCAGCCCCGCCTAAGCAATCGTCCCGCAGCGGTCGCCAGCGAGGACGTCGCTCTAAATTCATCTGAGCGATGCTGCGACGCACGAGTTGGAGGGCGCAGAGTGCGGATGATTCGCCGCGGACGCGCTGGCGCTGCACAGGATCGAACGGGCTGGTCATCGGGGAAGCTGGCCAGGCTCGAACGGGCATGGCCCTCGATGGCGCCGTCGTGCCATTCGCAGTGCGCGACCAGGAAGGGCCAAGGCGGCCAGAGTCAGTCTCACGAGCTCGCGCGGGCGCAGGCTCCAATCGCGGCATGGCTGTCTCGGTGTCTGGTGTCTGGTGTCGGGCGGGACTCGACGCCCCCAGCCAGTCCCTCCGGGTGCGTCGCCAGCCCGAGGTCCTCGATAATCCCACGCTGCGCCGGCTGCGCCATACGGAGTCGCTGAAAACTCTACCCTGCCTGCCTGCCTGCCTGCCTGCCTCCAGCCTATATCCCAGGCGTGCGCCTCGTGAAGACGCCCAGCTCACTCCACTCCACTCCACGCTCCACGCTGCACCCACTAGATCTGCGAGGCCCCGGCCGGACTCTCGGTGCCCCCGTCTACATATACGGCTTCCAGCACTCCGCCTGCAGCCTTCACGCGCTCCGTAAAAAGTACTCGACCTGTTCAACGACTAATCTTTTAATTATTGCTTGCGATTTATTCTTCTGCCATGGCGCGCACCGTGCAATGGCAGTATGATTCGAGCCACAGCACGACCACGTCTGGCCGCAGCGACCGAAGCGACAGCGGCCGCTCCTACGAAACCGCACCCACCGAATACAGCACGCAAAGCTCGCGGCCGCCTCTATCGCGCAACGAGACATGCCACGGCCGCGTAGAAGGGCGTGGGCGGGCGTACTTCGCGCCGGCGGACGACTACAAGCAGCGAGCAGCCTACGCCGCCCGCTCCTCCACCGAGACCTACGCCTCAACCTCCGACGAGGACCTCGCCGACGACTTGGACGACGTTCCGGAGTACTATGTGCCCAGCTACAACCACGACCCGCTGCCCGTCGACGCCATTCCCACGACGCCGCGCGATTTCGCAGACCTCTTCCCCACCTCGAAGCGCATATCGATCCGCCACGACGACTCCACAATCGACGGGAACATGAACCTGCGCGTGGACACGCAGATCGAGGAGCGGCATCACAAGAAGCAGAACTACACCCTGTTCCATCTCCGCATGCACGACCTGCGCACCCGCGAGTTCTCGCTGCGCCGCTACTGCAGAGAATCCGGCCGCGAGGTCTGCCACTCGATCCGCAAGTACCAGAAGCCTCCGGCGGAGAAGCGCCCCGTGCTGCAGCGGGCAAGCACAGCCCTCGCCAGCTTCAGGCACAAGCCCGAGTCCCGCCCGTCGACGGCAGCCGGCCTCAAGCGCTCTGACTCAGGCTATGAGTCCGTCCGCGGCATCGAAGAGGAGGACGAGAATGCGTCACGCCCCAAGTCGGCCGGCTACGCCAAGGGGCGCACGCTGATGCCTACCAACACCATCAAGCTGGAGTTCTCAAACTACGCCCACATCGACGTTAAGCGAAGAGGTGCCAAGAGCGGCAAGCGGTACGGCTTTGAATACTGGGGCCACAGCTATTCCTGGAAGCGGGTCGTCAAGAGAGACCATGATCACGAGAACGTGTCCTACTACCTTGTCCGTTCAGACAACGAGAAGGATCCCCTGGCCCACATCTGCCCCGTCCGTTTGACTCCTGAGCAGGCGCATGAGGAGACAGCAAGGGGAGGTTGGATCCCGCCCTGTTACATGCGGATTACAGACGATCGAATTCTGCGTGCCAACAGCGACATCTCCGAGTGAGTACAATCACGGCAGACTACAGACTTGGACTGACTCACATCTCAGCGTGGTGGTTGCAACCGGCCTCATGGCGCTCGTGGACGACTCCATCAAGAGGCGCTTCCACTCGAAGCAGACGACACAATTGCATATTCCACTCATTCGGAGCGCGTCCCTAAAAATGAACATAGACTACATTGGTCCCAAGCGGCTGATTGATGAAGTGTTCAATCGAACCAGCCGCACCGGGCCTCCAAGCAGACACCCGTCAGCGTTACGCCGAACCGCAGCTGAGGCGTAGCCTCTCCCGCCGGGACATCGGCTTTAATCATTGGAGCCCCAGCTCGACGGGCTGGGCCCTACGGGCGCGGCACTCCGCTTCTACTTCTCGTACATAGTTTTCTTGCCGCGCTTGCGAGCTGTCAAAACTGCTCTGTTGGGCCGCGGGTCTGCAACGTCCCGCGGGTCTCGTGCGCATAGTCTTTTCCTCTCTGTCTTGGCGACAGCATACGCATGGAAGCTTTGGTGTTCGGCGTTTAGGTATGCATAGCATCGCAGTTGAGATTGTTTGCTGCATCTGTTTGATTTGGTTTCTTGACCGGCATCAACTGGGGCATCTTGTCGCGGCGACGTGAGAGCGCTTCCGGTTTTCTCCGGACTTCATATGAGTTTATGACTCGGTACGATAATTTACGACTGAAGCTGCACGCTCAATCAGTGTTTCTGCATCCGAGCCCGGTGGTGATTGCAGCAGAGCAGGGCTGGGCCGGTAGAGAGTGCCCCAGCCACTGCTGTTCCGTGGCTGTGGTAGCCATCATGTACGGCCGACCCGACATCTCTTCGATCACTCTCAGATCACACTGCCGGCGCGTCTCTCGTCACACGGCGCTCGACTGACCAGCAGGTACCCGCTGAAGTCACCCGTCGCCATATGACGGAACTCGTCGACCGTCGAAAGTGCTTTCCCTTTTGGGGAGAGTGCATGCTAAGCGCAACGCACACGACTCCGCCTCCTCCGCACAAATCTCCTTCGCCTCTGTCCACCGTCCTCCTTTGCATTCATTTCTGCTCCCAAGAGTATTCCGTCACCTAGCCTTTTTCCGGGGTCGCTAATGATATCACAGCCTCATCTCCACAGACTAGGCAGGGGCTCCACGTCCACGTCGCCCAAGCCAGCCGAAGCAAGGTGAGTTGGCAGTATGCAAGCATGTCTGGCAGACTCTCTAGGCGCCAGTCTTCCATCTCTTATTTCCCGGAGTGACTGCGGCTGTCTTGACGTCTACACGAGCGGTACGCCCCCCTATATCCCGCCATCTTGATGCACTGTGGCTATCTGTTCTGCGCCCGTTTTGCTCTTGCTCGGCATACCGAATGCTCTTGGGCCACAGCGGGGAGAGGCTAGGCTTTGACGGACCCACCCCGTCGGTAGGGTATGGGGGATAAAGAACCGTCGGCGGCACCCAGCATACGGAATGATACAGGGCGTGACTGAATCCACGGCTCCTCGCGTTGCCATTGCTTTATGTCCTCTTTTGATCACCCAGCGTCACCATCTCGCAGTCTATAAGTACCTGTCCGTTCTACCCACACTGTCCTTATCATCATCCGAGTCTTGCTGCGTTCACCCTCAGCCACCCCTGTATAGCATCCTCGACATCTCTTTCGTCGACTTTGGTCTATCCGAGCATTCTTCCCTCAGCATCATTACCATGTCTTCGCCATGGTCTCAGCGTCTTAGAGGTATGCGCATCTGAGAATTCCCTCTGACGTGGGCATTGAGCGGCACTGAGCAATTTTGATAGAGCATTGCAATGTCCGCCGCTTGGGAGAGCCGAGCTGGCAGGATGTATCCGATCGTCGAGGTAAGCAGCTTCTTCCCCGTCGTCGCCCGGAATCCTGCACTCTATCCCTTCAGAGTACATTTCATACCGCAGGGTCTCCATTCGGGCGTTTCCTCGTCCGCCACTCTTTATTGCTGAGCCGATGTGGCTGATATGAAAATCAGGAGGCCGAACCGCATGGTCCAGCATCGTGGTGATTCAAGGCAGCCATTACACGGCGCGCTTTTGGTACGACGGTAACTACATGGAACAAGCACGGGAGGATGCCGCGGAAATAGCTCTACGTAACCTCACCGGATATGTCAACACCACGCAAGACCCGCCGCCAGCGAGTCAGTACGCTCAGGCCTAGTGCTACACGAAGAGGACTGAATACTGCTGGAGCTTCGCCGCGCAAAATCAGGTGTTTTGTGGGCTCAGGGAAAGGGCGGCATTTTTTTGTTTCAAGACATTACATCTGGTATCATGGGAATCTAGGACTCTTGCGGGGCCACGGGAGGCATTTGTGTTCGACTTCGATTTTTGGGGCCTCTCTTCTAGTCTCTCTTTGATCCCTCTTTGAGCCTTCTTCACCTTTTCCTTTTGACCATCCCCGGTCCTAGCGCAAGCAATCTAGCTCGATGCTTCTGGAGCTCGAGTGCTATGGGGCGGTGTTTTCTTTCTCGTAAATCTCAGCGTCACAAATCATACTTAGTCCTCCCAGGGAGGCTCGTGATTTGTGCTTCTACTCGCAAGCAAACAGAAAGCCGCCACGTACCCTCCCTCACCGATACTAATTGAGCGCTCACAACACGCTTGCTTGCTGCCGATCCTATCTACTGGGAAATGAAGTTGGGACGACCACTCAGGGGTGCTTTAGCTCAGCCTTAGAGAATCAGATGCAGGCTTGCATGCATGCAGCGGTTAATGCAGAACATGCGTAGGGGCGGGCATCCAAAAAGAGTTAGCGCCAACGCTAACCAAAGTACCACACAGTCGTAGCTGCCATTGCGAAATTGCAACTCACTTCCTTTCAGTTCACCTCACCTGCACTTCCTATGTCCTCTCCTTTTTCAGCGGTTCAAAGTTCTCTTCTGTCATTGCTATCAATCTTCATGTCGTATCTAGGGATCCCGGCAAGCGTTCGGCTGTGGTGGCGCTTACGGCGGGCGTGCCGGGTTTTGTGCCGAGCTCCATGCGCAATCAGAACATGCGTGCTTGTTTTGCCTTCGGCTGAGGAAAGGAAGCCGATGCTTGACTGTACCTAGCCGGGCAGGCTTTGCCCTGGCCAGCGGACCCGGCCCGGCATCGAGGCGAGCGGAGGGCCGAGCCTATTGAGACCCAAGGTCTCCCTTTCCGATGAAAGAGCGATCGTGTCGTGCTTTCATCAGTTCGACAATGTCGACTCGAGGGAGTTCTTCTATATCATTGCATTCTACGTTCTCTTTCTACGAAGCGTCAACTTCTATCTTTCTCGCAATTATCCTCACTCTCTAGCCGACTCTCCCGACGCTTAGCCCTCCGCGGCAATGCCTTCTTCGAGCATATTCCTCAGGTGCGTCCACGTCAACAATGTCGCTCTTTCATCCGCAGTCGAGATGGCAGGTTCTGATTTGAAGGTCTCGTCGGAAGGCTGCTCCGGACATGCGTCACCCGGTCCTTCAGCGGCTTGCGCAACGACCGGTCGCAAGCAACACAGCATGCACCGCAGCCCGACATTCTACAGACATGGGTTGCACAGCCCAGCGTGTACATCTTTTCTGATTCCTCGGAAGGTATCTGCTAAGCACCTTTCTGCTCGTCACATGCTTGACGCCTCCTTTCTACGGCTGCCGCATGCTGCAGAGCAATTGTCGCTGCCGCACCACGGCTTTTCTACACCTCATGTGGTCGACGTGGAATGATCTCGACCAGAGAGACTTGCAGCGCAGACGTGCGTGTTCACGAAACTACCTATCGACGGGAGTTGGACAGCCTGGTCAGGCCGGGCGCGTCCCCACTGGACAGCCGTGGAAGGATAACAATGGCCACTAGTCAGACACTTTGGCGCCGCTGATACCCTGGCCCTCTCGATGCTCCGATAGGCAGCGGTTGGGCTGATTCCCCTCATTCCATAGCCGCTGCAAGCCCCCCTTTAACCCTAACTTCGTCTGGGTCCACTATTCATTGCTACATTAGGCCGAAAGTATCCTGCTGCAGAGCATCAAACATACTCGGCGTCGCGAGGACCTATATTGCGGCCGCTCTAGCCCACTCACGAAGTCAATATCTCGACACGTCACCTCATCCATGGAATAAGATGCTATACCAGGGAGTGTGCGCCCAGGGCGGCAGAGCAGAACACCGCGACTGCAGCGAAGGATGTCGTGGCAGATGCCAGTTGCTTCCGCTTGCTGTACTCCACAAGCATGCGCCGGGTGGGGAGCAGATTCGTTGGGTTTCGGCCGATTTACGAGCTCGACAACCCCAATGCCTCACTCGCGGACAGTACACCATGAAAGCTTGAAACTAGCTTACCCTACTCTCTTTGGGATAGCTTCTTCTCATTCAACGTCCTTCGCTCGGCACCCATGACTCATGCGCTGGCAATGAACAAGACAGGATGCGATGCTTAGGAGCCGCCGGGTCTACGCCGCTGTGGCGTGGTTCTTCACAGGAACGCAATTTCAGGCAGCCTTTAGGGCTTTCAGATGATATGGACTAGTTTTAGAGCGGCTTCTCGTCGCTATAGTGGGATTGATTACGCCGAACTCCACCGAGGCGCTAATATCCGATTGCGCCATCTCGTAGCAGCTTGAAGATGAGCCTTTCCAAACCAGCTCTACCCAGCAATGTCTCCAAGGGAAAAAGCTCATATCTAGTTACACATCACGATGGATTTGATATCCGCAGGGCATGACGCCTGCGGGTTATGCATGCATCGTCGTCCGGATCGGGCCTGGCGCATCGAGGCCATCTGAAAAAGCACACAACAAACGCGCGATGAGCGGCAGCCGATAGGAACCTCTCCCGAGTCCCGGCGCTTCATGGTTGCTAGCAAGTCGAAAGAGCTGCCAGAATAGGCGAGGAGCATTCAGAATGCTTGCCTTTCCACAGCGACCGTACGGCCCGGAACTGGACGGCTTAGTTTGAGGCTCTGTCCGTGCTGACTGCTCGGTTTTAGGGTTATTTTTTGAAGATTGCATGGAGAATGAGTGAAGTCGAGCATTTTATGCTTTCTCAATGACAGAAATTATCGATTTTGGCGGCTACCTGGAGGTGTTACCCATAGAGCGTTTGGGGTGTGGGCCCGCACCAACCCCAGTCGATCAGCGAGGGTGTCGGGTGGCGTTGCAGTGGGCCCAGCTTTGATCCCTTTTCCTATGTACCCTCCCGACCATCTCCAGAAAACAACCGCAAGCCCCAACCCCTTCCTGCCCTTGAGATCAGTGTGGCTCTACCGGTTCACTGTTGGACGTCGCCGTCTAGTTTCAGAGCCTCATCGGTGACGGCCCCTACCCGCCGCGTTCCACGACTTCCGCGCTCCGATCGACCGCTCAGAGTGCCCCGACGATGGCTTCAAGATGGCCCCCAAGTACACCAACGACTCACTGCACATGGCCCGATCCAGTGTATTCTTCAGCTTCAGTGGCAGCTGCTCCTAGATGTCGGATCTCACTCCCATAGCCATAACGAGATACAGCCACGCCCCTCAGCTCCGCGGGAATGTTGCCTACACACTTCCAGGAAAACATAGGCTCGCCGACGCGTTATCACTTCCGAGTCTACGTACAATGACCGAACACTGCTTCTCAGCCCGCCCTTAACATCTCGAGCACCCGACGCGTCACGGACTGGAATACAAGCTTCATGCGGGAACGGAGTGGGAGGGTATCTTCCGCTCTTTATAAAGAACAAGACGCCCCATCGGGCTATAGAAGACCTGTTGACACTACAAACATAGACCACACCGCTCGTCCCCATCGCGTAATCTGGTTCGGAATCCAGCACGGCTGCCACTCTCCCTCCCTTCGCCTTTCGAAATATAACTCTGCTAGAACGCGACCGAGACTTTCTATCGAAGGACAGACCTTTACCGAGCTCTTCTGTGCACAAAGTCCGCAGGACCTCCGACTCGACCCGACCCCTCGCCCGCCAGTACGTCCGGCTGTGGCAACTGTCCACAATCGCGCCGCTACCTCTGCTTACCGCCGAACGGGGCGCGAAGATACGCTGGGTCCTGTACAGTCGCTCGGACTCTACAGTGATTGGCACCATCATATATGATGCTACGATGCCACAGCCGGATTCAGGAACGGTGACAGCGATTCCACCCTCCTTTGCGGAATTATTCGACCAGATATTGTCGGCAGGGCGCGGCACAGCCTGAACATACTCGCGTGACAGTATCGTTGGCGGGGATCGAGATGTCTTCGTCGCTGGTGTCTGTCTATGGTCTTTACGACTGGTCTCGCAGCCGTCGAATGGTGCTCGGAGTGCAGAGGCCGCTATTCAAGCTGGGACCGCTCAAGCAGTTATATCTTCCAGTCAGCTTCCTCCAATTTCATTCGAGTTCTGGACACACCTACGGTCCCTGTGGAGGGGTTGAGCCTCGAGCCGTCGTAGTCAACCGCAGCGAGATGAGGCAGACGTGCAATAAGATCCATTGCGTGGAAGCGGAGCAGCAAGAAGCACGATATCTCAGAGGGGGTAGAGAAGATGTGTGAAGAAGCAGCCGCAGGCCAAGAGTGCGAACGCACAGATATCGGTGAGCTTGCTGTGGCACATATGCCCTCTTCATGCAGCGAAAACGATGCACTACGCTGCAAAAGACGAGACTTCGGCGCAACCAACAATGCTCAATTCGACACACTTCATGGCCGTTGAGCTCCCATCCTCTCAGGAACGTCCGCCTCCACCGCTACGATATCCCGCAAAGGCAGCATACATTCTACACCACTCGGAAGAGCTAACGTGCCTCAGTCCATCCCCGCCGTCCAATTCAGGTACGCATGCAGGGGAACGCGCTACCGGCGCTGCAGCTCGTCGCTCCTTGCGCGGCTCCTGTCACACCGCCCACGCCCACCGAGCCTCTCTCACGATCTCTTACGTCGCCGTGGTCGATTACACAAGTCTACGCAATGGATGCTGGTAGGAGAAGGCCACATTTCAGGCCGGGAAGCGTGCGAGATATTCCGTTACGAGTCCAGGGCCGTGACGTCCGATGAAGGATCATTTATAGATCCCGAGCGAACAGGTCAAGATCGACGCCCGGACTCCATGCGCTGCATAGACGCGGCGCTTCGCGCGTCCCGACGGATGCATGGGGCGATATCCGCCTGCAAGGCCGGTACCGCTAAGCGGGGATGCGGCGAAGCAGCGGAGCTGTCGTGAACCAGTGCGTATGACGCTGTCGGTATGGGGGATGCCATCACACCGCCAGTGTGCAATGCGATCGCGAAGGCTTCGGCGAATATTCGCTCTGCGCATGGCTATCGTGGCTTTAGACGTTGTGCTGAATGGGGAGTCGACGCGACGCTGTGCCATCAGGAAAGGAGAGGTAAGCTCTTGATCCTCACGCTTCGAAAAGGTAGGATGGCTGGTCTGAAGGTAGCCTCTCCCGTCTTTTCCTAAGGTCTCATTCTCTTCTTCTCTCCTGGCCCAGCGGCTGCTTTCCTTTGACTCCAGACTTGGTTTGCATTATTGCAATGGCTGCGTGTGAACGAGTCAGCACATCTCAGCTAGATCCCGCACGAGCCAGGCTGAGACGTTCGTCCGCTGGATGTGCTTCGGCTGCGGCTGCGGCACTGGCCGTTCCCTGAACCCCTCTCGGCTCCAGTCCGGTCTTGGTATATCTAGTGCTTGGTCGCCCTGGTAGAAGGGCTATGGACTGCGGGGCTTAGTTCCGAACTCGCTCTCTTGGATGTCATGGATCGTTCAGTGTCTTTTCTTTTCACTAGCTCAAGTCGCCGCCAATCTTTCAACGCGCGGGCTTCGTCATGCGATCTTGATTCGGAATCATCGAGTCTCACCGAGCTTCATGACCAGGGTGGGATCGAGCTTTCGCGACTTCGAGGTCCGCACTAGAAGAGTGCCAGAAGAGATGGTATTGCCCATGAGTCTGTGAAAATGTTGCCCTCGATGTGGAAGCCGAGAAAGCCTAATGCCAGCCCTTTGGCGAGGCCTTGATGTTCTCCAGTGAGCGGAATGTGCTGAGATTGCAAGGTGCGTTTGTTACTCCGTTTTTTGCTAAGACGAGGCTAACATCTAAGAAAGTAGTCGTTGCTTTTGGATGATCCGCGGCTATCATAATAAATACACTTAACTACAAGTCGACTATCCATTCCCCCTCGAAAACCGCCCAGTACGTCCTATCGTCTCCAAGGATCCTCTTGTGGCACATACTGCTTGTGCCTATCCGTCCGCACTGCCGAGTTCATCATATTTCCTCAATGAGTCAACATCTCAAGGCTACTGGGGCGCTGCTTCGCGTACAAATACGTGATGCAGGAATACTCGGGGGACGCGTAGATGTTCAGTCGCCCGACTTCCCTTTTCGGTATAGCATCCGCTACGAAGATATAGACAATCCAGCTCTTGCATACCCTCGCGGAGACGTTAATGCACCGTCATATCCAAGCAATCTATGGAATCCTTCTGCTACTCTTGTATGTTACACTGCTATCGTCCACGGCTCCCAATACGAGCTTAGGCGAAGCGAGGGCTGCGACCCCGACCAAAGTAAGTAAACAGCTCCAGCTCGGTAGAAGCAACGCATCATCGATAGTACCTTAGTACGAGAGATATTCATGAGCCATAGCTATAAGTACAATACACAGGTCCTTTAACGATACCATCCGTCCACTTCACCAGATCACCCAGGCAAAGACATCGCCCCACTATGCACACCTTTCTCCTCCTCAGCATCACCGCGCTCCCATCCCTAGCCTCCGCCCACTGTACGCCCTTCCCCACACCACACCACACAGCCTATCCCCCCCTCTCTAACAGACAGCCCCAGACGTCTTCTGGGCCCTCATAATAAACGGCAACGTCACCAGCCCCTGGGAATACGTGCGGCATGTCACCGTCCTCCTTTCCTCTCCACCCCTCCCCACCCATCCAGCTGACTACTAACTCCACAGCAACCCAACCCGCTATGCCAAACGCGATCCCATCCACCTCTCCGACCCGCCCGCCGACCTGCTCTGCAACACGGACGCCTTCGCCGCCGCGCAGAATACGTCGACGGCTGTGCTTAATGCCGGGGTTGATGAGGTCGCGTTCCAGTCTGCTACGGTGCCGTGTCGGTATGGCTGTGGGTGGCAGGTTTATCCGATTTTCCACCCGGGGCCGTTGGGGGTTTATTTGAGGTACGTCGGGTCTTTCTCCCAGTTACAAACTCCATAGCGATACCTAATCCGCACGCACACGTCAAAAAGCTAGCTAGTTATACTAACCCGCTCCCCCTCCCATCCAACAAAGCCCCCACAGGCAACGTCACCGAATACGACGGCTCGGGGCAGTGGTTCAAGATCCACGAACTGGGATTCGACGAGAGCCGAGCAGTGAACGAGTCGCAGCATTGGTATCCGATGGATAACGTCACGGTGAGCGCACCTCTCATCTCCCCCCCCCCCCCTCCAACACCAACCCACCATAGCACCCCCTCTCCTAATCACTTCCTATCCGTTGGCTAAATCAAAACAGCACTCCTTCCGCATCCCGCCCACCACGCCGCCGGGCCAGTATCTCCTGCGCGTCGAGCACATCTTCCCGCACCAGACGTTCAAGACGCTGCAGGTTTTCGTCGAGTGTGCGCAGGTAGAGATTCGGGGACCCGGTGGTGGGAGGCCGGGGCCGCTGGAGAGGGTGGCGGAGTGGTTGAATGGGGGGAATGCTGGTGAGTGGGTCTGAAGCGATGGCAAACGGACAGGCGAGAGATTTGGGGTGGAAGATGCCTGGGCCGGCGGTTTGGACTGGGGAGGAGGGGGAGGAGGATGATGAGGGAGGGGAGTAGGGGATGGGAGTTTTGAAGGATTGTGGTATGAGGGTTTGATAGGATGGTGTTTTATAACTTTCGTCTCGTTCGGTCTTACTCAACTGATTGTCTTGATTGGCTGCTTCCCCTGCACATGCTCACTCAGCACTTAGACCGAAAGCGCCCACGTGCAGCCGGCCATCACAGCGGAGATCCGAAGGCCCCGCACGTGATCTCCTCACCACCACATCATCCAACATCAATCTGAATCTCTATATATCTCCTCCCTAATCACCCAATTGCCCATGAATTGAAACATACACCACACCACCCAGCCACTCTTACCTAAACAAACCCTCAATCCATCATGGCTCCCACCACCCCTTCCACAGCCTCCCCTCTCTCTACCTCCCTCCACGCCACAGCCCTCGAATTCCTGCACTCCTGCGACTGCGACCCGAGTCAGCCCACGCGCCTCAACCATGCGCGCATCCACGCCATCCGCGCCCCGGGCTACACGCACACCTTCGGCCCCAGCTACTTCGTCTCCGTCACGCCGCCGCTGCAGGGCACGCTCTCCACGGACGGCTTCATCGCGCATATGGAGAGGATGCTGCCGATGCTGGAGAGCTGGGACACGACGGTAACGGATGTGTGCGTTGATGAGGCGAGGAGGAGTGTGGTGGTGAGGGCGAGGTATGGGATGAGGGTTAAAGGGGCGGAGGTGGAGGTGCAGAATGATATTGTGTGGTGGTTGTGGATGGCGGAGGATGAGGGGGTGGTGAAGGTGGAGAGGAGTGTGGAGTTTGTGGATGGGGTGGCGAGCGGGCGGCTGAAGGAGGTTATGGGGGAGATGAAGGCGAAGGCGAAGGAGGAGGCGTAGGTGGAAGTGTGGGGAGATGGATAGGTGGAGGTTTTTGGGGGGTGGAAGCGCGCCCTCTTTTGGTTGGGGATGGACTTCGCAACGTATTTTATCCGGTTCGGTTTGCGTATGCAGTCTACGGCCCGTGATGTGGGGAGGAAACGTCTGAGGTTTTATTTTATGGCGTTGACCTAAGCTTACCTGCTATCCTAGCCTCCTTCAGTGCGCCCGCTGTACAAGTATATAAAAGCCCTCGCTTCCGACCTCCAATGCTCTACTTACCTCCGCTCTTCTGCGCATTTTGCGACTCCAGAAAACACCTGTGCTCCGGATCATGAGCCGTTCCAAAGACTTCTAAATCCAAACTATGCATCGGCATCTTGCGGAGATGCCTAAAATACCGCAGCAAGCTCCTCTGTATGAGCAGGTTCCACTCTCAGACCCAGAAAAAGTAAAAAGCCGTTCAAGTACTAGCGATGGTTCTTGGAGAAACTTGTGGAGAGGACGTTGGAAGAAACGAGGAGTCGAAGCGATGATGCCACTCGCGGAGACTAAAGAGTGGCGAAGCATGGTTCATGACTTCGCGCTATCGGAACATCGCTTGACTTCATCGGTCCTTTTTCAACAATTAGGTGCACCATAAATACGGCTCCTCTAGGAGGATGGTTAAGTCATATCAGGAAGGAATCCACTTTTTTAACCCATCCCGCACGCACGATTTCAGCGCGGGATACGAGGGTAGAAGTACACGCACACGCAGTCGCAGTGTTCAACAATCCTCCATGCGCAGTCCTACCCTACACACTGGGCACTAGACTCCGCGCATCCCAAATGTATATGCCGTCCTGAAACTAATCCGGCATCACTCAGCCCATGGAGCTTGATTTTCCCCTGGCCCGCTTTCGCGGAAGAATCCAAACGAAATTGTTCTTCTATTATATAGCATTTAGTGTCCGCTCTGGGCAGCTAGAGAGGCTCGACGAGATTCACGGGTCATCAGCTTCGCTGAAAAAATGGAATGCACTACATATGAGGAGGTGAGCGGAGAGGTAGACGGGGAAGTGGTTGCCACGTTTTGGGAAACGCGAGTGTGCGCGATAGTACGCTGACTCGATGTACCTGACGTGGGAGCCAAAGGTTTCGCATTGATGATACCCATCACTGGGTGTAAATATTGTAAATCACAGCTCATTACTCCACACTATCAGAACATTAGTCCATGCCATCTCACCCCTTCTCACTACCTTTTACCGTAATATCCATCTCCCCCTTCCGTTTACAAACCCTTCCCATAGCATACCAGGCGAGCATCCCCATCCCCAGCCCCAAGCCCCACGACCTAACCCACCATCATCATCACCATCACCACCCCCCATCCCACTCCTCATAATCACATCCCGCGTCTCCTCCCCGTATGCCAAACCCCTCTATCTCCCACCTGATAAACATCGCCGTTCTCCCACTTCCCAGAGACATAATCAGATGTTGGTTGGAATTTTATTTCCCAGGCTCACCCAGCCATTTCCCAGCCACCTTGTACTTTTAGTTCCCAAGTCCCTCCAGCCATCGATATTTGGGAGAAGGTTTTAAACTTCCCGGCTGGCGAACATGGAGTCTATAGTATATGACTTTTAGGTCGGCGCGAGGAGCAGTGTGTTGTAAAGGGAGGAAGAAGAGGAAGAAGAGGGCGAGGAAGGAGGGGTTATATACTATCCATGGCCGGAATGAAGGAGCGGTTGGATTACTTGATGGTCGATAGTCTCTCGAGGATCTCTTCGGTAGGTATCGTCCACATGTCTCCGAACGTTTCAAAGTTTTTTTTTTCAAAAGTGTTTCCACCTCCCACATGAAGGACCTCGAACAGACTTCCCAGGTAGCTTCCCAGCCAACCAACACACTAGCCAGTGAGTGAGGAGGCGCAAGCAGAACTTCCAGTCCATCCACATCATCCATGATGCCTTAAGAACCGAACAGAAAAATATGTCCAAGTGATCGATGACTTTTAGCCCCGGCTCTCGCGCTGCAGCATGTGCGACCTCGACTGGTTCTTTTAGTCCACCCAAAGCCCCAGACATGGCTATATCGTGGTTATTGTTTTAGCTCTTGCGCGGCGGGTACATAGAAAGAGGGGCAGGCCGCTTTTAGTCCTCTCCTGGGCAATGTGGTGTGGAGAGGAGAATCAGTGTATTCGCGGAAACTGAGGGCTTTATACGAATACGATATTCGGAGCTCTGCTAGCTGACGAGTCAGCCCTCTAGATTGAAACAGCGGCGATACCCAATCCAAGGGCACAATTAAGGAAGGAACGAAACGAAACGATGGACCTCATCCCTCCGCAGCTCCCGCAGGTCTCTCCATCAAGACGCTCGATTTGCCATTTTGGTCCCAGCTCCCAGCTCCCAGCTCCCAGCATCGATCCCCTGGCTTACGTTTTTGGTTCCCACCGCCTCAACACATAGCCTTCTCAGCGACCGGGTTTAGACCTCGCGAGACCACATGGGGTTCTTCGTCCGAGAATTTTAATCTCCGTCGAGCGGGCGAAGAGAAGGGTAGGGAGGAGGAGTCTCTGCAGAGAGCTGGCGTGTTTTATACCATTCGTTCGTACGTGCGGGACACGTGGACGAGGGCGTGTGTGTGCTTCGTCGATCGACGTCGAAGGAACGCCGGTGCTGGTGTCGGGACTCGTCGAGCTAGCTGCGATGGAAAGTAGGAGAATTAGCACGAAGAGTCGGTCAATGCTGATAAGGCGGATAAACGTACCGTTCCACGCTCTCCTTCCTCTCACGACACTTCCTCCCTGGTGCCAGGGCACTAAAACCTTTCCACTTCGCCCGCATGGGGTGTGCTGCGTCGGGCTGCTCCGCTCCGTTTAAAACCCCCGCTCCAGAACGATTATGTTCTGACGGTCGGGCGGTTGAGCCAGTGGGCCGAAAAGCAGCTCGGCCGCAAGGAAAGACCAAGTCGCCGTTATGGGCTGGGTGCTTTGGCCTTGCTTGCTCGCTTGATGAGGTCTTGTACGTTGGCTCGTATACGTTTGTTCGTGCGTCTCGAGGATGTGCGTTTCGCTGCGTGGGCATTGATCGATCGATCGAATGATAGACCCCCAGCCGGACTGGACTTGTCTTCGGTAGATTCGGCTCTTCAAGTAGATCTATATCTGCGCAAAAAGCCCGATGCCATTACCAGTACCGTACACGCGTCAAGCAAGCAAGCAGGAGAAAGAAGAATGAGGGCAACACTCCACACAATGCGCCCTTCCAAAGTTTCGTCTTGCATTCCTTCCCAGCCTCTCCGCGGGCATGACGGTATCGAGCGCCGTGCAAAACCTCAAGCTTATGTCCTTCTGCAAAAGCCGCGTTAGGCCTTTGTCGCCATGATTGAACAGACAATTCTTCCCACATAGGCTCTTCGTCCGAGAATTTTCAGCGCGCTCTCCCGCCACATGTGGCACTTCGTACAATGTTTTAGAGCCCCCAACTTATACGTATGCGTAGGCGCGAGAACAGGCAAGTCGGCGGCGCTTTACACCACGTCGTTATTTCGAAGTGCGGCGGGACGATGAGAGGAGGAATTTACCCCACAGCGAAGACGATGGTTCGAGAAAGGGTGGACATGTGGAGATGCTCCTCACCACTTCACGATGGCGCGAAACCAACATGCACCAGTGTATATGCGACAGAAGAAGATGCGAACGTAGAGCTTTACGAATCTCACAGCGGCGGGCTCGCTCATGGCGGCGGCGCCTGTTCAACATTGCACGCACTGAGGGGCAGGCGTGGAACGCGTGAGTTTCATGGGCATCCGGTGCGCTGAACACCGGCTCCGATGGAGCAGCAGCGAGAGAATAGCATTTGGGACGATGGTTAACTTCGCTATGATAGAAACGGACTTTAGGTCTCTCAGAGCTGGAGGGAGTGGAACTCCTGAGGAGGGTATCTGCCTCTCGAGCGCTGGGGATTGCGAAACCCCCGAAACTGGAGAAACCCCCAACCTCCTCCCCACGGAGATGTTCCCACCGGAAGAACTTGCCGAACAAAGCAGGCGGCATTGGGCCCAATGGACGCATCCACTATCCACTGCTCATCATCATCTCTCCGATGGAACAGGGGCGATATCGTCGCCCGAAGAACTTTCCGACCCTGCAGCTGCTGTGAACTCCGGCCGGTCAGTTCAACTGGACACGACACCAACTAAAGACTGACGATCAGCATGTCAGAGATCACCAGATCGGAACGGGGCGCACTCGAGAAGCTTCCACAGCACGAGGAGCAAGTTTCTGCAGCCATCGTGAGTGAGATTTTCGCATCGGTGAGCGAGGCTGGGTATGCCCTGATGTTTGCTGCCCAATAGCGGAGGCTGAGGCTGTTGCTAGACTTCAGGCATGCACTGAGGTCTTTGCGCTGTCGCCCTAACCTACGGTCGATCGGGATACGGAAGTAGTATGACGAGATCCTGCGGTTTTCATGGTGGCTAAAGTGAGCATCCAAATTCCAGGGCGTGATGTCTGTGGAACTCAGGAGAACTGGAAGCGAGAGCATAAGCACTGACAAACTGCAATGACATATGGGAGCAGACGAGCGAAGGGACATCGGCACCCAGGCCAGTGAATGGAGACACCCGACCGCGGAGATGTGGCTCGACTGGGAAGTCACAGCCCGCTTCGAAAGCCGGAAAGCGCTTCAGAGGCCTCCTCCATCATGAATCGCAAAGCGCTGACGTGGGATTGCTATGCTAGCCTTCGACAGAGGAAGCTAGAATAAGCCCTCGGCTGAAACTAGAGAGCAATCAGTGACTTCACCCCCATAGTTGGCCTTGATGCAGGGCAGATGGCATAGCTAGTATGAAGAAGCAAAGGGCCACGACAACTCACCCATACTCCTCTATCGTGTGCCAAATGCTGTGCTCGGCTGACACAAATCACAAATAATATGCAGCGTTCAGGGGCAGTCGTCGCCATAGCTGCCGGTAGCATGTTGGTATGGTGAATAATTGGACGCCGTAGAAGATAAGCGGCTGTGTCGTGATGAGTGCACTGGCCTCGACATATTGACAACACCGAAAGGTTATGAGCATCAGCCGTGAAGTTGCTGCTGCCGACTGCAGGAAATCATTCGTTCGAGGCCGGGCACTGGCGCCATGAAATCAATATGGCATCGACATGCTGCGGCACCGTGGCGTTTTTGATTGACTCTCCCCGGATTATGTTTTGCAGGCTTGTAACGTTCGAGCTGGCAATAGGCGTAGGTGGTGACGACGCTCGTGTTGTGCTCCTGCGGAGAACCATCAGGGGCTTAGGCGACCCTACAACAGGCAAATTCGTCCAGTCAAAGCCTGAGACAAACGGCCGTCACATGGCTCCAGAAACAGAAAAGCGGGAAGCCGTGTCGCTGGACAGCCCTGTAGTTTGCGCCCATTGCGTTCGCACGGTCCAATCGTTCATGAGCTGTTCTGAGGGGTTAACGGTTCACAACGGCAGCATTGTACCCATTTTCGGAGACTCGCCGAGAGCATAGCCAAAAGGCTATCTGCAGATTAATGGTCGTACGCGGTACGGACATGACGCTGTGCGGATCCCCAAATGCACAATTAAGCTCCATCGTGGGTATGAGGTCAACCAACAAAGGAAGTAGTCGTCGAAAAGCGCCCCAAAGTGCTCTAGACGCCGTACCTGGTGAGTAGCGTAGTGGCGCCGTCCGCTCTGAACAAGGTGGAGTGCGCTGTAATTAGCCGTCAGTTCCCCAGTATCCTCTTTTGTACTGGATGGCGAACCCTGGGATATGGTGAGTGCGTGATGCTGGGCGAGCCATGGTTCGACTTGCGTGACAGGCCAGCATTTCGTGGCTCTATGTCCCTCGGATGCCATCGGCCGCCCCGTACAACGCCAACGCTTCGCTACCGGACTTCGCATGAAAGATAACATCAAAGAACGTTTTGGAAAAGGACTTTCATCATCTCTCACAGCTGCGGAAGCCGATGCGCGAGACTAGTTGCGCACAGAGTCTCAACGTCGCGGGGAGCTCGTCCATGGGGTATCAGGTCGTTTGTGTAGCGATGGTCAGCCGGCTTTGACCATCCTCATGGAGAGGCGGAAGCTGTATGGATAGCCACAGACCGACGGATCCGCTGACCAAAGGAAGCCGCTGAGTAAAAGAGAAATCTGTCCACAGCATCCCACAGCGTTAGTGTGGGGTTAGAAGTTCAACAGTTTCACGAGGATCGGCTGTGCGAGTCCGTATGTTGCAAATGGCAGGTCGTGCAGGAGGCTCGCAATGCGCCCATCCAGGCTTCAAAGCATAGTTGATCTCTTCTATAGCTCCCAACCTCTTCTGCGAGAGGCTCTGAGGGTGAGAGCGCCCCTGAAATTAGCGGACTTGTGGCTCCATCCATTCGCACTCGTCACGCCAGTTGGCATGATTGCCAGCTGACAGCCGCCACCGATGTCTAGCAGCAGTAGCGCTGCTGGAGACTGCAGAATGCTTCGAAAGGATATCGGCTCTCATATTCTCGAAGGCGTTAGGAACAGGACTCGAAAGTTGTGCTCTTCGTGTGTTAGATCCAGCCTCGGACACGTCCGTCATGCCGGGTCACTTGCCACCTTACATTGACCCATCGAGGCAATCGCTGGAGGCCAGTTCCAAGGAATCAGGCGAAGACGGATCTGGGTCGAGCGCCGGCCCACCCGAGACAAAGCCAGCGACCCGGGAAAGACGAGGTGTTTGCGGTGCCGGCTAGCGTTGACGGTGGAAATGACGGAGGAATTGACGGTTGAGCCGTTCGCTGGTTGTGCTTAGGATAGCTTTCGATACTCATCAGTGGCGGCCCGTACCGCTGTTGGCAGACGTTGCTCGCAGAGGCTGATCACGACATCATGTCAGCTCTCTCTGACGACCCAGTGATTGAAGGGGCCGCGATAGTCGACGCGGTGTAACTGATGGTACGCGATGGCCGGAGCCAGGAGGCGCGACGGCTCCAGCACAACACCGCCTCCATCGAGCCAGTTCGAGTCGGCTGAGACAGTGGAGTCTTCACCGCGGCGGTTCCTATTCTTCCCGAAGCGCAGTCGAGGCTGCTGCAGGCCGCCAGAAGACAATCGGATAGTGGCAGCTGCTTGGACGCCCGACCTTCGCCGTCACGGGGAGCGGGAGGCTGCAGGCTGGTGTGCCTCGAAGCCGGATTCCCTGCAGGGGAGCTGAATATCTTGTGACCTATTGATGGGGCTGCAGCATCCGAGAGCAGCCGTGATCTCCAACGTACCCGCTCAGCCACCATCTCAATCTACGCCCAACGGGCTGCCGTGCGTTGGCGCGGTGAAATGCTCTGGCGCTCTGGCAAGTGCCGAGGGCGCTGGGGGCGGCGCCGTGGTGCGCGGTGAGGCCGTCGGGAGACAGCCGCAGCCCTGCTCTCGCATTCTCCATCGAGGTGCGTCAGATGACCAGGCCTGGCATGAAGGGGGAGCGTCCGGGCGGTCTCATGTTGGCTGCTGCCGCCAGCCTTCTGGACGGGTGCCTCTGCAGCGCTGGAGAGGGCGGCCGGCCAGCGATTGGCCGCCGCCATCGACGCGCCTCGCAGCTGGAGGCAAGGAATGCAGCGCCGATAGATTAGAGAGCTCGCCGGCGGTCAGCGCCGAGTGCTGGGAGAGCGGGCGGCGGCAACGTGCGAGACACACGCGGGGCAGGCAGGCCCGGGACTGGGATGTCACCTCGCGCGCGTGGAGCATCGCCAGCGCGGCGCGCAAGGGGGGAGTCGTCGCCGGCGTGGTGTTGAGGAGCGCATCGCAGTGCCTCGTCTACTGTGCACGCACGATTGAGGAGGTTTGGGCGTGGGCTGCGCGGCGGCGGCGCTAGGGCCGAAGCGGGATGGCGCGGGAAGGAGCACCGCGGAGCTGCACGTCACCAGGGCCTTCCCTCGCGCCCCCCGCTGCTCCCATCCCATCCCGCATCGCCTGCCCCCTTGCGTGTTGGCCGCCCTCCAGGGCTCCAGGGCTCCAGGGCTCCAGGGCTCCAGGGCTAGCATCGCATCGCATCGCTGCTTTTCGTCTCGTCTCGTCTTCACCGTTCACCACTCACCACTCACCACTCGCTCCGCCCATCGTCTCCAATACATACCACCATGCCGCGATGCCGCCCGCCGACGCATCCCGTCACGCCCGCCGACGCGCGCGCGCCGCTGCGACTGGCCACGGCTCACCGACGATGGCCCGCCGTATCTGCTTCCGGAGCGTTGCGCAGCTCGACCGCGCTGCCGGGTCCAATTCACTGCGGCGCCCGGGTGATGGCGCAGTGACCGCGGCGAGTGCTCTAACTCGAACCGCCCATCACTCCTCCGCCCGGAGGGTTGCATTGGCCCATCCTCGCGCCGCCCACCTGCCCTCCGCGACCTGCCAGTGTGCGCCGCCGTGTGGGTGGCTTTCTCCGCTCTGGGACTCGTCTCCTCGACTGCCGCCCGCCCGGCGTGCATGGCGTCCTCGTCGCTACCGTCTCTGTGACAGGTAACGGCCCTCGAGCAGCTCGTCTCCTTGCCCTCTGCGCTCTCGCTTTCCCTCATCGTCCATGGCCAGCGGCGGCCGGGCCCATGACGCTCCATGGCCAGCCTGCTCTTGGCCGCCGGCCGGGTCCAGGGACGCAAATGTTCAGCCTGCCCGCTGCCCGGCCCGCCTAGCAAACTCTGGTCATCCGTTCGCTGCATGCCCTATTCTGGGCGCGCTGACGAGATGAAACATCGCGGTCCCAAGCAGGCGGTCAGTGTGCTGCCGTGTCGAGTCGCCCCATTGAGCGAGGTGTCGTGGCCCATGTTCCTGCGTCGCTGCACCGAAGGTGATGCCTCTGCCGGCCAGCCAATCCCTGGCCCGGACCACTGTGGGCCTGTCCGGCCTGCCGACTGAGGCCACACTTCTGGTGCAAGGAATGCGAAGCGCAGCGTGGGCCAGAGACATTTCGAGAAAGGATGCGAGCCTGGGCCCTGGGGCAAATCCTCTCTCCCTGACATCGGAGATATAGATAGGCCGCTTTGGGAAATGGTCGCTGCTGCAGCTTGCCAATGCTACGGTGGTGCTAGAAGACGGCTATGGTTTGAGCCGCGCAATACGCATCATTTGCTCGGGGCTGAATCTTGATCCATCGTCGAGAGATGCGTTGAAGCTACCGACTTGGTAGGATTTCTCCTTTCAGCCAAACAACCCGACATCATCTCCCAAGCCCGCCCTACCCTGTATCCATCCATAGCCGTTCCTGCTCGCCTGCACTGTACTTCTACCGCCCCTCTACGCTTGCTCTCATTCGCCCACCGTTCCTGCGTCTTCTGATCTCACCATCTCAATAATTCTCCGCCCGCCATCTATTCCCCTTTTCGTATATCCTCGATTCTTCCGATCCGCACAGTCCATTCTGCTTCATTGTCTCTGTCCTGCAATTTTGGTACCCTACCAAGCAGCTTCGAGAACAAAGATCACGGGATTCTTGCACCCTAGCGGCCTTGTGCAACTCCTCCACTAGCAGGGAGCCGAAATCGTGGTGAAGGTCCAGTGCATATATGCTCCGTGCCTTCACTCCTGTCGAATCCGTCACCATCATTGTCTTTGCCCAGCTTCATTGCCGTTTCGTCCGGGTGTCTCTGCCTTACCGGCCTGCCGCATCCGAGCGTTCGAAACTGGCATCGTATCTGCCTACGCCAGAGGACCGGTGCAGAGGACGTCCATCGATCAGATCCGCGAACCCGGCCTCCGCGCAGATCGCTAAAGTCTCGACAACAGGTCAGCATCCCCGCCGAAACAGCCACTCTCGAAAGCAGCAGGCGCCACATCATTTCTTTTGGGTCGCTGCAGCAGAACCTGGTAAGTTTCAATGAAATTACAACATGGCCTTTTGGGCAACGCCAAAAAAAAACTGACAGGACGCAGCGGGGGCTTGATAGCGACCGCGATCTCACCGCCGACGTCGCAGCCGGCCAGTAGCCCGGGAGGGGTCAGATCAGTGCCTGTCTGTGCGCGCACATCTCGCGCAATTCGAGATCTGTGGAGGCGGGAAGAAGCAAAGCGCACCTGACGACCTGGGGTCCCGTGTTGGCGAGATTTCTAACCTTAAGGTTTAAGGTGTCGCGCAGCCGCAACTCCAACGTCAAAGGAAGCCGCTCCGCAAGTGGAAGCCTTTCCAAACACCCTTGGACTGTCAGTTGCCCGTATCCCGTCACCGCCTTGTCGAGCATTGTGACTAAGCTTCGCAGCAGCTTCGCGCGTCGAGGTGTCGGTGTGGCCAGAGCGAGGGCGCATCACGAACCCAATCTGCTGGATAAAGTGCGCATTGCGTTGCTTGTTGGCCGGGGCCACACACCCTCCAGCACGCCCAGCACCAGCATTGACGGATTGGCAGCCACCAGCAGGCAGCGGCAGCTAGTCGAGGATCCCGCCCCTGTGCCGGCTAAACCGCCCCAGATTTCCCTTGAAGCGAGCCAACAACGGCAATCGACAAGCTCTCAGCGGCCCTCACCACGCCTGTTCGAGCCGTCCTACGCGCTTAGAGCCGTCCTCGAACGCCTTCTTCGCAGCGGTCCCCTCGACGACGCCGGCGCGCTCGCGGGATCGGGGATCTCGAGGATTCAGCGACCGTACGCCAGCAACGACTCAGCGCCGTCAGCGACCAGGACGCGCTCGCCACAGCCGGCGCCGTTGACTGCAGACCCAGTCCGTCGGATTCGCAGCGCGAAGGAGCTGAGTCGTGAGATTCGCTTCCCCCAGAGCGGCCATTCGAGGGATTCGCAGAGTCCGTCAGGGCCAAAACGGGCATTATAAGAGCGCTGCTGCTGCGGCTGCGTCTGCAATAATGAATCAAGGTAAGTCAGCCTTAAACACACGTATGCCAACCCATGTTCTGCGAGAAGCACAAACCCTCATTGCAATCCACGCGCTGCACGCCTCTATCCATAAACCGGCGCCCTTCTCCGCATTCTTCCACAAATTCCACATTCCTCCCGCGTTTTCTCTTATATTGATCCGCGGCGCATCCGCGCACTGCTGTATTTTCCCCTCTATTTATTGCTACACACTGTGGGTCCGTCGTTTTCGCTCTCTGCCCGCTGCTGTAGTGCGCTCTTGCACGCCTCCCCTCGGCCACCCGATCGCGGAGCAGGTTTGTGCCACCGCGTCCCGCGCGCGCGCACTTGGACTGGCAACCACTGCCAGCGAGTGCACGTTGTCCGTTTTTGTCCCACGCCTTGTTCAACAGCACCCACGCTGGCTCGGACTGATTGGCTGACTCGCGGCATAAGCAGTGCTTCAACCCCCTCTGCCGTTGGCATCGGAAAACCCCTTCTCTTCGGAGCAAGAATGCATCGGTCACATTGGTGCTCATGCACATCATAGTTTCGCTGCAGCTGGCGTTCCCGATCAGCTAAGGCGCGAAGGTGCTCTAGGCCAGTCGGCGCCCGCCTTTGCTCATACAAGCCGTTACAGTGCTCATCGACCCGACGCACCGTAAGTTGCCCCCTCTCATTGGTTCCTCTCGTTCCGGGCAGGCATAGCGGGCTCCGCAATGTTGCCTTGCCCTGCGGCCCCCAGCCCACGTCCCGCCTGCCCTCGACGCCTCCTCGCCAGGTGCTGCCCAAGCTTTGGCTTCCACAACCGCCGAAACAAACACGTCGCCATGTCCTTCATCTTCTGTCCCGTCGCACACGTCCCGGACGCATGGCGCACCTAGCTCTTCCAACAGGCCGGTCTGTCACATTGATCACACGACAAGCCTAGCGGTAATGCCCATCCATACCGTCCCTGTCCGAGTTGACAACTTATACCGTGCCACCCAACTCTCTGGTTACACATCACTGCCGTTGGCATCGCTCTGGCCGATTAGCATTGTTTTGTTGGGTTGACTAACGTTGTCGTAGCTATCAGTCTGGTACGGCCCTTTCCGAGGGGTCAGGATCTATCTCCACCTCCCCCAGCTCCAACGCCTCATCGTCGCTAGCCTTCTCGCCTTTTACCCAGACTGCAGCCACGCCCTCCTACTACAACTACCCCCTAGCAAACAATACCCACGGCTATTCGTATAGCGGTTTCAGTAACATGTCGAGTCGACGACTATCATCCATGTAGGTAGCCTTTTGTGGCGCATTCGTGCGTGTAAAACCCGAGCTTTATGCATGACAGCTGACAGCTACACATAGAACTGATTCTTCAAATACGGCGGCTATGTTACCTCCGAGTCGATCACCTGGGATGGGCAATCCCGTGTCACCATCTCTGGGTGCGTCGGCCAGGGATAATTATACTACACCAACACCAGGCTTGCATCGACATCCCCATCCCCACACCCTCTCCCCTCGCCACTCAGACATTACTCGTTACAGCCTGCCCGAGACTCCGAGGAGTGTCTTGCCCACGACCATGCCGCTGTCGACCTCGTATGCTACCAGCGGTATCATAGGGTATGCGGCTCAGCCTGATCGTCATACCGACAGCCCACCCTTCAACGCACAGGAAAACTACTGCGATATCACCTGCGAGGGAACGACCGTTGTTCCCAACATTGAAGCTAAGATCGAGAAGGGCTTCTTCTGGTCTTCCGACCGTGTCTGGACCTGTTATCGCAGGAATTACTTTGCAGTCAATGTTTCCTACGGGCTGAGCCCATGGATTCCCAACGGCCGGTTATATCTCAGTCAGGGCGGCAACAAAGCCCCGGAACAGATACAGTCTATCGCGGTTTCTCTTGCCGCCGCCGTAGACGGCACCGCTGGGAAAAGCATCGAGCTGATTCAGCACACCCCGAAGCGCGACAAGGGACCACAGCTTCCGATGAAGAAGGAGCTCCTTGCGCCTACACCTCCCGGAAAGAGTCACGAGCACAGCAGTTACGGTCTGAACAACTTTCACCAGACAAACCAGATAGCAGGCCCGCAACTACCGCTGCAGAGCGAGTCCGAACCCTCCCAGCAGTATTCGCCAACCAGCCACGCGAACAGCAACTACCAACACGCTTTCGAACGCATCCAGTTCAAGTCGGCCACCGCAAATAACGGTAAGCGCAGAGCTCAGCAGCAATACTATCATTTGATTGTGGAGCTTTGGGCGAACGTCCAGAATCCCCGCGATGGCGAGGCCCGCTGGGTCAAGGTTGCCGCCCGATCCTCCCACCCCGTGGTTGTCCGCGGCAGATCGCCCAGCCACTATCAGAACGAAGGCCCTCACAATGCCAACGCTTCAAGAGGTGCGGGAGGCTCAGGTGTTGGCGGACCCGGCCCTCACGGGCTAGGCTCCAATGGAGGGGGAGGATACGGCGGAGGCTATCGCAATGGTCTCTCAGGCAGCGGTGGCTCGGCTATGGGCGGAAGCATGTACAGAGGCACCACGTACTCGCTTGACCCGAGCCCTGTGGGAAGCCACTCAGTCAGCTCCGCTAGCTCGCTGAGCGGGGGCCCTGTGGAAGGACTGGTAGGAGATCAGCATATGGTCGACGAAGACGACACCAAGATGATCGAGACGCACAACGACTACCAGTACTATCCCGCGCCCATCTACGAGAGCATCCCGCCAAAGGTTGATCCTCCTGGACTCCCTCTACCGGAGCGTACTAGTAGGATCAAAGAAGAGTTCCCAGGCCCGGCATCTATGGCCACCGGTTGGCAGGTCGGCAACTGCGGACGGTTCCAAGGAATGGAGACTAGCCGCGGATATTACCCGGACGTACATGCCCACGCTGGGTATTGATGGAGACCGAGTGTTCCTCACCATTTGTCACGTCTACTAGCGAGTTCAACACGACAATGCGCTTCCGGTGAGAGTCTGGCTCGAGTGGCAGCCGCACTTGGACACAGGCCATAGCTGCGAAGCGACGAAAGCACCCTTGCACACCCTTAGCACCACTCTCCGGTTTCGCGACAGCTATGTTTTATCCCCCGTATATGTTCATTCCTGGAGTATCGAGCGGCACCCCGTTCCCCGACCAATCACGAGCGTGGACCGACCGAACCACGCACGGACTGGCATTACGCACAGCATGACAACGCAAATGTGCAAGGATCAAGCGGGCGGGGTGACTGAAGGAGCGCATAACAAGGCAATACTGGAGGTTGTTAAGCAGGCAGCCATGGTGAAACGATTAGCGCCTTGCCGAGTTTGGACTCCCGCCTCTCAACCATCCTGCATCGTGGGACGCTCGACGGCACACCACCACCCGCTCGTACTCTGCCTGCTCGTTTCCTCAGACCCAGTCATGTCGCCATGGGTTTTCTTTCACATCACGGTTTCCTCCCCAGCATACTTAATCCTGCACGAGCGCCTCCCTGTCATGTCATGACTCTTATGACTTGCATGAGCGACATATTCCCTCTTTCCTAGTTTCAATGCTTCGTGTTGTCTTAATGCTTCTTCTATAACGGTTCCCCGCATCAACAGGAGATGCGAAAACGGTGTTGGGTGTTGCATTCCCTCGGAAACTGTCATGGGAGTCTCTCGGGTGTGCAATGGGTTCGACTGTGCATGGTGCATGATGCATATGGGTAAAAAAATATGGACGGACATACCCCTTCTTGTTATGCTGGCTTCACCGGGCTCTGGCGAAGACCGGGCGCTTAGCTCGTCGTCGCTATGGCTTGGTGGACACGGCGCGGTCATGGTTGTATGAAATGACGGGGCATGGATCATGGGCCACGGGTTTCTTTCACGAGGGACGGGGGGCTGGGCGAAGAGGCGGATGACGACCAAGTGCTAATGATGGTGGCCTTGTCAATGTATGATTATATAGTCCCTAAAAGCGTGTGTAGTTCTGAATCGAGCAGGAGGCCCTTCTGGTTACAAGCCGTCCTCGGGCTGTGATGCGCGCGAGTCATGTGTGCAATGTAGCGCGTGAAAAGCAGTTGTTCGAGCGGCGGGCAATTGTTCCCCATCGAGGACGCTATTCACGACGGAGCTTTGGGCTGTGACGGCAGGCGCGACCTCGCGCTGTTGGGTGAGGTGGAAGGAAGGTACGACGGGCGCGATTAGCTCCCGAGGGGAGCTCGGCAAGGCAGCCGCGGCGGGACTGGCGTCGTTGCCCGAGATCTTTGACGCACAACGCGCTGTCGTCATCAACAAACAACCAACCGCCCGCCGACCACCCCGGCCCTATCGTGAGCTCGCGACGTGGTCGCGTCCGCTGCATCCCCGCCATCAAATCTCCACCGGACCCGCCGTACTGCCTCCCTCCATGGCCTGGCACGACGAGGACAGCTGGCTCACGGCGGCTTTTGCGCCCAAGCTCTCGACCATCGCCTTCACCTTCATCCTCGCCATCCTCCTGCCGATATTGCTGCACCAGTTCATCTACAGAAAGGCAAACCCGACGACGCTCCCGACATTCCTGCTTATCGGCCCCAGTGGCGGCGGAAAAACGGCGCTTCTGACACTGGTGGGTCCTTCCCATCTGCCTGGGGCGCGGAGCCTGCAACCGCTCCCCCAAGATGCCGCCTGCCCAGTTGTACCACAGCTCCTGAGTAACCTGTCCGACTAACATATAAACGCCAGACCGAGCGCAACACTGTCCTTCCAACTCACACGTCGACGGTTCCTCTCGCCATCGAGGCTCTCCTGCCCGAAGGCTACACCCCGAACTCGGCCCACTACCGCTCCGCAGGCGACCCTGCATATGAGCGAGCACGCCGCTTCCTACTGCTCGACACCCCCGGCCACGGTAAGCTTCGCCACTTCGCAACGACGCAGTTGGTCAACCCCACCAATGTCCGCGGCATCATCTTTGTCGTGGACGCCGCGTCGGTTGCCGAAGAGGCGGGGCTCAACGAGGCAGCCGAATACCTACATGACGTTCTGCTAGCCCTGCAGAAGCGATATACGGGGGCCAAAACTAGCAAGGGCCCCAAGGAAATACAGGTTCTGATCGCTGCCAACAAAATGGATCTGTTCACCGCACTCCCCCCGCATCTGGTGAAGATCGAGCTGGAGAAGGCAATATCCGAAGTCAGAAAGAGCAGGGCAAAGGGATTGAAGGATTCGGGCGTTGCCCTTGCCGGCGAGGATGACTCGCTGGATGAGGAGCGCGAATGGCTAGGCGAAGGAGGCGAGGGTAGTTTCGAGTTTGCACAAATGGAGGAGGTGGGGACGAGCGTCACGGTCAAGGGGGGCAATGTGACTGGGGGCGGCGTGGACGTGAAGAGCTGGTTCGAATGGATTGCGGAGCAGCTATGAGAATCGCCGAACACCATCATAGAGCGGATGGGCTGTCGTCAGCCTCGCACCCAAGGATGCGGTCATGCGCAGTGGAGAAGAGCTCAGGTCGCCGCTGACCATTTCCTACGGATACCGGGCGAGCGCGCGTGCATTACGTCCGAAAGACCGAGCCAGTAATGGGTGAAGTGCTTGCCCTCGCCGCATCCTGCGAGCCGCGGAGTTGAGCACCCAGTCTCAATTGGGCGATACGATGATGGCAGGACCAGGAAGAGCATGGCTGGTGGTTGAGGGAGAGAATTAGTCACGTCAAATCAGAGCAAGAACCAGCGTCCCTCACGCTGGGTATTACACCGCATCCTCTCCAGCGCTCTGGTCCAGCTGGGTCAACAAACGACACCGATGAATGCGAAGTCTTACATGCCGTGCGCATATTTTCTTGTCTATTCTTGCAGAAACAATATCCTTGATCGTCATTCCTCGTCAGCGCCTGATCAGACGTTCAGAAGGCCATGGATAAAAAGTGGGCCCTAATGTTCAGCCCTACACACAGCCTACCGCTGCCATTGCACCAGCCCTTTCCACCGTCCGCATGTCTCAACCAAGCGTCAAGCATCATTTGCTGACATGCTTGCGTGCCTTCCCGCCTGATCCGGCTGGTCGGGACTGGAGAACGTCCTCCTTCGTCACGCTGTCCTTTCTGACCACCAGCGAAGCATAGCTCAACAGAATTCGGCCCGAACCTAATCTAATACGGCACAGCGTACATACAGCGTACCTATATCATTCCGTGTGGCTTCGCCGATCTTCCGCTTCGCCCGTCCACTAGGTGACGACAGCAGGAAGCACTTGGGATGCTTGAGGCTAGGCCTGACGCGACCCGTAAGCTTACCCACCATTCCTCGAGATCCTCTCAGACACCGTTTGGGCTGTGTGCCTTGGTGTGGAGGTGGCAGCACACCCAGATCACAAATTGCAGCGGTTGGGGCTGGGGTTGATCAGGCCAAACCACCGGATTGGGCAGTCTTCCGTACGCTCCGCTTCCTTCCCGCCCGCGCTGACTAGGGGTTGCGGCGTTAATCGGTGGAGAACCGGCCTCTATCAGCTTATCCTGACGTCTCTCGTATCGCAGGAACAGGGGCGCGTACCGGTCAGGCGTGCGGCACGGTTGCGGTGGCTTATCGGAGGTATGGTTCGGACCGAGGAGGTCGATGGGGCGCAAAAGGTGGGTTGGGAAAAAGGCACATGCATGTGACGAGTCTTGCGCTTCAGGGCTTGCACTTGCACTTGCATGCAGGATGGTGTGTTTAGGGTGACGATCCACAGGCACGCAGGCAGGATATATTAACGGAGTTCAACACCCCGGCCCCTCATCGAGCTGCCAGCAGCGTCCGCTCGGGCGCGCTGCTCGCTCTCGCAGCTCCAATTTCTCTCTGTTAGCAGCTAAGGAGACTCTATATTCAGCAGAGTAAGCTCTTGTGTTGTGTCTGACGACCTCCTACTCCGGATCTCCATCTTGTGTCGTACACTAGACCGTCTCCGCACCGCCGCTGCCGCTGCCGCTGCAGTGCTACGTCTTCACGCGAGGCGCACAGGCCGGCACGCGGTTGATATACTTAGCCAACGTTTCCAAGAATCTCTGTTGCATGCCTCGCCCCTTGATATTGAGTACAACCGATTCGCGAAGCGATTCGCAATGCCGGCAGATGGCCCCTAAGTGCCGTGTTGCGCAATCTAGCTCGTATATTTTGATTGCGTTGGATCTCTGTGTTCCGTCGACCTCAGACTGATACCGGGAAGAGGGAGCGCGGACGTGGAGATGTACCTGTTCCTTGTTTCCCTTCGAAACACGCTGCAACGTGGTGAATGGTGGGGCAAGTAACTTGGGCGAAGTCACAGCTAGTAAGGCTGAGCTAGTGAAAAGGGGGTTAGCGCTGGTTAGTAAGGCGGGCTGGACCGCGGGGCGGCTAGTGGCGGGTTAGAGGCGCTGAGTTTCTTTTGACGTGAGCGTGAGCGAGCGCGAGATTCTCTTTGCAATACGGGAGGCGAATTGCACCATCTTCGAAGTCAGCCCACGGTCTCTGTTTACACCACAACAAATACTTCGCTCGCCAGTCTTTCTGCCATTGCGACCCAGCCTTTCCGCCAACCGCCCACCATGTCTACGAAAACGCGCCCCGCTATCCCGCCCGTCGTGATGGACAACGTCACGCAGAACATCGGCAACACGCCGCTCGTGCGGCTCAACAAGATCCCACAGTCCCTCGGCATAGAAGCAACCGTGTACGGCAAGCTCGAAATGTTCAACGCGGGCGGCAGCGTCAAAGACCGGATCGCGCTGCGCATGGTCGAGGAAGCCGAGAAGTCCGGGCGCATAAAGCCCGGCGACACGCTCATCGAGCCGACCTCTGGAAACACGGGCATTGGCCTTGCCCTCGTGGGCGCTGTGAAAGGCTACAGGGTTATCATCACGCTGCCGGAGAAGATGAGCCCGGAGAAGGTGGCGGTGCTGAAGGCGCTGGGCGCTGAGGTGGTGAGGACGCCGACGAGTGCGGCGTGGGATAGTCCGGAGAGCCATATTGGCGTTGCGAGGAGATTGGTTAAGGAGCTGCCGAATGCGCATATTCTGGATCAGTACACGAACCCGGATAACCCGCTGGCGCACGAGTACGGCACCGCGGAGGAAATTTGGACTCAGACGGACGGCACGGTGACATGCTGCATCGCTGGCGCGGGGACTGGCGGTACAATCACTGGGCTCGCGTGGGGTCTACGGAAGCACAACAAGGACGTCAAGATCGTGGCTGCGGATCCACAGGGCAGTATCCTCGCGTTGCCCGAGGCGCTCAACGAGGAACACAAGAACGAGGCGTATAAGGTGGAGGGCATTGGGTATGATTTCATCCCCGAGGTGCTGGATCAGAGCGTGGTGGATAAGTGGTATAAGACGGATGATCGGACGGCGTTTCAGTATGCGCGGAGGCTGATTACGGAGGAGGGGATACTGTGTGGTGGGAGTAGCGGGAGTGCCATTGATGCGACGGTGAGGGCGGTCAGGGATCTGAATTTGGGGAAGGATGATGTGGTTGTGGTTATCCTGCCGGACAGTATACGGAGTTACCTCAGCAAGGTAAGTTCCCTTTTCTCCCCGCTATACACGCTATCTACAGATACGAAGACTAGAAATGTGCTTACTGACCCCGAACAGTTCGTAGACGACGACTGGCTCGCAGCCAACGACCTCCTCCCGCCCACACCCCCCGTCACCCCCTCCGCGCCCCTGCACCGCACCCGCTCCTCCAGCATAAAAAACGACCCCTTCCACGGCGCGACCATCGCCTCCCTGCGCCTCAAACCCGTAACCAACATCCCCACCACCTCCCCCTGCAGCGAAGCCATCGAAACCATGCGCGAAAAAGGCTTCGACCAGCTCCCCGTGTCGCTCTACCCCTCCACCGGCAAGCAGCGCCTCGTCGGGCTCGTCACGCTCGGCAACCTGCTCAGCTACATCGCGTCCGGGCGCGCGACGCCCAAGTCCAGCGTCGAGGACGTCATGTTCGACTTCCGCAAGCTGCACGAGGTGGTTACGGATCTGGGGCATTTGCACCTCGAGGGCGGGCGCAAGAAGAGCGAGAAAGAGCGCAGGGAGTTTGTCGAGATTACCAAGGATACCAAGCTTAGTGAGTTGAATAAGTTCTTTGAGTGGAATAGTGCCGCGGTTGTGACGGAGAGGGTGGAGGGCGAACTTAGGGCTACGGGGGTGGTGACGAAGGTGGATCTTTTGACGTGGATGGTTAGGATGGGGAAGGTTAATGGGGGTAAAGAGTAGGGGGGTATGTAGTGTGAGCGTTTCTAGGGATGGAACTTAAAGGGCTGTGAATATGGGTCGGTGGGGGAAGATTGGGGTTCAACTGATTTATGGAGCGAGGTGTTATGGTGCTTTTGCTCTGGGTGGGTGGGCATCTGGTCTGTCTGTAACTGTAAAAAGACTTCTTCTTCAACGGCATCGTACTAGAGAGAGAAATAGATGGGACTTCAACGTCTGCCAGCAGCCTCTCCGATCAGAGTAAGAACGTTTGTTTGTCGTCAATCGTCGTGGGGAACGAGAGAAGGACTGGGGGAAACATCACCCATCTGCTTTTTCTTTATCCCCTCCTCCATCCGATGTATCTTCGAACGCTAGTTACGGGTAGGGGTATATAAACCCTTCCCCTCCCCGCTTCGCTGGATCACTACGACTATCTGTTTCTCCCCTTGGGGGAACTAAAACCTACCTTCAACTTGGACATGTCTTCTCCCTCCCTCTGGGTGACTAAACTGTCGCCACGCCGACTCCATGGGAAGGTCTCGCCTCTATCCGCGGAGAAGAATAAAAAGCAAGCTTCCCTAATTATGGAGCGTCTGGCCTTCCTGCTCTTAGGAGTGAACGAAAATGCTAGAGAGAAACAGGTCATGGAGACGAGCTGGGTGGGACGAAAATCACACCCACACCCATATATGGGAAGGTCTTGCATTCTATCTGCTCCGGAAAATGCATCATACAACGTGGGAGCTTGGTCGCTCCATCCGCTTCCCGGGCGTGAGGAACAAGATCTCTAAAATGAAAAGGATCCTCAGATGCAATATGAACCCGAGCCGACCCGGCGTTTGATACGCTGACTGGACTGGCGGCTACTCCGGAGACCGGACGGCGGCGGGTTGTATAAACCTCCCTCTCCTCTTATCCACAATTTCCTCTTCTCTACACCTTCTTCGTCTCCCTTACCGGGAACTAAAAGAGAATGAAATGATTTCATGTCCTGTCCTTCCGGGGGACTAAAAGCTCTCACATTCCCGGTGATGTGGAGGTCCGGCCTCGTCGCTGCTGCACTAAAACGTGTTGCCGTCGAAGGCGACGGGGAGGGAGCTTTGCTTGTTCCGCTTCTCTTTAGGAATGAAACTCAGACTGCGATGGATATATGAGCCTGAGCTGGGGTTTTGGGGGTATATAAACCTCTTCTTTCCTCTTACTTCTTCTCTTCCTTACGGTTATTGTTTTTCTCCCTTAGGGGAGCGAAGAAGATACCAGGAAAGCACTATGCCTTGGCTTTTCGGAGGACTAAAAAAATCACGCGGCTACGCAATCACGGGAGGGGCCCCGTGTTGACGCTACTAGAACCCATCGATATCGAGAATGGTGGAGAGCGAGGTTGCTCGGTCCGCTTCCCACGAGGAATGAAACTCCAAGAACGGCGAATACATGAGCCTAAGCTAGACGTCCGCGGGTATATAAACCCCTTCTCTCCTCTTACTTCTTCTCTCCACAATTATTTTCTTTCTCTTCCTACACTAGGGGCCAAAGAAGACATCATCCAAAAGTTATGTCCTGTCCTTTTGGCGGACTAAAAGCGGCCCTCCTAGACACGATGTGGAGGTCCCTCGTCTCGTCTGCGCTACTATAATGGGCCCGCCTACAGAACTATGGAGAGACCGGTCGCCCCGGTATGCGAGCGGGGTTAAAAACCAACTCCAAGAGGTGGTATGTGTGGAATGGAGTGGACTGGCGGGAAAGCGTTCCGGAGCTTAGGACCGGAGGCAATAAATCTTCCCGAACACGGCGTCATGAAACCCGCCCAGACTCTCTCGGGCTTGGCTCGGCACAGCATTTCTGCGGTTGGTCGAGGGCTATATAACCCCCATCTTCCTTCCAGTCTCTCTGGACCTCACTACTGCTATCTTCGTCGTTTTCGTCAGCGGGACTAAAACAAGGACAGCAAAGTAAGATGTGCACATCCTGCGTCCTACGTGCGCGGCTAAAGAACCATCCGAACGAACCCATGGGAAGACTGCTCGTTCCGTGCCTAGGGTCCAAAACGACGTTCGTGAATCTACATGTGTGTGGACTGGCGAGGGAAGTGTCCAAGAGCATGACGACAGCGCTGGAACAAAGTCTTGACATCAGGGACGGCATGAGAGCAGTGCCAGATTCTCCGGACAGATTAGCTCTTGCGTACGATGGCGGGGAGGGATTGATGGATGGAGGGAGGGCCTATAAACCCTGCCTACACTTCTCTTCTCTTGCTTCTCTACGGCGATCTCCTTCGGTGGGTACTAAAACACGAGTGTCATCGAGTCATGTTCTGCCCTCCTGGGGGACTAAAAGTCAACGAAAACGGCTTCATGGTGGACCTGGTACTCGGTATCCCACGTCGACTCTAAAACCTCTGCCGGTGGCTTTGCATGGGGGAATTTGGAGTTATGCGGTGCTCAACGCATCGATAGCAACGGCAAGAGGTGGTATGTTTACAGTTAGTTGGCGGTCTTCAAGGCGCTACGCACGGATAGACACAAAGACAAAAAAATCCGCGATGCATGGAGATGATTCTTGCTCCTTGCTGCAGTGTCCTACTCCACGACGTAAGCGGTCAAGACTATATAAAGCCCCTCGCTCTCCTCGTTGCTTTGGTCTTCACTACATTCCTTCCCCTTCCCGAAAGACCAAAACGCTTGGGAGACTCTGATATGTTCTACGGCTTTTGCGTCGGGAACTAAAAATTCGCGAAGTAGAGGCCGATGGCGGCAGCCCCGTCTCCTTGCCTGGCTAAAAGAGAACCGACAAATGACGGATGGAGGACTTTGTGTCTGCTGTCCCTGCGAGTCTAAAAGCATTCTGACATCCACTGAATGTTTGCGGTTTACCATCTGGGGTTCAGATGGTTTAAACGGCGTGAAAGAGCTGGGTATATCGTTTCATGGGACGGACGCACGGATTCGTCGCCACAAGCCCACAAACTACCATCCTATGCTCTTGAAGGATGTCCAGATGGGATAGATTATATAAACCCTTCCGCATTCCCTTCTTTCTTGCTTTACGACTCCCCACGCCATTTTGGGGGGACTAAAACTCCCCCACATCATGCCGATGGGATCTTCGGGTCGCCTCCGCCTTTACTATTGAAAATGATCGATCGCGATGTGACTGGCCCGCTGCCTGACCTAAAGTGTAGAAGAGGAAGAAGATGGGGTCGTCTGACTGGTGGCGTTGGGAAGACTTCAGTGGGCCGAAAGAGGTGATCAGCATTCCAGGATGGAACGGGTATCTGACTACAAATGCCACTACTCCGCCGCTATGTCTTTGGGGTGTAGCTTGGTGTGGGAGGATATGGAAAGTTCACCTCTTGTCCTTCGCCCCTCTTCAGGCCTCCCTGTGAGTGACCAAAATGCCGAATAATACGTCCGTATGTCGGGTATTTCCTGGGGGCTTAGATACCGAGGATGAGGATCTATGGAGGATCCACGATCCAGGTTCGTCATCAAATCAAAGATGGAAAAGGACCATGGAACTGGTTTGCTGTTCGACTCAAAGAAAAAGACACATCAACGCAACCTGATGCAGGGGCTCTCGAGAGATTTCTCTCAGTCTTCAGTCAGATTTGGAAAAATGTCAAAATGTAGGCATGATTTTGGATTGTGGTTCTCCCATGCACTATCCGGCCCTTGCCCGGCCACTGTTGGAACATATGGGTGGGTTGCTGGAGTATATAAGCCACTTCATTCCCACATCCACTCTACTACACCAGAAGTTCTCGCTTCTACTTTGTGAGAGCTAAAAGCGTCAGTTCCACGCACAATGTCGCGCCTCTGGGCGCGACGAAAACTGATTACGATGGTCACTTATGCGGAGTTGCTGACCTCTCTTTTGCTATTAAGAATACAACAGCCGTCGCGAGTATGGGACGGAACTGGCTCGGTGTTCGGCTCGAAAGATCGAGCGAACTTTCGCATGAGGCGGTTCCGTGGAGACGCTTCGAAGATCCATATCGCACCTGAAAAGCACGCTCAACATAATCTATAAGATTGGAACCCCAGCTCTTCTCACACTACCGGCGCCTCTGGCTGGACTCCTTTAGGATGACTGGGTGAGTTGCGGGAGTATATAAGTTCATTCCTTCACCTTACATCCGTTCCACCACATTCCCACACTCCTTTTCAGGGACGACTAAAAGGGGAGTAAGGGAATACTATGCCTCCTCCCTTCTTCCGGACACATATCAAAATCACGGGGCTCCATGGAGAAAACGCTCTCCGGCTCTCAGACCAAAAACGCAACTCAACTAATACAGACACATTGGAGCACCCAATCTCCATATCTAACTCCCACCTCGGACTGCGCGACAAAACCAGAACCAGATGGAGAACAATGATGGCTCTGCTCGTTCTTCTCCAATAAAAGTGGCTTATTGGAGACACTATACTTGGAGCTTGGATTCAGGATTGTTTCTGACTTGGTGAAGTTCGGGCGAGCCTTCCGCGGCCGCGTCGCGCTGCCTACCTAAGGTATATAAGTACGCCTTTCCGCGATCCTGGCTCTTCACTCTCCACTTGTGGATTCCTCGTTCCTGGGAATTAAAAGACACAAGCGGAACAAGTGATGTCTGCTATCGTGCCTTGCTTGGACAAAAATTGGTGGCAGAAAGCAGTAATGGTCTGCTTGCGGATTTGCTTCTGGTCCCAACATACAAGGACTGCCAACACTTCACAGTGCGCACAAAGCGACAAGACCGACGACGCTAGAAGGGAAGCAAGATGAACTTACGGGATTTCGTCCATCAGCTGCTGGAAATCTCAAAGGTCGATACCAAAGGACTACACGCCGGTTTGGAGAAGAGTGTCTCAAAACAGCTGAGGAATTCAAACGATGTTCAGGAGATGTGGCCATCGCAAAAGCAATCCAGCTTGTGTATTACGCTGAGCCGCAAATACCGCCTCTTTCCACTCATGTCCTGAGCAAGGAGCTCAGGATACAAGATTTCAAACACCTCCCCGTTTACTCTTTCCTTCCTTACCAGAACCACGTCACTCTTCCTATCGAGGATAAAAAGTACTGCAAGCATCTCATCCATGATCCCTCGACGGGTTGCGCTAAAACGGAGATGCGTAACCTTCATGAGAAGTTCCCGGGTTGCGATCGAATCTTTCAGTACAAGGTCCTACGCCCGTTTCCAAACTTTGAGTCTTCACCCTCATGGGTGGGCCACTGGCCTAGTCGAGCACTACAAACTCGCTGGAATACGAAGCATGTCCTCGAACTACAGGCATTGCCATAGCATGTTCGCAATGCAAACTATGGCTTCTTCCTTCCCTTCAGTGGGTCTTTCGGCGTGCGGCGCGAACTCAGGGGCATATGGCCTCTCGTCCTCTAATCCTACTCCCCACCCCAAGGCTACTTGTTTCAACGGAGGGACTAAATCAAAACAGCTGCTGTAGGTATGCGCTCCTGCTGAACTGAGGTTGGACTAAAATGAAGCCGCTAAAACATTCATGAGTATTTCCGGGCTCTTCTCTGGCTCCGAACCGCACACCTCTCCGATGAAGTCTTAAATGCACCGGAGTTGAACAAGATGGGGCGGAACAGTCTAAACTCAATTTCCACCAAGGCACATGTGTACAACCGGTGGACGTCGCCACAAATTGAGCCAGCCCATCGGGGATCGTAGGATATCAACCTCGTTCTCCCCTTGGATTGACGAGCGGCTCACGAGATTGCGGGCATATAAAACCTCCACTTACTTTATTGGACTCCTCATTTCAGTCCCACGCCTTGTGAAGGACTAAAAAGAAGAAACCCCACACATCATGTTCTTCTTTGTGGCTGTCCAAAACGTTCGCCGACAACATTATATGAGGGACTTCGCCGCCTCTTTTCCTCTACAATGCGTACTGGGTAGACGCAACGAAGAGGAACCGGGTTCAAGAAGACCTAAAAAGAAAGACGCATGCGCTGCTTGCTGGGAACCTCCTGCCTTCGTAATGCAATGGAACAGTTCGAGAGGAACGGTCAGCAGATCTGGGTACCAAAGTCCACCAGCCAACACACTTATGGATCTCTTCTGCCTGTCGTAGACCGGATGTCGCTTAATTCTAGGCCGCCCTCACAACGGCTGCAGTCGATAAAGTATATAAACCTCCCTTTCTGCCTCCTCAACTCCTCACTTCGATCTTCCAGATCCCGATGGCGCACTAGAATCGGCTCTCCGACAAATTCATGTTCCTCGTGCCGCAGACTAAAATACGGAAGTTCTAAAACTAAAGATGAGCATCTGCATGCCGGATTCAAGGAGCCAATAACTATGTCCCGAAGTCACCAATAGAGGCGTCGGGGTCCTGTGCTTCCAAAACTTCGGAGGAATTCATCTTTTGCGTTGCTTGTCGGAGACCTCGTCTTCCAACGTAACTCGTCTCGTCCAAAGACAAAGGATCTAGGCATACAGGCTATCGAATCCACAAGAGTTACCCAAAATGTCTCCTTTCTCACAGCACTGGAGCTGTCACTGTACATTCAGCTCCACGCGATGCAAGCCCGTAGGTATGGGCTATATAAAGCACTCACCCGCTAATTCCTCTCGCACTCTACGGCTTCCTTCCATCAGCCAGCAAAAGTCCAAAAATGCAAGACGTTCTCTGTATGTCTTTCTCCTTCGTGGGACTAAACAACTCTGGCCTCTGGCGATGGAGAGCGCTGGCAGGGTATTCTTACGACGTCGACTAAAAAGCCAGCACTCTACACCTTCGTGCTGAGAGCGAGATCTACGGGTAATTAAATGACAACGCAGTTTTCTTATGGAGGAAAACCGGTCCAAGACCCCTGCACAAGCGGTTTTTCAGGAAGTCAAAAACGCGCACCAAATGTTCGATGCTTTGCTTTTCCAGTCCGCTCCTCAATAATTCAAACGCCTGTTCCAAGGAATTGCCCGAGAGCTGACCAGCCACATCTCGAGCGTTCTACCTCAGTGACGGGCTGATGGGACATGGTGCCGAAATTAAGGCTTCCGAAGATTCATGTTGTCGGTGTTGTCGGCGCCCCCAGCTCTTTTGATAGCCTCAAAAAGGGAAGGCAGATGCCTGCGTCGGGTGGCGTGTACAATTCGTCACTCGCCACCATCAGCTCCGAGCGGTGGTGAATTGCACGCCACATGACCTACTTCCCCTTTCCAGAACGAGACAGAGTGTTCTTGCCGCCTCACCAGCGGAACCGCAATCTCCTCGTTCCAGACAGTCTCAGATGATAGCAGTAGCGCGTGGCATCCGCAGCACATCTCCAGCGCCGCCGTAAAAGATAAAACGTCGACGGCGCCGTCAAAGCGCAGCTCTTCTCGCCGAAACATGTCTCACCGCCCACGAAACCTCCCCTTCCCTCCCACCGCTAAGCTTTGCTTTCCCAACCACACAAACCGACCGCCGTCTCGCAAACAGTCAGCCCTCCCTCAATCTTGCCCACTATTTCAACACCACGCCTCGGCCTGCACGAACGAACGTATCCCTCTCCATCCCTTGCCTACACTACCCGACAGACACTCTCCCTCCATACTTCTGCGACAGACAACATGGCCGCCACCTACTTCTCGCAATTCGCCGCCTTCACGCCCAACCCCAGCGCGCGCTTCAACGCGCAACTCGCCGCCCTAGCGCAGCACCAAAACTGGTCCAAGGCAGAGAAAAAGCAGCGCCGCGGCGAAGCCATCGAAGCCGAGTTCCACGACCTCTACGGCACCGACTACGGCCGCCTGGACAAATGGCAGGAGCTGTGCCAGGACGTTGGCGTTGACGCCGTGCCCAGCACGGTTGGCGGGTGCAAGAAGGTAAGTAAGCAAGCAAGCAAGGATAGCGGACTGAAAAGGCTGCTTGGAAGAGAGCGGCAGTGCTAACGGGGTGCGCGAACAGGCGCTGAAGACTGCGATGGTCAACATCGTCAACCTGATCGATCACAAGCGGACGGGCGCTCCGCTCAAGCAATTCGGCTCGTACAAAGAGTTCCGCAAGTACACGATGGATGGGCGCACGCTTGCGAAGGAGAAGGCGAAGCGGAATGCGTTCCTCAGGGTGCTTCTTCGGGTCGTTGTCTAAGGTCTGGGAGGCGCGGCGGTGGAGACGTGTGGAGAAGGGCGTGGTGGGCTCGGGGATGGGGATCTGACTGAGGATTTGGATAGGGGAGACCTTCGGCTTGGGAGTCGCCTGGTGGGGTGCAATGCAATGGTCGATGATATGCGGTCGGTCGTTGGAGGCACATAGCATAGCAATGGTATGATAGGCATGGGAGAAAGCTTAGTAACCCCCCCCCCCCCCCCCCCCCCCCCAAAACACCCTCTCCATTACCTTCCCATCAACCCCCAACCCCTCTTAAAACTTTCCCCTTCCCCATCTCCCCCCTTGAGTCCCTCCTTCTCCCTCGCCCTTCATCTCTGCCTTCATCTCTGCCTTCCTCTCTTCCGCACTCCGTTGCTAGCCTCTAGCCTCCGCCTAGAGCGTGAGCCGCGCCGCGCCGCGCAGCAGAGACGGGCGGGACACAAAGCACGCGCCAGGGCTGGGGAAGGAGTACATACATGGTAGGAGTAATATTAGTAGGGGAGGATGTGGGAGGGGCAGTTATGGGGGAGGGGCTGGGAGTGTGTTGCAGTGACATTGCGGGGCGACTGTGATGACAGGAAGGAGATAGTATGGGGGGTTTAATATGCTTGTAGGGATGAGAAGAGGTAGTAGGCTTGTAGGATCAGCGCTTTCGTTCGTGTACGGGACGGGGATGGCGATGTCGATGTGGCGGTGAGATGTGCAGCGCAGGGGCTACGCCTGCACGGCCAGGCAGACATCATGGTTGTGTAAGGAAACGCTCATGCTGCAATGCGTTAACTGCCCTTTTTGTCCTGTCTTCCTATTTTATCTAATCCGGCTTCTTCCCATCCGCCCAACTAGGCGCAACGCTCGAACACACATCCCAATACGCATCCCACCTCGTCATTCCCCTCTCTCTTTCCACCTCCTCTCTCGCCCCCAGTCTCTTACCTTTCGCCCACTCCTCAACCACGCCCTCCGTCGTCCAGAACATAGTCCAATACCCATCCGGCAGATTCCACATGCCCACCGCTCTTTCAAAATACCACTTATTCACCGGATTCGTCTTCCTGCTTCGCCACACAACACCGTTCGGGAAGGCAGACCGGGTCAAAGCACCCCAGACGATGTCCGCGACGCCGCCGGAGCCTTGGGACGAGGTGAGGACGGCGAACTTGTCGAGGTAGGGGATCCAGAGGGGTGAGTCGGGTGGTGGCGACTTGTTCGAAAGGGAGGCGGGCGTTTCCCAGGTACAGATTGCGCCGCCTTCGTAATCGCCTGCTATAATGACGCCGGCTACCCGGCCACGGATGCGGTCGAGGTAGTGCTTCGCATCGAGCTTCCTACGAAAAGAGTCTTCTATCAGGTCGACGAGGCGGGGAAAGTTGATGCGCGGATCATTCTCGAGTTCGATGGAAAGGTTGGATGGCGACGGTGGATGCCACGGCCCTGTCACACGCGGGTCCGGTATCATCGTGACCGGAATCCCTTTCTTGAGGAATGTCGCGGGGTTGGGTGCAGCTGAGCCGAGATGCCGAGTGACGAGAGGCGCAGGTAGCGAAGAGGAAATCATGGGTTTGTCTGTCAGTAAATTGTGGATGAGCGGGTTCTTGGATCGTCGGGTCCGCACCCCTGTTGAGGGCGTAGATATTGATGCAATTTGAGATGATATCGCTGCTTCCCCTGGGGTTATGATAAGAGCGGAAGAGGATGGAGGCAGAAGCCTGAGCGCTGCCTGCGCTACTTCGAGGTTTTTTATGTGACGTGACGATGGGATGCTATCGCCTATCTGCTCGGTGGGCGAGCCTGGTAAAGGCGCAATCTCTGACTCTGCAAACTTCGAAAACGGGTTGCTGCTCCCGGGTGATGTGGAGGCTTCTGACTTCTCCTGGACTTGTTCGTTTGACCGAAACCGTTCCAGATCCTTCTTCACATCGTAATACTCCGCTTCAAGGTTGATGAAGACATGTGCTCCATCAGCCCTATCATCAGAAGGTATTCCACCCAGCGGATCTAGAATGATGATGCGGTCTAGTACCGGTCTTCCCTCGGAGGTCCTGTCTTTGTTGTACAGCGCATCGTCTAGTTCCTGCGGCGCGTATCCCCCAAGACTCTGAGTGGTGAGTCCGGAAAACTCGCGGGTCAATGCGAGCACTACGTCATCGGCCTGCACGCGAACCTTCTTCAGCTCTGCATCGTACGCAAAAGGGGGTATGACCGGAATGATACCGTCTTCTATCGGCGGGAATAAGAGGTGGTTGTTCTTCACTTCCACTCCACCGTGGACCTGGACAGTGCTCGGGATCTCCGTATCCACGTCGGAATAGCATAGCGCGTGATCGACTTCGAAGGCTCCGGGCTCGTTGTACTCTGCCAAAGCATCAACGATGCGAGACACCTGTTCGCGTACGGTGACTTCCCAAGCCGGGTTCAGCTCCAGGGTATCTCGGGCGACGTCTTCATCGCAGTCCACGACTACGGCGATGTTCAAGCCCAGTCTTGCCATTTGACTCAACGTTATCGCGATTCCGCCCAAGGTATCATGATCCAGCGCCTGCGGCTGCCGCAGCTTGACCAGGGCCAAATGCAGCGGCTCCAGGTCCTTCTCCTGGAATCCCCTCTCCGGTAGTTTATGTTGCGTGAACACAGGACTGTTCTGGATAGCCTTAGTAGGCTCATACAGGCTCCCCAGATTGACGCCCGTCCGCGTCAGCCTCCACTCGTTCCGATGGGCCTTCTCGACCGCCTCGTTCGCGAGTTGTTTGACCCTGGTGCCGCCGGTAGGAGGCTCGGGCTTCTGCGTGTCGAAATGCTTTAGGAAGTTCTTCGCATCGCGTTTGCCGGGCGATTGTTTGAGGAGGCGGGTCAATTCGTCTCGCTCGGCGCGCTGTCGTTCCTTCGCGACGCTCTTGCGGCCATTGCGCACAGGCTCGATGCCCGAGGCGCTGAGCCGCGCTGCAGAAGAAAATGCAGAGGCATGCTCTCGTACATTGGGTGTACAAACGTTATCGCACCGGGGAAGCACCTATCCGCGCAATTGGTCAGCTATCGCCGAGCTGTGGAACGAGAGCTGCATGTGAGTCAAGCAGACCTCGATGCCACTCACCCTCGCCGTCGTCCTCCCCAAGCCCCGCGACTGGGCCTTGCAGCAGCTGAACATGCTTCATGCTAGGGACCGTCCTTGGGTAGTGAGCATTGGGGCGACAGAGGGGTAGAAATGCTTGAATGTGGGCTGATTGCGAAAAAGCCGCCCAAGTGCATCGTTGCGCATGGCAGGTGGAGCTCAAACTCTGGCCGCTAATCGATAAACGTCATGGCATGCGCCCTGTCCTTAGCCGACATCGGCCCGTGGCATTAACTCCGGGGAGCCGCCCGTTATGACATGTTGACATGCGGGGTGATGAAGCAAAAGCATTGTGGCGTGCAGATAAACATATTCCGCACCTCACGCGGACCGCAAACATAGAGATTCCTTTTTGCTGTGATCGTTGAGATTGACGTCCATAATGGCACCGCAACTCGCCTGGATTGGTCTCGGTAACATGGGAAGGGTAAGAATAGCCGCGCCCTACACGCCTTCCCCCAGACTAATGTCGTCGACAGGGCATGTGCAAGAATCTGGTGGAAAAAGGAAATCTGGACAAGCCGCTGATCCTGTACAACAGGACCAAGAGCCGGGCAGACGATCTCTCCGCAAAGCTTGGCAGGGATAAGACGAAAGTGGTTGATTCCATCAACGATGCTGCAAAAAGCGCGGACATTATCTTCATCTGCTTGGGCGACGATGCGGCGGTCAACTCGGCTGTCGATGTGATTCTGGAGCAGGATGTGAAGGGGAAGTTGATCGTGGATGCGTCGACGGTACATCCGGACACCACGAACGCGCTGGAGAAGCGGTTGACTGCGAAGGGCGCTGAGTTTGTCGGAATGCCAGGTCCGTTACCTCATCATGTCTTCCATTACACGTGTACTAATTGTGAACTCAGTATTCGGAGCCCCCGCAATGGCCGATGCAGGAAGCCTAATCTGCGTCCTCGCCGGCCCCAGCTCGTCCATCTCCAAAGTGCAACCCTACACAAAAGGCGTGATGGGCCGGGCCGACATCCTCTACGCCGATCAACCCAGCGGCACCTCCACGCTCCTCAAAATAATCGGCAACACCTTCATCCTCAACATGGTCGAAGTCCTCAGCGAAGGACACGTGCTCGCCGAGAAAACCGGGCTCGGTCCACAAAACCTGCACACCTGGATCGAAGCCATGTTCCCAGGGCCGTACGCCGCGTACTCGGCCCGGATGCTGGCGGGCGACTACTACAAGCGCGAGGAGCCGCTGTTCCACGTCGATCTGGCGCGCAAGGATGCGCGGCATGCGCTCGATCTGGCGGCGAAGACGGGGAGCAGCGTGCCGGCGCTGCAGGTGGCGGAGCGGCATCTGGGGAAGGTGAAGGAGCGGTTGGGGGGGAGGGGCGATATCCCGAGTATATATGGGGCGGTGAGGGAGGAGAGTGGGTTGGGGTTTGAGAATGGGGGGTAGGATGGGTTGACGGTTCCGATGGCGGCGGCGATTCGGCTAGTCTGAAGGCGGAGTTGGGAGGCATTCGGCAGGCCGCTCCATGCATATCGTTGTCTTGACTCTCTCCTCCGAAAGTCCTCCTCGTTCAGTCACTCAATCATGCACACCCCTTCCCTTCCCTTTCCTCACCATCCTCTTCCCCCTCCCCAACTTCCCCCACTGCCATCCTCCCCACTCCTCCCCTCATCCCGCCCCTCAACAATCTCCTCAATCCCCGGCCACTCGCTCACGAGCTTCTCATACCGTCCGCTCTCCTCCCTCCTCAGCTTCCCCAGCGCATCCCTCAGCACCTCGTGGAACAATTCGTCGACGACAAGAATACACGGCTTGTTGCTGATATCCTTGTCCGCGCGCTCGGCGCAAAGCTGCTGCTCGCACAGGCGGCTGAGATACTCGTCGAAGGCGGAGGAGGGGATGGCGGAGAGCAGGGCGATGAGCGCGTTGACGAAGCGGAGCGAGAGGAGCAGCGAGCCGGAGGATGTGTAGGTGAGTTTTGGCATGGTTGGAGAGGTGAGTGCAGTTGTAGTTGTAGTTGCAGGTGCGGAATGGGAGTGTAGTGTATTGTGGTGCAATGTAGTGTGGTTCGTGGATGGGTGTATTCGCGTGATGCAGGTATGTTCGTTTGCGGGCGGTGTTTGTGCGACAGTTGTTGGTTGGCGGTTGGTTGGTCGTAGAATTTCGTTGGAGAAACTCTGGATCTGGACTTGGCTGATTCTAAATGGCAGGCAGCTATTATTACTGTACGCGTGAGGCGGTGTGGCCAAGTGACCTGATAACAGGAGACCCACGGGGTCACGTGCACCCTTAGTTTGTCCTGGGCAGGTGAGCGTGGCGGCGAAAGCGCGCGTCCAATCACGAATCGTTTCGTCATAAGACCCAGTGGCATTTGTGTCCTATCCGTTCCATCGCGGCGCTTTGCAAAGGGCGGAGCATGAAAAGGACGTAGTCGCTTTCAGCATTGTAGAAGGGCGTAGAGACCGACAGCGCGAAGTCCCGCACCAGAAAATATTCATACCAGTAAGTAGTAGTACAGCAAAAATGAATGCAGTAAGTCCGGGGGGGACAAAAGAATGCAGCTCGAAAGGAAAGAAATCTCGGTCCCGTGCATACGTCCCATTGTTCATACAATTTCCGATTATCGCCCAATAACCAACCCTGTATCCCGCTGCTATGCTACCATGCACTATGATACCGATTGATCCAGAGGATATCCCTTAGCCGCGAATACCGGTCCCGAGTTTTAAAATGTTGTACAGTATTATGTATTACGATCGTGAGAGGAAATGCGAGGCAATGCATGCGAAGAAAATGCGGCCTCCAGGAGGCTGAAGAAGCGAAGTGAATGTGAAAGCGCGCAGGATGTCGAGAGAGTAGGATGTCCTCGACTCGGTATGACGTGCCGGAGCCCTCGCACTAAGCGAGTTGTATGGCTTCGTGATGTTGGGGAGCAAGGTCTGTTGATGTCCTAGGCGTATGATGCGCCCAAGAGGATGTCAGAGCATCACCCAAACCGGCCTTTCTGCCAATAATGACGACAGCATCACAATAGAAGCCGCCGTCTGTTGATGATGAAATGCATGTGCAGCGGTGACAGATGCTCTCCCTCAAGACTGATAACTGTACAACCGATCCGTACCCGCGGCCGGTGGACTGTTCGAGGAAGGCTTTCTAGGCAACGAGCCGGGAAGCTGCATGTTCGGAGGCAGGTCCGGGTGGTCCATAGTGTGAAAATGCTGAGATCTTTTGGACGTGAGCCATTCTTTACTCTTCCTCATCAACTTCCGTCTTGGGCCAGACCTCTCCCTGCTATGCGTCCCTGGCGAGTTGCTCTCGTCGGTGACTGGCGGTTCGAGTGGTGGTGTCGTGTTAGCGGCATAGGTAGGCGTATCAGCAGCATAGGTGGGCAAGTCATAGAGGACGAATTCTTGCCATGTTGGTCGGTCCCGGCCCGAAGAGGCAGTGACCTGCATCTCTTGATCCTGAGCTGAATTGGGTACCACAGCCCCAGAGGGTGGCGGTGCGTCCACCATAATGACGCTGTTCCTGCTGCGGTATGGGTAGGTGGGGGCCTCCACGCGTGCTTCTCCTGTGTGATTGAGAGCGATTGTACTAGCGAGATCGAGGGATGGGTCAATCATGTCGTATTGCATTGAGTCTCCAAATGTGGCCGGAGGACCTTGGATGTTGCTCGATGCATCAGCGGGCAGGGGTGGCAGAGAGTAGCTCGGCTGCGGCAGAGCTGAAGCGGCGAAGGCTCTAGATAGTTCCTCCGGGCAACCCCGCCAAAATAGCCTCTCGAGGAAGCTTGCCAGGTCCGGTTCAAAGTTGTGGTACTCTAATTGTTCCCTCATTTCACGCGTCGTCTTGGGATCCCACGTCAACTGGGAATGGAGGATGCCAACCTGAGGAGACAAGCGGGAGTACGTGGATTTCCAGGGTCCGGAGAGCGTTGGATACCTCAAGAGGTTACGGATAGTCCTAGTGTAGTTCCACTCCGTTTGACCCTCCCGCATGTCCTCTGCGACGTGGTCGCAATGGCTCTTCCAATTGAAGTTGATCTTGCGGCAAGTCTCGAATCCGCAACCGTATACCAGCTGACGTTGTTGGATCTTCTTGTTCTCGCCTAGCTTTCCTTGGCCTCCATGCTGTTTGTCGAAATGTTTCTTGAAATCCCCCCCGCAATAGAAGATTGCAGAGCATTCTGCGACCTGGCAGAGCCATGCATTTCCGGTCTCATGGAAGTCCTGCTCATGGCGCTTCCAGTCTTGCTTGGTCTTGCACGTCTTCCTCTCGCCTTCCTCGGCGCAAAACGTGCAGAAAAAAATTGGCTCGGTCGAAACGTTCGCAGCGTTGCGAGGTGGATTTGGATTATACGTTACTGGAGCGTGACTCTGCCCGCTTCCGCGGGAGTTGTCCGGTCGAGAGGCTGAATGAAGTTGTTGGTGTCGGTTCTCGCCCGGCAGTGCGATCCATGAGCCTGTATCGTCTGGACGGGCGAGTCGCACGGGAGACCTTCCAGTATTTTGGACACCCGGCGCGTATATCACACTTTGGTCCAGTCCAATAATGTTCTCGCTCGTGATTGAGCCCGCCTGAGGGGTTGAACGTCCTGACTGATGGAGCGTTGGAGCTGAGGAGGAGAATGTGGAACGGTCAAACTCAATGGAACTGTCGCCTATTCAAACAGCAATTAGCGCAAGCCATACACCTTATGACAATTGAACGCCTACCAAAAGTTGCTTGGATGTCATCTGCGAATTCCGAGTGCTCGTGGCGACTCAAAGCCTGAACCACGAGGTGATGCAGTTCATGGAGCTGCGAACGATTGAGGTTTGCTACTAGGTCGGGCAAGCCAGAATTCTCCATGATTTCTTCTTCGACCGATTGCGGGATTGGTGGCGTTCGCGGAGAAATAGATCGACGTCTGTCTAACACCGCTGTCGGTAGCGTCCCGTGTCTGAACCGTCTACGAGGAATAGGACTAGATTGTTGCGGCTGAAGGCTGGCCCACCTGCAAGGAGCGGAACGTGAGCCGAAACGCTGGTAGAGATCGCTAATCGGAACTGTTCGGCCAGTAGCGAGAGCTACTACGCCTGGGGTAACTGGGGCGGAAAGGACAGTGGGTAATGAGCGACAGGAAAAGCAAAATGGAGATTGCTAACGATGTCCAACAATAAAAGATAAATGAAACCCGAGCCCCAGATTTCGTGGGGGAGGCATCAGTCTTTCAATTGAAGGTCATGGAGGACCAAATGCCTCTAGAGCGATCTGAGGCAAGCGTAGGCGTAAATATGGGCTGAGACCTAGCCTGATCATCATGGGTTTCTTGGTAGCATCGCACTGACCAAATGGAAGAAGCAGACGGATGCCGCTGGTGGCTAGTGACTTCGAAAAAAAAGAATGAAAAAGAAATTCCCATCGTAAAGTTAAGCCGATCTTTGCGGAGGTGGTGGAAAAACCGCTGCAGGTGATGTTTCATACGACGCTAGTCTGCCGTACTGGAGGGGCCTGGACAGATCCCATTGGTTTTCAATTGGGCTTGTCCCGGGCTTGACTCCAGGTTTTCGCCATCTCTAGTTTTCCTACTTACGAGAGCCTCAAGCAGAGAGAAATGAGGTCTGAGACCTAATGCAGGAGGGCCTTGACCCTGAACGATGCAGCAGGATGCAGGAACGCTATTCGCCGATAGGCGATCTGCAGACGCAAAGCTCACCAGGCGAGCCAATCTAGCAGAGACTGCGAAAGAGCAATCTCCCGAATTCAAGGCCATGGCAGAAAGTTGAGTTGATGTCTTATCTTCACCGGTGTCTGAGGCAATGTTGACGTGTTTCTTCGCACGAAGCGGTGCTAGAAGATCAAACAAGAGAGCCAGCAGGGATGTTGTTGCAGACTGAACGTAAAAAGCGGCACGTTGCTCGTGTCCAACGGTCGGGGCGGAATAAGCGGTGAAAAGTTCGTAATTCAACACGTGGGGAAGCAGGCATTTAGACGACCGCGGGAGTAGATAGAGGTTGGCTGGCTGTCTGCCTGTACGCCCAAGCGTGTATTCCAGGGTGAAGAAGCCGTGGACAGGTCCTTGAGGCGAGGCGGCAGTAGAGGACCTTGTCAACAAGATCGAGCGACACCTCGGAAGGCTCTCAAGAAGTAATTGGATGCAACCCAGGGCAAGCCTGCTTTGTTGAATTTTACTCCATCATGAGTAGTCTCAACCTGGGATGCAGTTTTGGACGCAGCTAGAAGAGGGGACCAAAAGAATCCAGCGGGTTCTACAACGCCCTATCGTGATTGCCGGCTATGCGACGTCCTTTCTGGATTGTCGCAATCCTGTCAGACAGGTGTACCCGCTTCAGTGTATCTTTCTTGATTTTGAGAACCGTGCCCTTGGGTTTGAGTCCAGACTCGAGACGCAGGGTGTGGGTCAATCGGTCGGAAGACGCGAGTGGAGATTTCCGCTACATCGCCGCCGATTCTGAGATCCTGAGCTTCGAGAAAGAATGCTGCTGCAAGTGTTTGATCGTTCGACGCCGTGCCGGCAGCCCCTATTCCCGCTCGCTTGGTCCTGCAGCCTGCAGCCTGCATGCACGCACGAGCAGGCCTTCGTATCGTCGGTAGCGCAAAGTCACGCCGGCCATCGAGTCATACGACGCCATTTGCCTCACTTTGAAAAAGAAAAAAAATAAGAGGAAAAAGGAGGTAGCAAGAGAAAAGAGAATCGAAGAAAAACAGAGGAGAGGAAGGACGTGGGAGGTTGTAGTAGAGTTGGTGGACCCCAATTTCTAGCCTCGTGGCTAGCGTCTGGAGACGGACTAGCGTGATTTTTGTACCTGCCAGTTAACCCCGGTGACTTCCTTACATCTCGTCACCTACCCCGGCCAATAGGAAGAGTACGCTGGAGATTTCATCACCTTTTCGAGGCGGGCTGATCGATTACTTGACTACATATGTAATGCATCGGCAGCCTTGTGCTAACGCCGAAACGCTGTGCAATTCACGCGAAAGGCGAGGAACGAAGTACTTCCACGAGAGCTTGTAGATGTCGTGAATTCATTTCGTTGCAAATTTTGAAGAATTTTTCGTCCACCGGAGAATTTCATATGGGACTAAATATTTCAAGTGCAGTCTCTTCGCCGATACCTCCTCAGATCTGTGCCTTTGACACACCTTGCTCGATCCGCCTTGATCTGCGGGACCGATTCCATCGTTCATCCTCCATTCTCAGTGGCCGCCATTATACGGGACGATGTCGATCTGGATCGGGTGATACACCTTGTCACCCCCATCTGGCTTCCAGTACACGTGCCATCCCCCTTTACCGGCATCTTTTATCGGCTCCCAGGCTCCCTCGAGGCCCTCGATCCCAAGCGCCGTCAACTCGCCGTTCTGGTTAGGCTTGGCGGTCCACGCATCGGCTTTGCACTCGTAGTTCTCCGGGCAAGCATTCGGATTTAATTGGATGGACTCGTCCGTCGGGTCTGGCAGCGGGATGACTTTCATGGAGACATCATGGTTCTCGGCGTTCGAGGTGAGAGCAGCAATGTACGGAGTCTGGGAGAGATCATCACCGGAGTAGGCCGCTCGGAAGGCGTAGTTGCCTGTGCCCGGAGAGAGCTCTATGGGTGTGAAGAGAACTGGCGGGGTGGCCGGATGGACGGTGAAGTTCTCCAGGCCCAGGATCTGTGAAGTGGGGATTGGAATGAGATGGCGGTTGTGCCATGGCTCCTTCGGTCTTTGGGTAGTCAGTGGCGGAATGGTGTCGGAGGTAGGATGTAGGGGCTTACGCGTTGACGCGGAAGTAGAAGAGGCTCTCGCCCAGTGGTGGTGGATGCTGCATCTGGAATGCAGGAGCTGCGAGAACAGCCGGTATAGCTGCGAGAGCAAGACGGAAGAGACCACAGAGCTTCATCGTGCCTGGTCGATGCGTGCCACGTCGGCGAAGAAGGAGTAGCTGGAGGAAAGCGAAGGTCAACTGCGATGAAGGTACCTAGGTACCGAAGCAGAAGTGAGAAAGACGGTGGTTGGGAGAGAAAGAGACTGCCCAGGTGGGTGACGCAGAGATTTCGTAACAGAAACGACCTGTGTCTTGTTGTTTGGGTAACTGCGATCAGGTAAAAGGAAGGTGCGCCTAGGGGGCAGGAGCAGGCCTCGTCCCATCAACGCCAGAACATTCAGAATGACGAACTGAGGCAAAGCAAGCGACCTCGGGAGACTTGAGGATGTGAATAAATTCTGCTCACGCGCGCCCTTGAGAGGTTCTAGGGTACATGAGGAAGAAGATCCGCGATGTCGTGATGCGAAGGCGAACCTACAATTTGCGACTATTTAGCCAGATGGCGCCGCGCCTTTCTCCATCCCTTGTGTGAACTCCAAAGTCGCACCTGCCACGTTGTTAGACACCCCGTGTCTGTATTTTGACGTTTGACCCCAGGAGCGCATACCTTACCGTTGTGCGAATAAGCCAAAGTCAAGCATAGCGATCCGAAAATGGTAGGGCATCCGTCTGTAGTTGCGCGGGAGTGCTAACCATATCCAAGATCTTCCCATAAAACCGTTACTCGCCGAGGAGCCCCAAGAAAGCCAATGCTGTGCAAGACGGATATTCTCCGAATTTCATGACAGCGCCAGAATTTCGCGCCCTTGCATCACCGCGAATGGGAGAGACACGCCAAGACGGTCTTCCCCGATCTAAGGCGCTGCAGGTCCTTCACCACACAGGGTAGCACGAGGCCAAGATCACAGCAGTCGTGGCTTCTTCAATGGTCCAGAAGTGGGGAAAGGCGATCTACTAGTCGGCCCAGCACGCTTGATCGTGTCGAAGCCCTCGATTGGTTTAGCGATGTGATACCCAGTCTTGCAGCCTGGTTCACCGATTCGCATCTTGCAGCAACTAAATACTGCTATTCGTTCGCCGTCTTGCGAGATCATGATTTTGCGTCCGGGATGATAGATGCAGTGGTCGGTTTCGTCCTCGAACAGCAGCTGACGACAACGTTCGCATTGCTGGCCATGGTATTCCGGCTCGGACTTGACACGAATAGGTTTGTGCCAACTCGCAGGGGCGGAGCTTAGAACCCGATTCAAGTTGGTTGTCTGGCCTTGCGGAATATGCTTCAAGGGTGGCCTTGCAGGAACCGCGCGATCAGAACTCGTCGGTGATTGGCTTGCTTCGACGACATATGGTGCCCGATGGTAGGGAGTGGACTGACGTTTCTTGGGCCGGCCCGGGCTGGGAGTCAACCGAATATCCGATCCGAGGGTACTATCTGAATCGTCCTCTGAGGGCAGTGGGCTGCGCTCCCTCTCATGTTTGATGTGCGGCCTGAGCATTGAGGAGCCAGATGGGTTTCCAGTGCGATTGGTAAGAGAAACTTCGCGCTTCGGTTCGGGGTCCGGCTTGATATTGGCTGCTCCTGCCTTCGCTTGATGGGTGGTAATCGTAGCTTGGGCGAATGCCGAGTGAGGGGCGAGACCTCGAGCAACGGCTCCGGACAGCGCAGGTGAGAGTTTGCAGAGGTTAAGTAGGACATTACGCACGGCAGCCGGATCGCTGGTGGTGATAATCTGACGGAGATGGTCTGGGTGGATACGGTTGGTTTGGCTCGGGGCAGCTCGCGTGGCGCTCTCTGATGAGGCTCCTTCCTTCTTTACGGAGGCCATATCTCGTGGTTTTGTGGACGTCGTCCTGTAATGCTTTGAGACGCGATGTTGTACGGCAGGATAGCGCCGCTGCTGTTGCTGTTGCGGTCGCGGTTGCGGTCGCGGTTCAGGAGAAGGGGACAGCGTAAGGTCAATGGTATCGACATCCTCTGCAGGAGGCCCGGCGCGGCCCCGTGAAAGCGACATTGTGCGTCTGGAGTAAACTCACGACGACCTTTTTCCAACCCAAAAAGCGCGAGCTCGCGCTGGACCGGCACCGCCACAGGTCATGCAGGTGGTGTTCTCGCGAACCGCGTTGAGGCCCCGGGCGCGGAAGCGATCTAAGCCGGATCTAGACGCTAGCGCATTAGCACGTCCGTCGCGCGCGGGCGCAGCGTGAACGGTGACCCCGGGAGGTACTCGTAAAGGCCGGGAAAAGGCCGGTCTCTCCTTGTCACCACCTGGGCACCGTTCGAGTTTGGTGTACGCTGCGACGCTCTCTTGGTCCCCTTTCTTATGCCCTCGGATGCGCGCCGTTTGGGCGTTCAGGCCTCCTCCGGCATTGTTCATGGCGATCGTGGGTGGTAGGCAGCAGAACAGCGTTGCCACAGGCTGTGTCCGCATTATTCTCTAAACGTTCCTGGCGGCTCCTCCGATTCCTTCGATCCTACTGTACGATCACGCTGGTGATCCTTATCTTGCCGGACGCACGTATCGCGTGCCCTCACCAAGACTTTCCCCATGTAGCAGTCGGCCGCGGCAGTGCGGGCTTAGCGGCCCTAGCGGCCCTCGCTTCTTCTCCTTCACGGCTCTCGCTTCAGGATACGATGATTCGCTGTTCCTTCACCACGCTGCCCTCTCGTGCACGATGAGACGACGGACGCAATAATTCCAACACCCTTCGTTAAGGCAGCGATTTGCGCTGCTATCCTCCGCCCCATGCAGGAGGACTGTGCGTCCGTCAGCAGCCAGCGCCGTCGCCACGGCGGTTCAGCATCGTATGACAGCACCCATCAGCAGTGTCTGAAGGACGACGAGCAGGTCCTGGCGGCTCAGCGCCTCGCCGAGAGGGACGCGCGGAAGCCTCAGTTGAGGAAGCGTTCACGGACAGCCGCCGTCCCCGGGCCGTATCGACGAACGGCGTGCTGGGCAGCTACAGTATTGCGCGGTGCTGGGGGCCACACCCCTCGGGACTGGGATGAGGCATCACGACGCGGTTTGCTTTTGGCGCCCTCCCCGTTGAATGAGGGTCTGCCTGCATGTCACTGGAGAACTGCACCATTACCTTTCGAGAAGAATGCCACCCTGCGTCATCCAGGAACCAACGGCATGTCGCGGTGCCCTTGCAGCAACCTAGCGCCAGCAAGGTGCCGCGGCGAATGCGCAGTTGCGCCGCTGTGATAGGTGAGGCCGCTCTCCGCTGGCTACAAGGGCCAGCGAGAGCCCGAGCGACGCCTTGCCTGCGACGACGCTGCTCAACACCTCGCCGCGACCAAAACTCCGCCGTTGAGCGCCGCCAGACCGCGTGTATACGCTCGCGGGCTGCCCTCTCCGGCCGCAGCATCAACGCCCGCGCATCACCAACCTCTCGCGGGACCCTGCGAGCATCAAACGCGCTAGGACTTGGCGCGCTGTTAAATCCTCAGCCTTGCCCCAGTTTTGGGTTCAAGCCGGGATGCTGGTCAACTCGACGCCGGGCCTCGAGCTCCCATGCGAACCGCCCTCAAATTTAGCTTCTTCCACGGTCTTTCCAGAACATTTCCCACCCGCGCTCCCCGCTGCACTCTGATGATGTGATATAACAACCCGGTCGCACCAACAGGAGCTTATATTCCTCATACCGGACACACGTTCATCCACTCCTTCGCCCCTAAAAGCGCCGCAACACTCGAATGCCGTTCTGCCCTTCGTTTAGCGCATCTCTCGTGTTTTAGTTGCTTTCGCTGTCCTTCAAGACCTCTCACGTCCTTCAGGAGATAGGCGAGGAATGTTAGGCTGCATTGCTCGAGCCCACGTTTACCGGTAGACCAAGCTTCGACGCCGCCAGCAACATGGAGGACAATGTAGAGATCCCGGAGGAGTCCATGCGGCATATCGAGGCGCTGCTGGCAAGGCACCGCCCGGATATGATCCAGAGAATGTTCCAACAGGCTCTGGAGGGTCGTAGGTTCAGCTTTCGCGATTCCCGACCGCACCAGCTCACAGAATGAAGGCCGCAGCTCTGTCGCTTCCTCGCGCACCACGTCGTCAGTGTCCACGGCCTCCACCGGGTGGTCGTTTCGCTCCTCCGCGAACCCGTCGGTCCGCACGTCCACGACTTCGTCGTATCATTCGAATCATTCTCGTTTGTCGCTTGTATCTAATCTTTCGACTTCGACGCTTTCTAGCGATATAGCGCCGTCTATCGCGTCGTCGACTTCCTCCCGTTCAACAAGAGCGCCCTCGAGGCGAGAGCCCCGCTCTTACCCCGCTGGCCTCGACCCGACGAGACCGGTACCCTCAGTGCTTACCCCTACCTCCGAAATAAGTAGTCCCTTGGATACCAAACATGAGCCTGGATTCACGCCGACGGATGAGGATATGAGCATCGCGTCGCTCCCGACGGATAAAGGCCAGAGTCAGTCGGGCGACTCATACATGTTTTGCACATATTGTGCCGAGGGAAAGAATTTGAAGACATTCAAGGCCAAGTCCGACTGGAAGAAACATGAAATGAGAATGCATGAAACGGGAGAGGACTGGCCGTGCATTGTGAACGGCTGTAACCGGATTTTTGATCGCCAAAAGGACTTCCTCAAGCACCACCAACGGTATCATTCAGGCCGTCCGCTTCCCTCATTGACCGATATTGGCATCACATTGCTTCCCCGTCGTGTCTTTGGCTGTGGGTTCGACAAGTGCAAAGAGGTTAGCATTGGCTGGGATGAAAGATGTGATCACGTCGCGAAGCACATGAAAAACGGTGCCACGTTCGAGCAGTGGAAGTACTCCAACGTCATCCGCAATCTCATACGGCAGGAGGCATTGCACGAGACATGGAAGGATATGATTGCGTGTCTGGACGAACGGCTTAGAGAGAGCCGGTCCCATATCAGCTGGTGCCCGGATAACACGCGGATACTGAGGCAGAAGCTGCAGTGCTGCGATCTGCGACCAAGTCGAGAAGAAGTACTTATTACGGCGCTGAGTCTCCGTTCCGATATTCCTCTAGACCCCACTCAACAGCAATACCCGCCCGGGTTTGTCGTTCCGAGCAGAGATTCCGTACCCAATGTCGACAAGCTGACACGGGAGCAACGCATGCACATTCTCATAGGCAACCCGAATGCGACGCTTTCGAGAAGCCGGCTGGCTGCGGTAAATGCCGCGCTACTCCGAGCAAGCAACAGCTCCGTGTCGAACGCCGCCTATGACGACTGCGGCGCCTCACCTTTCGACGACAGCCCGGCCGTCGATGCAGCTGGACGCCGCATTAGCTATATGGACCTCGACACGACTGGAGACTTTTTGGATCTATCGCAACCGGCGATCCCGGATATGATGCCAACGCCCGGCCCGCAACAAGCCGTCATGGAAGGCGAGCAGCAACAGAACGCGGGCGGCTTCGTCGACCCAGGCAAGCCACCTTCGAACCCGCTGGGATGGTGTTATCCAAACTATTTCGACGCCGCGCCATCCTTCGAGGAGTCACCCTACTACGACCGCCCATCGCTCGGTCAGATGATATCGAAACCACTGCACAAGATCGGAAGCCGCCTAAGTAGAAATGGCTCGCCAGCCTCTCGGCCGGCATCTCAAACAGACCACCAAATCGATCAGCAAATTCCACAAGCCGACATGAGCCCTGATTTCCCGATACAGAGCCCACACCCACTTCATCCGATGAGCAGGCAATACCCACATCAACAACAGCCGAGCCCGCATCCACAGCAGTACCGCAACGCCGTCAATACCCAGCAACAACACCACGAGCAACTCCACCTCTTCACGACCCAAAGCTGAACGGACTTCGCCCCTTTGCATATCCCGCATTTAGCATGACGAGCGACGAGCGACGAGCTTCAGCATACAGGCCCTGGTCTCTTGCATTATAGAAGATCCTTTTCCTTTTCTTCCTTTTGATACCCCGTGCTCGTCGGCAGACAGCACACAGCGTTAGACTCATGTACGATATCCCTGCAGCATTTTCTTCAGCGCACACGTAGAATTCTTGAACCGCGGATGAACCCGAGAAAAAGCACATAGACATCTGACGACTTTCTTCAATCCCAGCCTCGTTACGTTTTTTTTCTTCGCGCTCCCAAGAAACGTCCTTCTCGGCCCCAATACACATTCCTTATCCGCGCACGTGCTCGGGCCTAGCCCCCTTTGAGGCAGTGCCTCGTAGCGAAGGCGGCTCGTGCGCTCATCGGCCGTCCCGAGTTCCCTCTCTCGTCTCACTCGCGCCCGCGGTCTCAATCTACTACATCTACTCCTTGACTCGGATCCCTGCGTTTTGCGGGCCGTCGCTGATTCAGTTTTACCCGTCACCGAGCCCTTATTCCAGATATATTGTCCGTGGTGTCTGCTTCCGAGCCCGAAACGGTATACCGATAATCGAGGCTTGTCTGTCCCAGCGACCTGTGTAGCGTTTATGCGCGTACATGCGCACGCGGCTCGATATTTAGATATGTACCTTCCGGAAACGTGGGATAGTTTGGTGGGTATTGTTGCGCTAGGCATGTGGGCGCCTGGTCCGTCTCGTATAGTGCATGCGAGCGAGATGCTCACGCGATTGCGGCTCTCACGACACAGCACAGGCCGCCGCCCAGAGGTAAGTAAGTTCCTGACGACATCCTCACGCAAGACTCGCGTTAACTACTCGCAACCTAGATGCAGCGCTTGCTCTCCGCAGACTGGCTTCCGCAGCATGCCGTCCGGTCAATTGTCCATCTTAGTCCTCGGTCCTCACCTCGCAAATCGTCCCGTCTAGGAAGTTCCACGAGACATCGGAGTGGAGCCTTAATCACCGTTGTGTGCAGCGTAGTCCAATTGGCAGCGGTATTTCATGTTCCGATGTCGCCGCCAAGAACCGGAGACTATTGCTCTTTTGTCAAGTCCGTACGGTGCGGAGTTGATGTCGCTTGCTCGCTCTAATTATGGATGCACTTATCCGAGAAATATACCGGAGCACCTGAATTCCGATCACAATGGATACAAGACTAGACTGCAGGCTCGGAACATATAGCATCGACGACGTCCGAATTGATTGCTTCAGCATCAGATCTATGGCTGAGGAAAATTATAATGGTAAACCCAATTCTTGCTAATAACTAACGTCTGGTACAATAAACAATAGCCGCTACTGGCAGACTCACTTACGTTTAGGCCGATACTCCTCAATCTTACCCCTCAAATCCTCCACAAAATCCGCGCACCACCTATCCCGGATGATGCGAACATATATAACACCCCCCGCACTACGCGCTGCCGGATCTCCCCGCACCCATTCTTCGATAGCTTCATTGGACATATCCTCCCACCCTCCCATGAACAAGCGGTGCAGATAGACTCGGGCGAAGAACTCTCGCGTTCGGTCATCCTTCTTCTTCTCCAGGAGCTTCTTCACTTTGTCTGGTATGTTTGCAAGCCAGAGATTTAGCTCTGCGGTGGGCATGCGGAGGAAGAAGGTTGTTTTCACGGTTAGCTTAGCTTCGGCTTCTTCGGGGGATGGTCGTCTTGCGTGTCTTCCTCGCCTGCTTCATAGCTTCTCTTCTTCGACTCCTTGGATGTTGTGTTCTGCTGCTGGGGAGTCCGTAAGGCTTCATCCATACCCAGCATGGTGTCGTCCTCGTTGCCGCCCTGAAAGCTAGATTCGTCGCTGTCGTCACTGCTGAGCTGTGGCAATTGGCTGATCAGGGACAGGTTCTGGGCTTGTTTCAGCTGCTGCAACTCTTCTTTTCGTCCTTTGTCTGTCGGTGTCTTTGCTCCAGCCTTCTTGCTCTCCTCCTGCTCATGCTTCTTCTTGTCCGCCGTCTTGCTCTCTCCCTCTCTCCTCTTGGCTTCTATCCGGTCGGCTTCCTTCCTCTCTGCTTCCTTCCTCTCTGCTTCCTTCCTCTCTGCTTCCTTCCTCTCTGCTTCCTTCCTCTCTG